GTAGGGGCAGCCCGAACAGTAGTAGCAGCAGTAGCAGCAAGAGCAGCAGTAGCAGCACTAGCAGCAGTAGGAGTAGAAAGAGCAGTAGCAGCAGGAGCAGCAGTAACAGCAGTACGGGCAGGACAGTGCTCACCAGTGGCAAGAAAGTTAGGCGTACGACGGCTGCAACGGCAGGGCCGGCACCACTGCAGGGCGAGGGCTCCGCGGCAGCTGCAGGGGCCAGCTGCTCCAGGGGCGGCTGCTTCAGGGGCCAGGGGCGGCTGCTGCAGAGGCGGCTGCTCCAGGGGCCAAGGGCAGCTGTTGCAGGGGCGGCTGCTACAGGGGGGCCAGGGGCAGCTGTTGCAGGGGCGGCTGCTACAAGGGCCAGGGGCGGCTGCGGCAGGGGCGGCTGCTCCAGGGGCCAGGGGCGGCTGCTGCAGAGGCGGCTGCTCCAGGGGCCAGGGGCGGCTGCTGCAGGGGCGGCTGCTGCAGTGGCCTGGGACGGCTGCTGCAGGGGCGGCTGCTCCAGGGGCCAGGGGCGGCTGCTCCAGGGGCCAGGGGCGGCTGCTGCAGGGGCGGCTGCTGCAGTGGCCTGGGACGGCTGCTGGAGGTGCGGCTGCTGCAGGGAACTGGGGCGGCTGCTGCAGGGGCGGCTGTTCCAGCGGCGGCCGCTGCAGGGCTGCGAAAGAGCGGCGTGGGGGCCGCCAGGGGCCGCGACAGACCGGGTAAGGGGCCGCGACGGGCGGGTAAGGGGCCGCGACAGGCGGGTAAGGGGCCGCGGGCGGTTAAGGGGCTGCGACGGGCGGCTAAGGGGCCGCGACGGGCGGCTAAGGGGCCGCGACGGGCGGCTAAGGGGCCGCGACGGGCGGCTAAGGGGCCGCGACGGGCGGGCAAGGGGCCGCGACGGGCGGGTAAGGGGCCGCGGGCGGCTAAGGGGCCGCGACGGGCGGCTAAGGGGCCGCGACGGGCGGCTAAGGGGCCGCGACGGGCGGCTAAGGGGCCGCGATGGGCGGGTAAGGAAAAAACGAGCCGCGCGGGCGGCTGACGTGGCGCGCGGGGCCGAAAACGGGCCTAAACAAAGCGCGCGCGGGCTGCTCAAGCGGCGCGCGCGGAAAAAAAAAAGGGCAGCGCGCGTGCAGCCGAGGCGCGCGCGGGCAGCAGGCAAGGCAGGTGAGGTAACGTGGTAACGGTGGGCCCTTATCTTAGGTCCTAGAGACCTCTAGGCTCTAGATACCATCTTAGAATCTTAGGCATGAAGTTGTGTGAGATTAGGTCAAGGTTGGGGTACAAGACTAGAGTGTCGAGAATGTTTCTGTACCCTGCCCCAATATAGCCTAGATACTAATATGCATATGTTTTGACAAGTTCCACATTGACTGGCACTTCGTAGCTAGTCACGGTTGGCTGCCCTAACGGCATTGACTGCCGTTATGGCTGTCTAGACACGGTTGTGTGTGTGAGGAGAGGTGGAGGGGGGCGAGGGGGGCACAGGGGGGAAAGGGGGGATGGGCAGAAGGAAGGGAGGGAGGGGAGGGGGGAAAGGGGGGATGGGCGGGGGAAGGGGGGGATGGGTGGGGAGAAGGGGGGGATGCAGGCAAGATTGACCAGGTTAGCAACGATCTGCACCTTTGCTTCTGCTTGCAGTGGGTGGGAAGAAAGGGGGCGTACGTATTGTGTGTGTGAGGAGAGGTGGAGGGAGAAGGGGGGCATGGGCGGGGGGAAAGGGGGGCATGGACCGGGGGAAGGGGGGGAAGGAGGCAAGACTGGCCAGCTTAGCAACGATCTGATCCTTTGCTTCTGCTGGCAGCGGGAGGGAGGCAACAGGGTGAGTGCTTGTTATGTGTGTGTGCATACGAAGGGGATGTTCTGAGCGAGAGGGAGGACAGAGGTGGAAGAATTGGCTAGGTTTGCAACATTCTGTTCCTTAGCTTCTGCTAGCAGTAAGAGGAAGCCAACAGGGTGTATCCGTGTGGTGAGCGTGTGCATGGGAGAGGAAGGGCAACGGGAGAATCATATGAGAGGGGAGGAGGAGGGATGGAGGCTGGTAGAATTGGATGGCAGAGGTGAAAGAAGAGAAAGAGGAGGCAGGGACGCAGATAGAACAAGTGAACCTGAACTGACGCAGACGAGATTATCAAACACATACAGAGGAGGCCAGGCCCAGGAGGCATTGTAAGGCGAATTCAGGCCGGACAACAAGCCAGAATCTGTCCTGTTGAACAACATACCGCATCGAATCGAACCTTCGTCTCACCTTCGTCTTGAGTTGTCTGGAACTCAGTGACTAGCGCCTGCACCCACAAGGCAAGAGAGCAACAACAGAAATGAGGAGTTTAGCGGCAAGTGGCACGAAATGAGGAGGGAAATGGGTGTTTACCTGGAGGAGGGAAATGGGTGTTCACCTGGAGGAGGGACATGGGGATGGCTGGGTTTGTCTGGAGGCTGAGGGCCCGCGCCTGTCCTCACGAGCCAGGAGAGAAAGGCGAAAGCGGAGTACCACACTCGAGAGAACATACATGGCAAGCAGTGAGAGGTGAGCAGGAACGGGTGCTTGGAAGGGTGGTTGTGTTGTTTGGGTTTTCTAAACCTTATGAGTACCTTATGAGAGGTGACCCACGAGTGCCCCTTATGAGGCGAGAGAGAAAGGTGAAAAGAGTGCCACACTTGGAGTAACTCACTCCGGAGTCCACACGTGGCAAGTGGTGAGCGGTAAGTGGGAACAGGTTGCTTGCAAGCTTGAGACGTGATTATCACGAAGACCGAACTTTGAGAGCGAAGACATCAGGACCTTTCATGACTTCGAATACTTGGACCTCCTACCTTCCTAGTCAGATTCCGAGAAAACTCGTAGCCCCAAGCAGACAACTCGTACCCGGAAGAGAATGCGAGCGTGTGTGATAAGTCTATTTTTTTAGACTTATCACACTAGTACCCGGAAGCGAAGGCGAACGGATCCTACCTGAAGGTAAACAAGACGTGGCGTCCCGCTCCTCCCCTGTCTCTCCGTCAACCTCGCTGCCGAGCTAAACATAGCTTTGTGATTTTAACTCGCGATATTGCTCAGCAGCGTTCCCTTTCGCGCAACCTACTACGTTCCCCGTCGCCTGACGCCCCTGCTTCATCCAACCGCGCCGCATTTCCCTGTCGTGCTAAACATGGTCTTACGAGTTAAAAGCGCGACCTAGTCCAGAGGCGATACGCTCCGGTCAACCTGCGACACTCCACAAGACCCTCCGATCGTCTCTGGTCTTTGTTTCATTCAACCGAGCAGCCTTGTGAGCAGCCGCGAACGTAGCTGCGGTGCTCATAGTGGACTCATAATATGCTTTCTCGCAACTATTTTCAGTGGCGTTCTCCGCAAAACACGGTGGGCAAGACGTATTGGGGCTGTATAGTACAGGTGTCAGCGCCTAGCTCTGCGCTTATTGAGTAATTCGTTAACACGCGATGATCGATTGTTGTGTTGAATTACGGTCACTACTTAAAGTTGAAAATGTGCTGGCTGGGTTCATCCGTTGGGCCCGAGGGACCACCTCGATCACGCCATGTCAGAAGGCCTAGACACCACGCAATCATTTGTTGATGGTTCCAGTTCAGAACGCCTCATTGGGCAATCGGAATCTGACCAGTCGTGGAGCTGACGCAGGTTGTGGTAGAAAGTTCCTGACCGTAGACTTTGTTCACTCAGGCCGCATTTCAGGCTGTTACGAACAACCTGCTTCGTAACAGCCGACCGCCTTACGACGCTTCACGACTGTAGGCGATCCCTTACTCGCCAATCAGTGTGCGTCATTTTCACCAAACTTGTTCGGAAGTCACTTGTTACGAGGTCCGAACTGCGCCCTCATTTCATTGGGGCGCGCTCACGCAGTGGCGTTGATGAGCTTTCCAGACATGCCTGACATCCCCCCAATCCGTAACCCGCAAGTTTCAGAATTAGTTTCAAGCATTGAAGAGGTGATATCATCGAGATTCAAGCCGACCTCGAAACTAAATTCTTATTCGCTAAGCATCGATTTCACAACTCGTGTTTCAAAGACGTGTCACATACTGTGATACGGGTATGCACAGTAGTTATACCCATGTTATGAACAATACGAAGACACACGTTCATGTCGCTTGATTCCATGCTGGTTTCAAACTACGTTTCACACTAGGTTTGCTTCCAAGCACGAACAAGTTCCACAAAAGCTTCATGCTGGCGCTGACGCGGAGTGGGGACCACATCAACACCCTTTGCCGTTGATTACCGCAGTGAAAACCTTCAACTACCCCCCTACCCCCGTTCCCCTCTCTGTTACTTTTGATGGGTGACAGAAAGTATTGCGACCGCCGCTTTCTCGAGCCGCCGCTACCCCCAGCGGATAAGCTTGTGCTGGCTTTCCTGTCCCTCAGCTCAGACGGTAGTAGCGGCGGCAGGAAGGCTCACCACCAAGCTCGAAACCTGGCGGCTGACTAATCCCAAGGTCACGTCCTGTCAGTCACCAAGGCACGGCAGTTTTCCTCTCACCTTCTGTGCTGGTTGACTGAGGCTCAGTCAGAGCAGGTTCGGACACCCAAGTGAGGCTGAATCCCTTCAAAGGCTCAAAACATCCAGTTCTGGGCCTCTTTCTCGCTGCATTTTCCCTCGTCCCGTTCTAGCACAGAAGAGAACTCGTCCGTACGCCGCGTCAGCCGGATAGACGGAGTCTTTGGAGGCCGTCTGGTCTGACCATTAGCCGGTGACGGGCCGAGAGACGTGTCGGTTAGGAATACCGATGCATGCGGCTGGCCTAGCCTAGCTTACGGATTCTAGCTCGCTTGGTCACTATTCCAGCTCGCGTCGGAGAGAGCATCGCGTCTCGCATCGTTCGTCGCGTTTCGCGCTGTTCGCCGACGCGTTTCGCATTCTTCGTCGCGTTTCGCATCTTTCGCCGCGTTTCGCATTCTTCGTCGCGGCGCTGCACCGCGTCGCGCGTCGCGCGGTGCCAAGTCCGCCTGCACGACCACAGCAGTAGCAGTAACAGTAGCGGTACGAACCAATGGCGTCGGACGGAGGCGCGGCGGGGGAGGATCCGCTGTGCGTGGAGCTCCCGGAGCGGCTGGCCATCCTGCCGTTCCGCAACCGCGTGCTTCTTCCCGGCGCCATCGTCCGAATCACATGCTCCGACCCCAGCAGGTACTGATTCGTAGGTCCAGTTGTTCCCAGCAGCTGAATAGATTCGTCCTGAGGGTGTGGAATACAGTAATCCGTATAGATGGGAGGCAGTGCACGAGGATCCGCTGTGCGTGAAGCTCCCATAGCGGCTGGCCATCCTGCCGTTCCGCAACCGCGTGCTCCTGCCTGGAGCCATTGTCCGAATCACGTGCTCCGACCCCAGCAGGTGGGCTCGGAGACGACTTTGCGTGACTCATTAGCCACTCACCAGTAAGAGAGAGCCGTGTGAAACCTGGAAGGTAGCATCTCTTGAGGCGCCTCAAAAGTTGACTCACAAGTCAGCCCAGCAGGTAGATAGTCATGTGGAGCATGGAAGGTAGCGTCACACATTTGAGGTGTTTCTAATCCAGGATACTAGTCTCGGGTGACGTGCAGTCTACCCATATACCCACCCACTCTCCCTCGTCTGAGTCTTTCCCCGTGTTCCCCTGTCGCCCCTCCACGTGGCAGCGTGCGGTTGGTGGAGCAGGAGCTGTGGCAGAAGGACAAGCCCGCGCTGATTGGGATCGTACCCGTTATAGAGCCCCCTGGTTCAGCGGATAGCACTGGCAGCGGTGCTGCTAATGGTGGTGCTGCTAGTGGCGGTGCTGCTGCTAGTAACGGTGCTGCTAATAGCGGTGATGGAAATGCGGAAGGAGGGGCAGGAGAGACAGGAGGGACTGGGGAGAAGGCAGGGGGAGGGGAAGGGGCGGCTACTAGTAACGGTGATGCTAATAGCGGTGAGGGAAAGGCGATAGTGCGCGTGTGGGGCCCCAGCGGACCAGAGGAGGTGACTGGGGGGGGAACGCCGAGGCTTCTTCTGGAAGACGTGAAATGGCACCCCAGGTGGGTTGAGTTGGGTGGCTGTGGCGGGAGAGGGAAAGGCGGTAGTGCGCGTGTGGGGGCCCAGCGGACCAGAGGAGGTGACTGGGGGGGGAACGCCGAGGCTTCTTCTGGAAGACGTGAAATGGCACCCCAGGTGGGTTGAGTTGGGTGGCTGTGGCGGGAGAGGGAAAGGCGGTAGTGCGCGTGTGGGGGCCCAGCGGACCAGAGGAGGTGACAGGGGGAACGGCGAAGCTGCCGCGAGCACTGCACGTGGCGAAGGGAGTGGAGAGACGCGCTGGCCGGGTGACTTATGCGGTCGTGCTACAGGTGGGAAGATCTTGTATGGATGTGGGTTGGGTAGGTCTAAAATGAAGTGGTGCTACAGTCTCTGGCTGATATGTGGCACTGCTTGATGCAGGGGAGTGGAGAGGCCCACTGGCTGGGTCACCTATACAGTTGTGCTGCTGATTAGATGATCTCAGCTGATGCATGTAGCTGAATTTTAAGATAACTTTCCTGCCCCTCTCCTCTCCAACCCCACCTCCCATGTCCCAGGGCGTGTGTCGCTTCGCCATACTCCCCATCAATTCGCGTGGGCCCTATCACGTGGCTTGGGTGTCGATATCTCAGCACTAACTTGCCTGTCTCCCCCCACCCTCTCATGCCCCCCTCTATGCTCTCACCCTAGGGCGTGTGCCGCTTTGCCATTCTCTCCATCAACTCGCGAGGGCCCTACCACGTGGCTCGGGTGTCTCAGCTGGATGCCACACCACAGGGTGGGTGAAAGAAAGTGGGTGAATGGAGGGTTAGGGTGGAGGAGGGTGGAAGGGTCTGGAGGTGGGTGCAGGAAATGATCCCCTTACACACTCCTCTAGGCATTCTGAGCATGTGGGTCTTTTTGAGAAGTCTCAAAATCTCCTTGGCTTCCTCTCAGCATACTGAGCATGTAAGTGAGGGCCCTACATGGTAGGGCCCTCGCCGTTCCTCTGGGTCAGAGGGCCTACCACCACATTGCTCGGGTGTTTCAACCCAAGCAAGATGGGTAAGAGGCACTGCTGTTGGGTGAGGTTCGGCAAGGTAAGAGTAAGAGAAGGTGACTCACTCGCCTCCTACACCCACTGGAATTCTTGTACACACAGGCAGAGAGGGTGGGAGGGGACAATGATGTGAGGCACAGCGCTTGCATCTGCAATGTTTGTTGCTTTACAATCAACCACCCCTTTCTCTCTTTCGCTTCTTCACTCGCCTCCTCAATCCCTCAAATTACAGAGGCGGATTCGGTGCGAGGGGATGACAAGGCAAGCGCACCACTATATGATATCTTGCTCCCCTATGCACAGCCTCCTTCCCTCTTCTCTTCATTGCCCTCCTCCTCCTCTCAACCCCACAGAGGCAGACCGAGTGCGAGGGGACGACGAGGCAAGTCACCTCTATATGATATCTTGCTCCCCTAATCACAGCCCCCTTCCCTCTTCTCTTCATTGCCCTCCTCTACTCTGTCTGTAACCCCACAGAGGTGGACCGTGTGCGAGGGGACGACGAGGTGAGGCGGCTGGGACGGCAGCTACAATTTATCCGGGCTCACCACTCCACCACCTTTCCTCCCCTCCCCCCCCCTCCTCCCATCCTTCCCCTTCCTCAACCCCTCAGAGGCGGACCGCGTGCGAGGGGATGACGAGGTGAGGCGGCTGGGAAAGCAGCTGCTGCGAGTGGTGGAGGAGCTAGCACGGGTGATGGAGCAGGTGAGAGGGAGGGGTTTTTGTTGATGTTGAAGTGAATACGTGGTTTCTTCTGAGGTGAGGGTGATAGAGGCAGTGAGGCGGCTGGGAAAGCAGCTGCTGCGAGTGGTGGAGGAGCTGGCACGGGTGATGGAGCAGGTGAGAGGGAGGGGTTTTCATTGCAGAGGCACCAAAAGAATATATGGTTCGTTTTTAAGGTGCCCCAGAATACAATGTGAGGCAGCTGGGACGACAGTGAGGCAGTGAGGCGGCTGGGAAAGCAGCTGCTGCGAGTGGTGGAGGAGCTGGCACGGGTGATGGAGCAGGTGAGAGGGAGGGGTTTTCATTGCAGAGGCACCAAAAGAATATATGGTTCGTTTTTAAGGTGCCCCAGAATACAATGTGAGGCAGCTGGGACGACAGTTGCTGCGAGTGGTGGAGGAACTGGCACGGGTGATGGAGCAGGTGAGAGCAAGAGAGGCTTGTTTCTTAGGCGCTTGGAATATAGGAGGTACATTTATAAAGAACTTCACGCTGTGCGGTTGGGAAGGCAGCTGCTGCGCCTCCCCCCGTTTCCCCTCTATTCCTCCCCTTCTTTTCGCCCCTCTCCCTGCCACGAGAAGCAGTGGCAGGTAACGGGTCTGTGGAAAAGTGGCAGAAGAGGCGCACCATTCGTCAACCGGGGAGATGCAGAGGCTGGCGGATATGCTGGTAGCGAGCGTGGAGGGCGGGCTGTCTGGTAGCTCACTCGCATGCTGGCCCCTCTTCTTCTCCAACTCCCCCTTCACCAGGAGAAGCAGCGGCAGGTGACAGGGCTACGAAAAGTGGCAGAAGAGGCGCACCATTCATCCGCAGGGGAGATGCAGAGGCTGGCAGATGTGCTGGTAGCCAGCGTGGAGGGCGGACTGTCTGGTAGTTCACTCTCTCACTCGCTGGCAAGCGTGCTCGCTGGCAAGCGTGCTCGCTGGCAAGCGTGCTCGCTGGCAAGCGTGCTCGCTGGCAAGCGTGCTCGCTGGCAAGCGTGCTCACTGGCAAGCGTGCTCACTGGCCATTTCCTCTCCTCACGGGCCACTTCCTCTCCTCCCCGCCGTCTCTTCCCACTCCTCACGGGCCACGTGCTCGTGGCCAGCGTGGAGGGCGGGCTGTCTGGCAGCTCACTTGCTCTCTCTACCCCTCTCCTTGTTCCCCATGCCTTCCCCCCTCCCCAGGGGAGATGCAAAGGCTGGCAGACGTGCTCGTGGCCAGCGTGGAGGGCGGGCTGTCTGGCAGCTCACTTGCTCTCTCTACCCCTCTCCTTGTTCCCCATGCCTTCCCCCCTCCCCAGGGGAGATGCAAAGGCTGGCAGACGTGCTCGTGGCCAGCGTGGAGGGCGGGCTGTCTGGCAGCTCACTTGCTCACCTGCTTCCCACTTCTCTCCCTACCCTCTGCTTGTTCTTACCCCCCTGGGCCTGTTACAGGAGAAGCAGCGGCAGGTGGCAGGGCTGAGGAAGGTGGCAGCAGAGTCCCAGCAGGCATCTGCAGGGGAGATGCAGAGGCTTGCAGATATGCAAGTAGCCAGTGTGGAGGGAGGGCTGGCAGCACGTCTGGCGATGCTCGATGCTGTGAATCCGCGGATGAGGCTGCAGCTCGCTGCTGCGATCATCTCTTTGCACCTCGAGGTATGGATAGTGCGGTCTAGAAGGTTTAGAGGAGTTGGAAGGGGTTATGAGTGGTGATTGAGGGCCGTGGGACGGGCTGGCAGCGCGTCTGGAGATGCTGGACGCAGTGAACCCGCGGATGAGACTCCAGTTGGCTGCTGCCATCATATCCCTGCACCTGGAGGTCAGTAGGATTGTGATGGTGATGTTGACGGTGGTGTATGTATGGGTATAAGGGTCGGCCTAGTGACTGGCAGTGTGGAGGGCGGGCTGGGAACGCGGCAGCGCGCCTGGCGATGCGGTGAATCCGCGGATGAGGCTGCAGCTCGCTGCTGCCATCATCTCCTTGCACCTGGAGGCCCGTGGGGGTGTGGTTTGGAAGGGTTGGGAGGGATGGAAGGGATGGGTGTGGTGTGGTGACTGGCAGTGTGTAGGGCGGGCTGGCAGCGCGCCTGACCATGCGGTGAACCCGCGGATGTGACTTCAGTTGGCTGCTGTGATTATATTCTCGCTGCTCGGGGTATGTCTTTGGGGGTGTGCTTCAGAAGGTTAGAAAGGTTGGAAGGGGTTGAGAGTGGTGCTTGAAAGCCCTGACGGAGGGCGGGCTGGCAGCGCGCCTGGCGATGCTGGATGCAGTGAATCCGCGGATGAGGCTTCAGCTCGCTGCTGCCATTATATCCCTGCACCTCGAGGTATGGTGGTGTGGTTTCGAAAGTTTAGAACGGTCGGAAAGGATTTCGAGTGGTGCTTGAAGGCCCTACAGGGGAGGGAGCTGGCTGGCAGCGCGCTTGGCGATGCTGGATGCGGTGAATCTGCGGATGAGGCTTCAGCTTGCCGCTGCCATCATCTCCCTACACTTGGAGGTATGGTGGTGTGGTTTCGAAAGTTTAGAACGGTCGGAAAGGATTTCGAGTGGTGCTTGAAGGCCCTACAGGGGATGGGGGCGGGCTGGCGGCGCGCCTGGCGATGCTGGACGCGGTGAATCCGCGCATGAGGCTGAGCTCGCTGCTGCCGTTCTCCCTGCACCTGGAGGTCAGTAGGATTGCGATGGTGATGGCGACAGTGGTGCATTTATGGGTATAAGGGTCGGCCTAGTGACTGGCAGTGTGGAGGGCGGGCTGGCAACGCGGGAGCGCGCCTGGCGATTCTGGACGCAGTGAATCAGTGGATGAGGCTGCAGCTCGCTGCTGCCATTATAACCCTGCACCTCGAGGTGTGTCTTTGGGGGTTAGTGTGTGCTTGGGATTGTGTATTGAAGGGCTCAGGGTGGGCTGGGAGCGCGCCTGGCGATGCTGGACGCGGTGAATCAGCGGATGAGACTGCCTGCAAGGCAGCAAGGTGCAGAGGATGCTCGGAGGAGGCTCTGCGTGGTGCAGCAAGGCAGCAGCAGCGGCAGCAAGAAGAAAAAAATCCTCTTTGTGCCCGTCCCCCTCCCTGTTGCCAACCATTACTGCATTTCTCCCTTTCTCTCCCTATCAATTGCAGAAGCTTCGTTTGGTGCAGCAAGCCAGCAGCAGCAGCAAGAAGAAGCAGCCCCCGTCATCCTCCTCCAAGCCCCCCTCGCTGCAGCTCAGCCCTCCTCCCCCGTTCTCGTCAAATTCTGCAATTTGCATTTCTCTCTTGTTTTGAAACCCTCCATTGCAGAAGCTTCGTCAGGTGCAGCAAGCCAGCATCGGCAGCAAGGAGAAAACAAACCTGCTCTCTACCATTCCTGCCTTTCTCCCCTTCTCCCATCCATTGCAGAAGCTCCGTCTGGTGCAGGAAGCCAGCAGCAGCGGCAGCAAGAAGAAAAAAACCCCTTCCTCCTCCAAACCCCCCTCGCTGCAGCTTAGCTCTCCTCCCCCGTTCTCATCAATTGCTGCCATTTGCATTTCTCTCTTGTTCCGAAACCCTCCATAGCAGAAGCTTCGTCTGGTGCAGCAAGCCAGCAGCGGCAGCAAGAAGAAGAAACCTTCCTCCTCCAAACCCCCTTCACTGCAGCTCGGCCCCCCTCTCCCCTCCTCCTCCTCTTCTGCCTCCTCTGGAGGGAAGGGCAGTGGAGAAGGCGAGGGGAAGGAGCGTGGGGCGGGGGGGGATGGCGAGGAGGGGGAGGGGGAAGAGGAGGAGGATGATGATGACGATGATGATGACGTGGCAGTGCTCGAGAGGCGCATGAAGGAGGTGAAGATGCCACCCAACGTGTGGCGCCATGTGCGGCGCGAATTGAAGTGAGTGGAGGGGTGGGTGGGGGATGGGGAAGATTGTGGGTCCGAGGTCCTGCCCTTTGGGGTTCTAATGACGGATCGGTGCTTGAGAGGCGCACGGAGGAGGTCAAGATGCCACCCAACGTGTGGCACCACATGCGATGCGAGCTCAAGTGAGCTGAGGGACAGTCTGTAGGGCACGGTACAAGGAGGTTTGTTGTTGTGGTGTCAAAACTCGGTAATAACAGCACAAAATAATTAGCTCTAGATAATCATGGCCACAACTGCAGTGACCATGGGTAACAAGAAAAATACCACATCTGCTCCACTCCATCTTAAAGCACAAACGCCTTAGCATGTCTTCACTCGTCTGTTTTTCCCGCTTGTAGGCGCCTGCGCAAGATGCAGCCGCAGCAGCCGGGCTACAGCACAACCCGCCAGTACCTGGAGCTCTTGAGCGACCTCCCCTGGGGCATTTCGTCTCCCATCACTGCTGGTGGTAGTTCTGCTGGTGGTGGTGCTGGTGGTGGTGCTGTTGCTCGTGCTGCTGCCCTATGTTGCAAAATACGCGTATGGCGTACGGAACGCGTACGAACTATACGGTATCGTACATACGCGATACGCAAATTTCCAGCGTACAAAAAACCTCGAAATACGGTGCGTCGGGCAGGTTGAAATTTTCTAGGGCAGGGAAAAAACATTTCAGTTGAGGTAGAATGCTTATAGGGAAAGAACTTCAGCAATACTTGATGCGGATAACTCCCGTGGGGTTTTTGCCAGTACGAAATTGTTGGCTAGAATCGTCCTAATATTGCGGTTGCTAAAATCTGCAAGTGACGCGACGCCGCTGCTAGCAATAGCAGTAAACTTGGCGTGAGCTTCGCTGTTGTACTCACGCCGACTGGCGAGCAGCTTGTAAGGGAAGGTTGGGTTTGGGAGGTGGTGTGAGGTGATGTGCGGTGGGGGGGAGGGGAGGGGGGCATTCGAGTTTCGAATCTAAAATTAGGTTTCACAGAATTGCAGATCGCGGAATCAGCGGCAACAGATTTTTTTCTCCTTTTTTTTTTTCGCCTGCCCGGATTTACGTATCGCGTATTTGTCCCCGTTTCACGTTTTCACGTTTATACGTGAACGCATATACGTGAAACGTAAAATTTCCTAAGCGTATAGTGCAACATAGCTGCTGCCTCTACAGAGCAACTCTCATACCAGATTGTCCCCCTCATCTGCTTTATCTCCCCTCATTACAGGCGCCTGCGCAAGATGCAGCCGCAGCAGCCGGGCTACAGCACAACCCGCCAGTACCTGGAGCTCTTGAGCGACCTCCCCTGGGGCATTTCGTCTCCCATCACTGCTGGTGGTAGTTCTGCTGGTGGTGGTGCTGGTGGTGGTGCTGTTGCTCGTGCTGCTGCCTCTACAGAGCAACTCTCATACCAGATTGTCCCCCTCATCTGCTTTATCTCCCCTCATTACAGGCGCCTGCGCAAGATGCAGCCGCAGCAGCCAGGCTACAGCACAACCCGGCAGTACCTGGAGCTCCTGAGTGACCTCCCCTGGGGCATCTCGTCTCCTCCTATTACTGCTGGTGGTGCTGGTGCTGGTGCTGGTGGTGGTGCTGGTGGTGGTGCTGGTGGTGGTGAGCAGCAGCAGCGGCAGCGCGGGGATAGACGTGGCAGCAGCGAGGGAGCAGCTGGACAGGGAGCACTTTGGGCTGGAGAGGGTGAAGCAGCGCATTCTCGAGTACATCGCCGTCAGGAAGGTGAGTAGAGTGCGGTGGAGTGCGGTGGGGTTGGGTGTGGTGAGGTGTGGGGAACTAGGTAGGTACTAGGGGTAAGGGGTGCTGCTACTGCTGCCGGTGCTGGTGGTGCTGCTTGGGCTGGAGAGGGTGAAGCAGCACATTCTCGAGTACATCGCCGTCAGGAAGGTGGGTGCGTAGCGTAGCCCCTTGTGTCTCAGTCTCCTCCTATCTTCCTCCAATGCAAAGGCTCAGGGACACAAATCTGTGCCTTAGGCCCCTTGTGTCTCCCTTCTCACCTCTCTTCCTCTCCACCCATCTTCTTCGCCCCCCTCTCCCACCGGTCCTGTCCTGACGCCACGGGTCCTGTCCTCTGCTTTGTGGGTCCCCCTGGTGTGGGCAAGACCTCTCTGGTCTCCTCTATTGCCAAGGTCCTGGGACACTAGTTTGTGCGGATAGCATAGCCACCTTGTGTTTCCCTCTTCTCCTCTCTTCTCTCCTCCCCAACTCACCAGCTCAAGCCTGATGCCACTGGCCCAGTGCTGTGCTTCGTGGGTCCCCCTGATGTGGGCAAGACCTCCCTTCGATCGCCAAAGCTCTGGGACGCAAGTTTGCATCTTACAGTGCCACCTTATGTCTGTCTCCCTCCCATCCTTGCTCTCCAGCTCAAGCCTGACGCCACGGGTCCTGTGCTGTGCTTCGTGGGTCCCCCTGGTGTGGGCAAGACCTCTCTGGTCTCCTCTATTGCCAAGGCTCTCGGGCGCAAGTTTGTGCGGATCGCGCTGGGAGGGGTGAAGGACGAGGCGGATATCAGAGGGCACAGGCGGACTTATGTGGGGAGCATGCCAGGGCGACTCATTGAAGGGGTCAAGGTGAGTTGAAGGTGTTTCAAAGTATGTATGAGAGGAGGGGATGAAGGTATTGCAAGGGGTGAAGGACGAGGCGGATATCAGAGGGCACAGGCGGACGTACGTTGGGAGCATGCCGGGGCGACTGATCGAAGGGGTGAAGGTGAGAACAGGGGGTGTAGGGAGAGGGATTGTGCGTCTCTTGGGTGCAATTTTGTGTGGTCAGTGCTGGGAGGGGTGAAGGACGAGGCGGATATCAGAGGGCACAGGCGGACGTACGTTGGGAGCATGCCGGGGCGACTGATCGAAGGGGTGAAGGTGAGAACAGGGGGTGTCGGGAGAGGGATTGTGCGTCTCTTGGGTGCAATTTTGTGTGGTCAGTGCTGGGAGGGGTGAAGGACGAGGCGGATATCAGAGGGCACAGGCGGACGTACGTTGGGAGCATGCCGGGGCGACTGATCGAAGGGGTGAAGGTGAGAACAGGGGGTGTAGGGAGAGGGATTGTGCGTCTCTTGGGTGCAATTTTGTGTGGTCAGTGCTGGGAGGGGTGAAGGACGAGGCGGATATCAGAGGGCACAGGCGGACGTACGTTGGGAGCATGCCGGGGCGACTGATCGAAGGGGTGAAGGTGAGAACAGGGGGTGTAGGGAGAGGGATTGTGCGTCTCTTGGGTGCAATTTTGTGTGGTCAGTGCTGGGAGGGGTGAAGGACGAGGCGGATATCAGAGGGCACAGGCGGACGTACGTTGGGAGCATGCCGGGGCGACTGATCGAAGGGGTGAAGGTGAGAACAGGGGGTGTAGGGAGAGGGATTGTGCGTCTCTTGGGTGCAATTTTGTGTGGTCAGTGCTGGGAGGGGTGAAGGACGAGGCGGATATCAGAGGGCACAGGCGGACGTACGTTGGGAGCATGCCGGGGCGACTGATCGAAGGGGTGAAGGTGAGAACAGGGGGTGTAGGGAGAGGGATTGTGCGTCTCTTGGGTGCAATTTTGTGTGGTCAGTGCTGGGAGGGGTGAAGGACGAGGCGGATATCAGAGGGCACAGGCGGACGTACGTTGGGAGCATGCCGGGGCGACTGATCGAAGGGGTGAAGGTGAGAACAGGGGGTGTAGGGAGAGGGATTGTGCGTCTCTTGGGTGCAATTTTGTGTGGTCAGTGCTGGGAGGGGTGAAGGACGAGGCGGATATCAGAGGGCACAGGCGGACGTACGTTGGGAGCATGCCGGGGCGACTGATCGAAGGGGTGAAGGTGAGAACAGGGGGTGTAGGGAGAGGGATTGTGCGTCTCTTGGGTGCAATTTTGTGTGGTCAGTGCTGGGAGGGGTGAAGGACGAGGCGGATATCAGAGGGCACAGGCGGACGTACGTTGGGAGCATGCCGGGGCGACTGATCGAAGGGGTGAAGGTGAGAACAGGGGGTGTAGGGAGAGGGATTGTGCGTCTCTTGGGTGCAATTTTGTGTGGTCAGTGCTGGGAGGGGTGAAGGACGAGGCGGATATCAGAGGGCACAGGCGGACGTACGTTGGGAGCATGCCGGGGCGACTGATCGAAGGGGTGAAGGTGAGAACAGGGGGTGTAGGGAGAGGGATTGTGCGTCTCTTGGGTGCAATTTTGTGTGGTCAGTGCTGGGAGGGGTGAAGGACGAGGCGGATATCAGAGGGCACAGGCGGACGTACGTTGGGAGCATGCCGGGGCGACTGATCGAAGGGGTGAAGGTGAGAACAGGGGGTGTAGGGAGAGGGATTGTGCGTCTCTTGGGTGCAATTTTGTGTGGTCAGTGCTGGGAGGGGTGAAGGACGAGGCGGATATCAGAGGGCACAGGCGGACGTACGTTGGGAGCATGCCGGGGCGACTGATCGAAGGGGTGAAGGTGAGAACAGGGGGTGTAGGGAGAGGGATTGTGCGTCTCTTGGGTGCAATTTTGTGTGGTCAGTGCTGGGAGGGGTGAAGGACGAGGCGGATATCAGAGGGCACAGGCGGACGTACGTTGGGAGCATGCCGGGGCGACTGATCGAAGGGGTGAAGGTGAGAACAGGGGGTGTAGGGAGAGGGATTGTGCGTCTCTTGGGTGCAATTTTGTGTGGTCAGTGCTGGGAGGGGTGAAGGACGAGGCGGATATCAGAGGGCACAGGCGGACGTACGTTGGGAGCATGCCGGGGCGACTGATCGAAGGGGTGAAGGTGAGAACAGGGGGTGTCGGGAGAGGGATTGTGCGTCTCTTGGGTGCAATTTTGTGTGGTCAGTGCTGGGAGGGGTGAAGGACGAGGCGGATATCAGAGGGCACAGGCGGACGTACGTTGGGAGCATGCCGGGGCGACTGATCGAAGGGGTGAAGGTGAGAACAGGGGGTGTAGGGAGAGGGATTGTGCGTCTCTTGGGTGCAATTTTGTGTGGTCAGTGCTGGGAGGGGTGAAGGACGAGGCGGATATCAGAGGGCACAGGCGGACGTACGTTGGGAGCATGCCGGGGCGACTGATCGAAGGGGTGAAGGTGAGAACAGGGGGTGTCGGGAGAGGGATTGTGCGTCTCTTGGGTGCAATTTTGTGTGGTCAGTGCTGGGAGGGGTGAAGGACGAGGCGGATATCAGAGGGCACAGGCGGACGTACGTTGGGAGCATGCCGGGGCGACTGATCGAAGGGGTGAAGGTGAGAACAGGGGGTGTAGGGAGAGGGATTGTGCGTCTCTTGGGTGCAATTTTGTGTGGTCAGTGCTGGGAGGGGTGAAGGACGAGGCGGATATCAGAGGGCACAGGCGGACGTACGTTGGGAGCATGCCGGGGCGACTGATCGAAGGGGTGAAGGTGAGAACAGGGGGTGTAGGGAGAGGGATTGTGCGTCTCTTGGGTGCAATTTTGTGTGGTCAGTGCTGGGAGGGGTGAAGGACGAGGCGGATATCAGAGGGCACAGGCGGACGTACGTTGGGAGCATGCCGGGGCGACTGATCGAAGGGGTGAAGGTGAGAACAGGGGGTGTAGGGAGAGGGATTGTGCGTCTCTTGGGTGCAATTTTGTGTGGTCAGTGCTGGGAGGGGTGAAGGACGAGGCGGATATCAGAGGGCACAGGCGGACGTACGTTGGGAGCATGCCGGGGCGACTGATCGAAGGGGTGAAGGTGAGAACAGGGGGTGTAGGGAGAGGGATTGTGCGTCTCTTGGGTGCAATTTTGTGTGGTCAGTGCTGGGAGGGGTGAAGGACGAGGCGGATATCAGAGGGCACAGGCGGACGTACGTTGGGAGCATGCCGGGGCGACTGATCGAAGGGGTGAAGGTGAGAACAGGGGGTGTAGGGAGAGGGATTGTGCGTCTCTTGGGTGCAATTTTGTGTGGTCAGTGCTGGGAGGGGTGAAGGACGAGGCGGATATCAGAGGGCACAGGCGGACGTACGTTGGGAGCATGCCGGGGCGACTGATCGAAGGGGTGAAGGTGAGAACAGGGGGTGTAGGGAGAGGGATTGTGCGTCTCTTGGGTGCAATTTTGTGTGGTCAGTGCTGGGAGGGGTGAAGGACGAGGCGGATATCAGAGGGCACAGGCGGACGTACGTTGGGAGCATGCCGGGGCGACTGATCGAAGGGGTGAAGGTGAGAACAGGGGGTGTAGGGAGAGGGATTGTGCGTCTCTTGGGTGCAATTTTGTGTGGTCAGTGCTGGGAGGGGTGAAGGACGAGGCGGATATCAGAGGGCACAGGCGGACGTACGTTGGGAGCATGCCGGGGCGACTGATCGAAGGGGTGAAGGTGAGAACAGGGGGTGTAGGGAGAGGGATTGTGCGTCTCTTGGGTGCAATTTTGTGTGGTCAGTGCTGGGAGGGGTGAAGGACGAGGCGGATATCAGAGGGCACAGGCGGACGTACGTTGGGAGCATGCCGGGGCGACTGATCGAAGGGGTGAAGGTGAGAACAGGGGGTGTAGGGAGAGGGATTGTGCGTCTCTTGGGTGCAATTTTGTGTGGTCAGTGCTGGGAGGGGTGAAGGACGAGGCGGATATCAGAGGGCACAGGCGGACGTACGTTGGGAGCATGCCGGGGCGACTGATCGAAGGGGTGAAGGTGAGAACAGGGGGTGTAGGGAGAGGGATTGTGCGTCTCTTGGGTGCAATTTTGTGTGGTCAGTGCTGGGAGGGGTGAAGGACGAGGCGGATATCAGAGGGCACAGGCGGACGTACGTTGGGAGCATGCCGGGGCGACTGATCGAAGGGGTGAAGGTGAGAACAGGGGGTGTAGGGAGAGGGATTGTGCGTCTCTTGGGTGCAATTTTGTGTGGTCAGTGCTGGGAGGGGTGAAGGACGAGGCGGATATCAGAGGGCACAGGCGGACGTACGTTGGGAGCATGCCGGGGCGACTGATCGAAGGGGTGAAGGTGAGAACAGGGGGTGTAGGGAGAGGGATTGTGCGTCTCTTGGGTGCAATTTTGTGTGGTCAGTGCTGGGAGGGGTGAAGGACGAGGCGGATATCAGAGGGCACAGGCGGACGTACGTTGGGAGCATGCCGGGGCGACTGATCGAAGGGGTGAAGGTGAGAACAGGGGGTGTCGGGAGAGGGATTGTGCGTCTCTTGGGTGCAATTTTGTGTGGTCAGTGCTGGGAGGGGTGAAGGACGAGGCGGATATCAGAGGGCACAGGCGGACGTACGTTGGGAGCATGCCGGGGCGACTGATCGAAGGGGTGAAGGTGAGAACAGGGGGTGTAGGGAGAGGGATTGTGCGTCTCTTGGGTGCAATTTTGTGTGGTCAGTGCTGGGAGGGGTGAAGGACGAGGCGGATATCAGAGGGCACAGGCGGACGTACGTTGGGAGCATGCCGGGGCGACTGATCGAAGGGGTGAAGGTGAGAACAGGGGGTGTCGGGAGAGGGATTGTGCGTCTCTTGGGTGCAATTTTGTGTGGTCAGTGCTGGGAGGGGTGAAGGACGAGGCGGATATCAGAGGGCACAGGCGGACGTACGTTGGGAGCATGCCGGGGCGACTGATCGAAGGGGTGAAGGTGAGAACAGGGGGTGTAGGGAGAGGGATTGTGCGTCTCTTGGGTGCAATTTTGTGTGGTCAGTGCTGGGAGGGGTGAAGGACGAGGCGGATATCAGAGGGCACAGGCGGACGTACGTTGGGAGCATGCCGGGGCGACTGATCGAAGGGGTGAAGGTGAGAACAGGGGGTGTAGGGAGAGGGATTGTGCGTCTCTTGGGTGCAATTTTGTGTGGTCAGTGCTGGGAGGGGTGAAGGACGAGGCGGATATCAGAGGGCACAGGCGGACGTACGTTGGGAGCATGCCGGGGCGACTGATCGAAGGGGTGAAGGTGAGAACAGGGGGTGTAGGGAGAGGGATTGTGCGTCTCTTGGGTGCAATTTTGTGTGGTCAGTGCTGGGAGGGGTGAAGGACGAGGCGGATATCAGAGGGCACAGGCGGACGTACGTTGGGAGCATGCCGGGGCGACTGATCGAAGGGGTGAAGGTGAGAACAGGGGGTGTAGGGAGAGGGATTGTGCGTCTCTTGGGTGCAATTTTGTGTGGTCAGTGCTGGGAGGGGTGAAGGACGAGGCGGATATCAGAGGGCACAGGCGGACGTACGTTGGGAGCATGCCGGGGCGACTGATCGAAGGGGTGAAGGTGAGAACAGGGGGTGTAGGGAGAGGGATTGTGCGTCTCTTGGGTGCAATTTTGTGTGGTCAGTGCTGGGAGGGGTGAAGGACGAGGCGGATATCAGAGGGCACAGGCGGACGTACGTTGGGAGCATGCCGGGGCGACTGATCGAAGGGGTGAAGGTGAGAACAGGGGGTGTAGGGAGAGGGATTGTGCGTCTCTTGGGTGCAATTTTGTGTGGTCAGTGCTGGGAGGGGTGAAGGACGAGGCGGATATCAGAGGGCACAGGCGGACGTACGTTGGGAGCATGCCGGGGCGACTGATCGAAGGGGTGAAGGTGAGAACAGGGGGTGTAGGGAGAGGGATTGTGCGTCTCTTGGGTGCAATTTTGTGTGGTCAGTGCTGGGAGGGGTGAAGGACGAGGCGGATATCAGAGGGCACAGGCGGACGTACGTTGGGAGCATGCCGGGGCGACTGATCGAAGGGGTGAAGGTGAGAACAGGGGGTGTAGGGAGAGGGATTGTGCGTCTCTTGGGTGCAATTTTGTGTGGTCAGTGCTGGGAGGGGTGAAGGACGAGGCGGATATCAGAGGGCACAGGCGGACGTACGTTGGGAGCATGCCGGGGCGACTGATCGAAGGGGTGAAGGTGAGAACAGGGGGTGTAGGGAGAGGGATTGTGCGTCTCTTGGGTGCAATTTTGTGTGGTCAGTGCTGGGAGGGGTGAAGGACGAGGCGGATATCAGAGGGCACAGGCGGACGTACGTTGGGAGCATGCCGGGGCGACTGATCGAAGGGGTGAAGGTGAGAACAGGGGGTGTCGGGAGAGGGATTGTGCGTCTCTTGGGTGCAATTTTGTGTGGTCAGTGCTGGGAGGGGTGAAGGACGAGGCGGATATCAGAGGGCACAGGCGGACGTACGTTGGGAGCATGCCGGGGCGACTGATCGAAGGGGTGAAGGTGAGAACAGGGGGTGTAGGGAGAGGGATTGTGCGTCTCTTGGGTGCAATTTTGTGTGGTCAGTGCTGGGAGGGGTGAAGGACGAGGCGGATATCAGAGGGCACAGGCGGACGTACGTTGGGAGCATGCCGGGGCGACTGATCGAAGGGGTGAAGGTGAGAACAGGGGGTGTAGGGAGAGGGATTGTGCGTCTCTTGGGTGCAATTTTGTGTGGTCAGTGCTGGGAGGGGTGAAGGACGAGGCGGATATCAGAGGGCACAGGCGGACGTACGTTGGGAGCATGCCGGGGCGACTGATCGAAGGGGTGAAGGTGAGAACAGGGGGTGTAGGGAGAGGGATTGTGCGTCTCTTGGGTGCAATTTTGTGTGGTCAGTGCTGGGAGGGGTGAAGGACGAGGCGGATATCAGAGGGCACAGGCGGACGTACGTTGGGAGCATGCCGGGGCGACTGATCGAAGGGGTGAAGGTGAGAACAGGGGGTGTAGGGAGAGGGATTGTGCGTCTCTTGGGTGCAATTTTGTGTGGTCAGTGCTGGGAGGGGTGAAGGACGAGGCGGATATCAGAGGGCACAGGCGGACGTACGTTGGGAGCATGCCGGGGCGACTGATCGAAGGGGTGAAGGTGAGAACAGGGGGTGTCGGGAGAGGGATTGTGCGTCTCTTGGGTGCAATTTTGTGTGGTCAGTGCTGGGAGGGGTGAAGGACGAGGCGGATATCAGAGGGCACAGGCGGACGTACGTTGGGAGCATGCCGGGGCGACTGATCGAAGGGGTGAAGGTGAGAACAGGGGGTGTAGGGAGAGGGATTGTGCGTCTCTTGGGTGCAATTTTGTGTGGTCAGTGCTGGGAGGGGTGAAGGACGAGGCGGATATCAGAGGGCACAGGCGGACGTACGTTGGGAGCATGCCGGGGCGACTGATCGAAGGGGTGAAGGTGAGAACAGGGGGTGTAGGGAGAGGGATTGTGCGTCTCTTGGGTGCAATTTTGTGTGGTCAGTGCTGGGAGGGGTGAAGGACGAGGCGGATATCAGAGGGCACAGGCGGACGTACGTTGGGAGCATGCCGGGGCGACTGATCGAAGGGGTGAAGGTGAGAACAGGGGGTGTAGGGAGAGGGATTGTGCGTCTCTTGGGTGCAATTTTGTGTGGTCAGTGCTGGGAGGGGTGAAGGACGAGGCGGATATCAGAGGGCACAGGCGGACGTACGTTGGGAGCATGCCGGGGCGACTGATCGAAGGGGTGAAGGTGAGAACAGGGGGTGTAGGGAGAGGGATTGTGCGTCTCTTGGGTGCAATTTTGTGTGGTCAGTGCTGGGAGGGGTGAAGGACGAGGCGGATATCAGAGGGCACAGGCGGACGTACGTTGGGAGCATGCCGGGGCGACTGATCGAAGGGGTGAAGGTGAGAACAGGGGGTGTAGGGAGAGGGATTGTGCGTCTCTTGGGTGCAATTTTGTGTGGTCAGTGCTGGGAGGGGTGAAGGACGAGGCGGATATCAGAGGGCACAGGCGGACGTACGTTGGGAGCATGCCGGGGCGACTGATCGAAGGGGTGAAGGTGAGAACAGGGGGTGTAGGGAGAGGGATTGTGCGTCTCTTGGGTGCAATTTTGTGTGGTCAGTGCTGGGAGGGGTGAAGGACGAGGCGGATATCAGAGGGCACAGGCGGACGTACGTTGGGAGCATGCCGGGGCGACTGATCGAAGGGGTGAAGGTGAGAACAGGGGGTGTAGGGAGAGGGATTGTGCGTCTCTTGGGTGCAATTTTGTGTGGTCAGTGCTGGGAGGGGTGAAGGACGAGGCGGATATCAGAGGGCACAGGCGGACGTACGTTGGGAGCATGCCGGGGCGACTGATCGAAGGGGTGAAGGTGAGAACAGGGGGTGTCGGGAGAGGGATTGTGCGTCTCTTGGGTGCAATTTTGTGTGGTCAGTGCTGGGAGGGGTGAAGGACGAGGCGGATATCAGAGGGCACAGGCGGACGTACGTTGGGAGCATGCCGGGGCGACTGATCGAAGGGGTGAAGGTGAGAACAGGGGGTGTAGGGAGAGGGATTGTGCGTCTCTTGGGTGCAATTTTGTGTGGTCAGTGCTGGGAGGGGTGAAGGACGAGGCGGATATCAGAGGGCACAGGCGGACGTACGTTGGGAGCATGCCGGGGCGACTGATCGAAGGGGTGAAGGTGAGAACAGGGGGTGTCGGGAGAGGGATTGTGCGTCTCTTGGGTGCAATTTTGTGTGGTCAGTGCTGGGAGGGGTGAAGGACGAGGCGGATATCAGAGGGCACAGGCGGACGTACGTTGGGAGCATGCCGGGGCGACTGATCGAAGGGGTGAAGGTGAGAACAGGGGGTGTAGGGAGAGGGATTGTGCGTCTCTTGGGTGCAATTTTGTGTGGTCAGTGCTGGGAGGGGTGAAGGACGAGGCGGATATCAGAGGGCACAGGCGGACGTACGTTGGGAGCATGCCGGGGCGACTGATCGAAGGGGTGAAGGTGAGAACAGGGGGTGTAGGGAGAGGGATTGTGCGTCTCTTGGGTGCAATTTTGTGTGGTCAGTGCTGGGAGGGGTGAAGGACGAGGCGGATATCAGAGGGCACAGGCGGACGTACGTTGGGAGCATGCCGGGGCGACTGATCGAAGGGGTGAAGGTGAGAACAGGGGGTGTCGGGAGAGGGATTGTGCGTCTCTTGGGTGCAATTTTGTGTGGTCAGTGCTGGGAGGGGTGAAGGACGAGGCGGATATCAGAGGGCACAGGCGGACGTACGTTGGGAGCATGCCGGGGCGACTGATCGAAGGGGTGAAGGTGAGAACAGGGGGTGTCGGGAGAGGGATTGTGCGTCTCTTGGGTGCAATTTTGTTTCTTTCTTTCCCCAACCCATCCCAATCTTTCCGCTGCTGCTAGCATGCCCTCTCTTCCCCAACCCCTCCCACTCCTCTTCACATTCTCCCTCTAACCAGCGTGTGGGAGTCAACAACCCTGTGATGCTGCTGGACGAGATCGACAAGACAGGTGCCGATGCCCGGGGCGACCCTGCTGCTGCCAACAACGCCCCACTCTTCCCTCAAGCCCTCCGCTTCTCCCCCTTGTACTGCTCTCTCCCCTTACACCCACCAGCGTGTGGGAGTGAACAACCCCGTCATGCTGCTGGACGAGATTGACAAGACTGGTGCCGACGCCAGGGGTGACCCTGCTGCTTCTAGCAACGCCCTTACTTTCCGCGACACCCTATATTCACCCCCCTGTTCTGCTCCTCTAACCAGCATGTGGGCGTCAACAACCCAGTCATGCTGCTGGACGAGATCGACAAGATGGGCGTCGATGCCCGGGGTCACCCAGCTGCACCGCACTTCCCTCTCCTGTTCCGCAAGCCCTCACATTCGTCCCCCTGTACTGCTCCCTCCCCACCACCAGCGTGTGGGCGTCAACAACCCAGTCATGCTGCTGGACGAGATTGACAAGACCGGGGCTGATGCGAGGGGCGACCCTGCTGCTGTCAGCAACGCTCTCCCTTTTCTCAACCCTTCCTACTCGCCCCACTGTGCTGCTCTCTCCATCCTCCCCTCCCCACCAGCGTGTGGGGGTGAACAATCCCGTCATGCTGCTGGACGAGATCGACAAGGCCGGTGCCGATGCCCAGTGTGACCCTGCTGCTGCCAGCAACTCCCCCTCTCTCTCCCGTTCAACCCCCTGCATTGCTCTCTCCCTCTCATCCCTGTGCGTCTCCCCCCATCAGCGTGTGGGCGTCAACAACCCAGTCATGCTGCTGGACGAGATCGACAAGACAGGTGCCGATGCCCGGGGTGACCCTGCTGCTGCCAGCAACTCCCCTCTCTCTCCCATTCAACCCCCTGCATTGCTCTTCCCTCTCATCTCTGTCGTTCTCTCACCCCCACCAGCGTGTGGGCGTCAACAACCCAGTCATGCTGCTTGATGAGATCGACAAGACCGGTGCCGATGCCAGGGCGACCCTGCTGCTGCTGCCAGCAACTCCCCTCTCTTCCCCCATCCCCTCCCAATCCACCCTCCACCAGCGTGTGGGCGTCAACAACCCAGTCATGCTGCTGGACGAGATCGACAAGACCGGCGCCGATGCCAGGGCGACCCTGCTGCTGCTGCCAGCAACTCCCCTCTCTTCCCCCATCCCCTCCCAATCCACCCTCCACCAGCGTGTGGGGGTCAACAACCCCATCATGCTGCTGGACGAGATTGACAAGACCGGCGCCGATGCCAGGGCGACCCTGCTGCTGCTGCCAGCAACTCCCCTCTCTTCCCCCATCCCCTCCCAATCCACCCTCCACCAGCGTGTGGGGGTCAACAACCCCATCATGCTGCTGGACGAGATTGACAAGACCGGCGCCGATGCCAGGGCGACCCTGCTGCTGCTGCCAGCAACTCCCCTCTCTTCCCCCATCCCCTCCCAATCCACCCTCCACCAGCGTGTGGGGGTCAACAACCCCATCATGCTGCTGGACGAGATTGACAAGACCGGCGCCGATGCCAGGGCGACCCTGCTGCTGCTGCCAGCAACTCCCCTCTCTTCCCCCATCCCCTCCCAATCCACCCTCCACCAGCGTGTGGGGGTCAACAACCCCATCATGCTGCTGGACGAGATTGACAAGACCGGCGCCGATGCCAGGGCGACCCTGCTGCTGCTGCCAGCAACTCCCCTCTCTTCCCCCATCCCCTCCCAATCCACCCTCCACCAGCGTGTGGGGGTCAACAACCCCATCATGCTGCTGGACGAGATTGACAAGACCGGCGCCGATGCCAGGGCGACCCTGCTGCTGCTGCCAGCAACTCCCCTCTCTTCCCCCATCCCCTCCCAATCCACCCTCCACCAGCGTGTGGGGGTCAACAACCCCATCATGCTGCTGGACGAGATTGACAAGACCGGCGCCGATGCCAGGGCGACCCTGCTGCTGCTGCCAGCAACTCCCCTCTCTTCCCCCATCCCCTCCCAATCCACCCTCCACCAGCGTGTGGGGGTCAACAACCCCATCATGCTGCTGGACGAGATTGACAAGACCGGCGCCGATGCCAGGGCGACCCTGCTGCTGCTGCCAGCAACTCCCCTCTCTTCCCCCATCCCCTCCCAATCCACCCTCCACCAGCGTGTGGGGGTCAACAACCCCATCATGCTGCTGGACGAGATTGACAAGACCGGTGCCGATGCCAGGGCGACCCTGCTGCTGCTGCCAGCAACTCCCCTCTCTTCCCCCATCCCCTCCCAATCCACCCTCCACCAGCGTGTGGGGGTCAACAACCCCATCATGCTGCTGGACGAGATTGACAAGACCGGCGCCGATGCCAGGGCGACCCTGCTGCTGCTGCCAGCAACTCCCCTCTCTTCCCCCATCCCCTCCCAATCCACCCTCCACCAGCGTGTGGGGGTCAACAACCCCATCATGCTGCTGGACGAGATTGACAAGACCGGCGCCGATGCCAGGGCGACCCTGCTGCTGCTGCCAGCAACTCCCCTCTCTTCCCCCATCCCCTCCCAATCCACCCTCCACCAGCGTGTGGGGGTCAACAACCCCATCATGCTGCTGGACGAGATTGACAAGACCGGCGCCGATGCCAGGGGCGACCCTGCTGCTGCACTCTCGTTCTCCCTTTCCTCAATCCAGCTCAATCACTCCCTCCCTGCTATCTCACCCTAAACCCTAAACCAGCGTGTGCTGATGCCAGGGGCGATCCTGCTGCTGCGCTGCTGGAGGTGCTGGATCCCGAGCAGAACAAGTGCTTCCAGGACCAGTTGAGTGGAACAGATGGGTTGAGTGCGGTACTGCTTTGTGCTGCTTGCTAGGTAAAGGAGATCAGCTGTGCGGTGTGGGCTGTCCTTGAATGCTGCTGCGGCACTGCTGGAGGTGCTGGACCCCGAGCAGAACAAGTGCTTCCAGGACCAGTTGAGTGGGGCAGATGGGTTGAGTGCGGTGCTGCTGAGTCCAGGGATCAGTTGTGTGGGCTGTGGTAGAGGACCGCTGCTGCTTCTGCTTTTCTGCTGCTGCGGCACTGCTGGAGGTGCTGGATCCCGAGCAGAACAAGTGCTTCCAGGACCAGTTGAGTGGAACAGATGGGTTGAGAGCAGTGCCGTAATCTGCTGCTAAGTGAGGGATGCCAGTAGACTCGGCTCTAGGACCAGTTGAGTGGGGTCGTTTTGACCGCGCAGCACCCATTCCAGCCCCTTTAGGAAGGCACCCAGTCTCCTCTTCTCCCCCCACCTCCTCCCACACCCGCTCCCCCCACCAGCTATCTGGGAGTGCCCTTTGATCTCTCGCGCGTGGTGTTTGTGGCAACAGCCAACCGCGCAGCACCCATCCCAGCCGCTCTGCTGGACCGCATGGAGGTGATCGACCTGCCGGGCTACACCCCCGAGGAGAAGCAGCGAATCGCCACGCGCCACCTCATCCCGCGCGTGCTGGAGCAGCATGGCATCACCAAGCGCCACCTGCATATCTCTGATGTGAGATCCCATTACTGGTTCTAGTATGTGAGACTGAGCAGCTCTTGTCTCGCCTTCCTCATCCCGCGTGTGCTGGAGCAGCATGGCATCACCAAGCGCCACCTGCATATCTCAGATGTGAGACCTGACCTGCTGCGTGGGTTGTATGTATTGTATTGAATGTGAGCCCTCGTGGATCCTTACTTCAATAGTGCAATGAATTGAATCGCCCACGTGGCACCTCATCCCTCCCTCAACCAGCCCCCTAGGAGCCTTGGTTAGTAGTGCAATGAACTGAATCGCCATGCGCCACTTCATCCCGCGCGTGCTGGAGCAGCACGGGATCACCAAACGCCACCTGCATATCTCGGATGTGAGATTTTATATGATATTCTAGTGCTTCGTGTACACAATGCTTCAGCTCTTTTTCAATCTAGTGCTGGAGCAGCATGGCATCACCAAACGCCACCTGCATATCTCTGACGTGAGATTTGACTTGCTACTATTGGGGTCGCATTGTATTGTATGTGCGTCCTGTGGAGACTTTTGAGTCGACTCATAAGTCACCTTGTGAGATTTGACTTGCTACTATTGGGGTCGCATTGTATTGTATGTGCGTCCTGTGGAGACTTTTGAGTCGACTCAAAAGTCACCTTGTGAGATTTGACTTGCTACTATTGGGGTCGCATTGTATTGTATGTGCGTCCTGTGGATCCTGTTTTTGAGTCGACTCAAAAACAGGTCGCATTGTATTGTATGTGCGTCCTGTGGAGACTTTTGAGTCGACTCAAAAGTCACCTTGTGAGATTTGACTTGCTACTATTGGGGTCGCATTGTATTGTATGTGCGTCCTGTGGAGACTTTTGAGTCGACTCAAAAGTCACCTTGTGAGATTTGACTTGCTACTATTGGGGTCGCATTGTATTGTATGTGCGTCCTGTGGATCCTGTTTTTGAGTCGACTCAAAAACAGGTCGCATTGTATTGTATGTGCGTCCTGTGGATCCTTAGTTAAATAGTGCACCGTATCGCACGGCATCACCAAGAGCCACCTCCATATCTCGGGTGTGAGATTTGATTCGTTTTGCCTTTGCTGCTAGTTTTTGGCTAGTGCGTGCATTGTGAACTCTTGGTCGATGGACCAAAACAGATATCCTCTTCGGCTCTTTTCCCCCGTCCCCCATTTCGCCTTTCCCATCCCCTCTCATCAACTCAACAGCACGCAGTGGAGGTGTTGATAACGCGCTATACTCATGGGGCAGGAGAGAGGCACTGCACAGACCCCAATCCAGGTCTCCCTCTCTCGTGTCTTCTGTCTTTTCCCTCCGTCCCTATGCTCCCCTTGCCCCCATTTCGTCTCCTCCTCTCATCAACAGCATGCTGTGGAGCTGCTGATACTCGCGAGGCAGCAGTGAGGAATCTGAGCTGGCTCCCCCCACATCCCCCGTTTCTTCCAAACCACCTCACCTCCATTTTCCCTCATCTCCTCCTCTCACCAACAGCATGCAGTGGAGTTGCTGATAACGCGCTATACTCGTGAGGCGGGAGTGAGGAATCTGAGCCGCCTGCTGGCAGCACTGGCCAGGCATGCCGCCGTGCAGGTGCGTGGACTTGAGTTGACTTGTGTTGACTCAGGTTGCCTTGTGTTGACTTCCGTGGTTGACTTGCGCGGTTGACTTGGATTGATTGCTAGTAACGCGCTACATAATGGTGGCAGGAGTGAGGAACCCGAGCCGCCTGCTGGTTATATGGGCCAGCCAGACACGGTGCCATGCAGTAGGGTTAAACTGGGTTGACTCTGGTTGTCCTCGGTTGACTTGGGTTGACTTGGGTTGACTTGGGTTGACTTCGGTTGAGGGTGAGGAACCTGAGCCACCTGCTGGCAGCACTGGCCAGGCACGCTGCCGGGCAGGCGGGTGGTTCTATTGGCATGACCCGTTGCAGTGTTTCACGCTCGTACGTCTCTTCCCACCCTTCCAACCCACTACCACAGGTGGCCCAGTCCAATCGCTGCATCCGCGTAGCAAGGGAAGTGAGCGAGAACCCCCCCTGCTCCCGGAAGCCTCTCTGCTCCTGCGCTGGAAGCCTCTCCTATGCCTCTTCTCACCACTCCAAAGACCCACCCTCCTCCACGCTCCACCTACAGGTGGCCCAGTCCAATCGCTGCATCCGCGTAGCAAGGGAAGTGAGCAGGAACACCCCTACTCCTGGGGCTGCTCCTGCCCCTGGCTCCGCCCCTGCTGGTGCACCCAGCTCTGCTGCTGCCATCTGACTCTCCAATGTCTCTTCTCACCACACCACCACCCACCACCGCCCTCCACCTACAGGTGGCCCAGTCGAATCGCTGCATCCGAGTAACGAGGGAAGTGAGCGGGACCCACCCTACTCCTGGCGCTGCCCCTGCCGGCACACCCAGCTCTGCTGCTACTGCTTCTGACCCGCTCGCCACAGCAGCAGCAGTGGGGGACGCCAAGGCTGAGCTTGAGATGGAAGTGGAGGCCATAGGGATGGAGGTGAGTGGAGAGCGATCCAGTGCGGTGGAATGCATTGCAGTGCGGTGCAGTGAGGATCAGTTAAAATCTCTCTCTCTGACGACTGACCCGCTGGCGGGGCGGCAGCAGCAGTGGGGGACGCCAAGGCGGAACTCGAGATGGAAGTGGAGGCGATAGGCATGGAGGTGAGCGGAGACAGTTACAGAGGGGTGAATTGTGGTGCAGTGCGGTGCAATAAGGATCAGTAGGGAGCTCTCTCTACCACAGGTGGTGACTCGCTGGTCATAGCAGCAGCAGTGGGGGACGCCAAGGCGGAGCTCGAGATGGAAGTGGAGGCGATAGGCATGGAGGTGAGCGGAGACAGTTACAGAGGGGTGAATTGTGGTGCAGTGCGGTGCAATAAGGATCAGTAGGGAGCTCTCTCTACCACAGGTGGTGACTCGCTGGTCATAGCAGCAGCAGTGGGGGACGCCAAGGCGGAGCTCGAGATGGAAGTGGAGGCGATAGGCATGGAGGTGAGCGGAGACAGTTACAGAGGGGTGAATTGTGGTGCAGTGCGGTGCAATAAGGATCAGTAGGGAGCTCTCTCTACCACAGGTGGTGACTTGCTGGTCATAGCAGCAGCAGTGGGGGACGCCAAGGCGGAGCTCGAGATGGAAGTGGAGGCGATAGGCATGGAGGTGAGCGGAGACAGTTACAGAGGGGTGAATTGTGGTGCAGTGCGGTGCAATAAGGATCAGTAGGGAGCTCTCTCTACCACAGGTGGTGACTCGCTGGTCATAGCAGCAGCAGTGGGGGACGCCAAGGCGGAGCTCGAGATGGAAGTGGAGGCGATAGGCATGGAGGTGAGCGGAGACAGTTACAGAGGGGTGAATTGTGGTGCAGTGCGGTGCAATAAGGATCAGTAGGGAGCTCTCTCTACCACAGGTGGTGACTCGCTGGTCATAGCAGCAGCAGTGGGGGACGCCAAGGCGGAACTCGAGGTGGAAGTGGAGGCGATAGGCATGGAGGTGAGCGGAGACAGTTACAGAGGGGTGAATTGTGGTGCAGTGCGGTGCAATAAGGATCAGTAGGGAGCTCTCTCTACCACAGGTGGTGACTCGCTGGTCATAGCAGCAGCAGTGGGGGACGCCAAGGCGGAACTCGAGATGGAAGTGGAGGCGATAGGCATGGAGGTGAGCGGAGACAGTTACAGAGGGGTGAATTGTGGTGCAGTGCGGTGCAATAAGGATCAGTAGGGAGCTCTCTCTACCACAGGTGGTGACTCGCTGGTCATAGCAGCAGCAGTGGGGGACGCCAAGGCGGAGCTCGAGATGGAAGTGGAGGCGATAGGCATGGAGGTGAGCGGAGACAGTTACAGAGGGGTGAATTGTGGTGCAGTGCGGTGCAATAAGGATCAGTAGGGAGCTCTCTCTACCACAGGTGGTGACTCGCTGGTCATAGCAGCAGCAGTGGGGGACGCCAAGGCGGAACTCGAGATGGAAGTGGAGGCGATAGGCATGGAGGTGAGCGGAGACAGTTACAGAGGGGTGAATTGTGGTGCAGTGCGGTGCAATAAGGATCAGTAGGGAGCTCTCTCTACCACAGGTGGTGACTCGCTGGTCATAGCAGCAGCAGTGGGGGACGCCAAGGCGGAACTCGAGATGGAAGTGGAGGCGATAGGCATGGAGGTGAGCGGAGACAGTTACAGAGGGGTGAATTGTGGTGCAGTGCGGTGCAATAAGGATCAGTAGGGAGCTCTCTCTACCACAGGTGGTGACTCGCTGGTCATAGCAGCAGCAGTGGGGGACGCCAAGGCGGAGCTCGAGATGGAAGTGGAGGCCATAGGCATGGAAGTGAGTGGACACCGGTCCAGTGCGGTGCACTAAGGTAAAGTAAGGAGTTCTCTCTGACACGTCTGACCCGCTGATGGCAGCAGTAGCTGTGGGGGATGCAAAGGCGGAACTCGAGATGGAAGTGGAGGCGATAGGCATAGAGGTGAGTGGAGACTGGTTCAGTGCGGTGCAGAGCGGTGCAATATGGATCAGTAGGTGTCTGACCCGCTAGCCACAGCAGCAGCGGTGGGAGACGCCCTAGGCGGAGCTCGAGATGGAAGTGGGGCAAGGATGCGGCGGCAATGACGGCGGACTCGGACCACTTGGAGGTCACTGAAAATATGCTCCAGCAAATGTTGCAGCTCTCTCCTTTTCACCCCTCAAACTTCGTCCTCTTCTTCCCGTCCTCCGTCCAGAGAAGGGAGGTGGCAGCGATGATGGCTGACTCAGACCCCATGGAGGTCACAGAGGAGATGAATGGGTGCTGCAGGTCCCCGCGGGGTGCTGCACTCTGTGATCACTCCTCTTCACCCCTCTGCACTGCTCTCTCGTTCCACACCATTTAACCCTCTCTCCTTCCAGGGCAAGGAGGTGGCAGCAGTGATGGCTGACTCAGACCCCATCGAGATGACAGAAGAGATGCTGGAGAAAGTGCTGCAATTCACCCCTCTCCACACTTCTGCACCACTCTCTTTCCTCTCCACTCCGGAAACCCTCCCTTCCAGGGCAAGGAGGTGGCAGCAGTGATGGCTGACTCAGACCCGATCGAGGTCACAGAGGAGATGCTGGAGAAAGTGCTGGGGGTGAGTGGGTGGGATCATGGCGGTGAATGGGTCTCGCGGTGTAGGTGCATTCAGTGTGTTGCGCTGTTCATATGCGTAAGGGGCAATGCTGTTTGACAGTAAACCGAGTACAATTTTGAGTTGACTTTTTAGTTGACCCAAAAGTCATCCTAGTGGAAGGGACTATGCTTTCCGATTGAGGTTTTCCTTACATTGTGGTGGTGATTTAATAGGTGCACTATGTGTTGTTTGCACATAGAAAGAGTGATGCTATTTGGGTGATGTCGCGGATGCTTCCTTACCTGTCTCGCTTCTTAACTCTCTGCTTTTCCTCCAACCCAGCCCTCTCCCAGTTGCACTGCTCAGCGCATTACCAACCCCTTCCTTCCTTTTTCTGTCCCTTTTTTCTATCCCTTTCCTTCTCCCCTCTACTCTCTCCTTTATCCTCTCTCCCCTCTCATCTCTCCCTTGTCCCTCTCCCTTCCCCCAGCCTCCCAAGTTTGACAGCAGGGAGGCAGCAGAGAGGGTGGCAACGCCGGGAGTGGCGGTTGGGCTGGTGTGGACGGCAGTGGGGGGGCGAGGTGCAGTTCGTTGAATCTTCCTTTTGACCCTTTACCCCCATCCCCCCATCCCCTCCCTTCCCCCAGCCTCCCAAGTTTGACGGCAGGGAGGCAGCAGAGAGAGTTGCAACCCCGGGAGTGGCGGTTGGGCTGGTGTGGACGGCAGTGGGGGGCAAAGTGCAGTTTTTTTAAGCCCCTTTTGGACCCCTCTTTCCTTCCCCATGTTCCTCGCCCCTCCCTTCTCTATTCTTTCCTGTTCCCATCCCAGCCTCCCAAGTTTGACGGCAGGGAGGCAGCAGAGAGGGTGGCAACACCGGGAGTGGCAGTTGGGCTCGTGTGGACGGCAGTGGGGGGTGGGCGAGGTGCAGTTTGTTAAAGACTTTTTTGACCGTTTACCCCATGCCTTCTCCCCCCATCCCCTCCCTTCATCCCAGCCTCCCAAGTTTGACGGCAGGGAGGCAGCAGAGAGGGTGGCAACCCCGGGAGTGGCGGTGGGGCTGGTGTGGACGGCAGTGGGTGGGGAAGTGCAGTTTGTTGAAGCGACAGACATGGTGGGGAAGGGAGAGCTGCATCTGACTGGGCAGCTGGGAGATGTGATCAAGGAATCGGCTCAGATTGCTCTCACTTGGGTGAGTTTTGAAGCAGTACGAGGTTGAGGTTTCAAGGACTGGCTGGTGTGGACGGCAGTGGGTGGGGAAGTGCAGTTTGTTGAAGCGACAGACATGGTGGGGAAGGGAGAGCTGCATCTGACTGGGCAGCTGGGAGATGTGATCAAGGAATCGGCTCAGATTGCTCTCACTTGGGTTAGTTTATAACGAGTACATGTGTGAGATGAGGTTGCAATACAAGGTCTGGGAGGATGGGGAGAGGCATGAGCAGTGGTGGGAGGAAGGCGAAATGCAGTCGTAGACTGTTGACAGGTCAGCTGGGAGATGTGATCAAGGAGTCAGCTCAGATTGCACTCACTTGGGTGAGCGCTTACTTGACTTTTGACCACCTTCCTCGTCTCTTCCTCGTCCCATCTCTTCTCCATCCCCTCTCTTCTTCATCTCCCTCTTCCCCAATCCCCTTTGTTCTTTACCTCGTTCCCCTCACCTCAGGTCCGTGCCAGCCAGGGCAGCAGAGCTCGTCCCACCACCCCCTTCCTCTACCCCTTACTCCCCTCTCTCGGCCCTGCCCTCTTCCTCATCCACTCCCTATCTCTTTCTTTTTTCATCTCCAATCCCCTCTACTGTTTGCTTCAACCCCCTCAGGTCCGTGCCAGGGCAGCAGAGTTCTTCCCACCACCGCCTACCTCCACTCCATCCTCCTCCTCTCCTCCGCCCTTCACCCCATCAGACCATCCATTCGATGACTCCACACCTTCTGCTGACCACCTCCCCCCTCTCGGCCCCTATGGAGCTGTCTCCTCCTCCCCTGCATCCGCCCCTACTGTCGTCCCCACCATCCTTCCCTCATCCTTCGCTCCTCCTCTCACATCTTCCGCTCCTGCCGTTGCTGCTGCTGGTAGTTATGCCATTGCTGCTTCTCGGGCTGCTACTCCCTCTGCTGCTGCCACTGCTTCTCATGCTGCTGCAGCTGCAGCCCCTGCCGCCGCCGCTGCTGCTGCTATATCCGCTTCTGCTACCACCAGCTACATGAGCACAGCAACTGCTGGCAATCGGATTGGCAACGGCATTGGCAAGAGCATTGGCAACGGCAGTGGCAAGAGCAGTGGAAAGAACAGCAGTATCCGCCTGGGCAGGAGCAGCTTTTCCCCTCCCGCCGCCTCCTCTCCTTCCTCTGGGCCTGCGCCTCTCCCTCGCAATCTTATGGAGGGGCGAGACATACACATCCACTTCCCCGCAGGTAAAACAATTTACTCCCTTCTCACTTGTGCTCAGCTGCGAGTATCCAACATGCGAGCACAGCTATAGTAGTAGTTGTCAATGGCAAGGACAGCACCCCGTGCCTTTCCCTCGCAACCTCATGGAGGGGCGAGACATTCACATCCACTTCCCTGCAGGTAAGGCAGTGCACCCAGTTGTGCCCTTGACTGGCTTAGTGCCTCACACACACACGTCACACACGAACTATCACACACACACATCTCACGCTTGCGTGTAATACGCTTCCAGCCTTCTCCAAATACACTGCGTCTAATCTCTTAGGTACCCAAGTACAGCTTAAGGAATCCAGCTTGCAGCTGATTTTACAAATCTACGTGCCTTTCCCTTCCCACTCGCTCTAGGCGCTGTGCCTAAAGACGTCCCTTCGGCTGGTGTTACACCGGTAACCGCGCTCGTGTCTCTCCTCTCCAACCTTTCTGTCTGCACCATGCTGGAACTTACTTGCGATTTTTTTCATGCTTAGTTTCTCTTGCGTTCCCACTCGCTCATTTACAGGTGCTGTGCCCAAGGATGGCCCTTCAGCTGGTGTTACGCTGGTAACCGCGCTCGTGTCTCTCCTCTCCAACCTCGTTTTCTACACCATGCTGTAACTCACATGCGTATCCTTTCTCATGTGTGTTCCCTTGACTTCCCTCTGCCTCCAGGTGCTGTGCCTAAGGATGGCCCATCGGCTGGTGTTACGCTGGTAACCGCACTCGTGTCTCTCCTCTCCAACCGCTGTGTGCGATCGGACACGGCCATGACTGGGGAGCTCACACTCAGGGGCTTGGTTCTGCCCGTTGGGGGGGTGAAGGAAAAGGTGAGACATCACCAGTGCACCGCTGTGACTCTTCTCTTCCTTCCTCTCACCTCCTCTCCTCTCCTCTCCAACCGCTGTGTGCGGTTGGACACGGCCATGACTGGCGAGCACTCTCTCATTGGGCTGGTTCTGCCTGTAGGGGGCGTCAAGGAGAAGGTGAGAGCTGATCCGTGCACTGCTGTCTGTCTCTTCTTTCCACTCCTCTCCTCTCCAACCGCTGTGTACGATCGGACACGGCCATGACTGGAGAGCTCACACTCAGGGGCCTGGTTCTGCCCGTAGGGGGCGTCAAGGAGAAGGTGAGTGTCAGTGATTGCAGCACTGCCTGCCTTGCAGTTTGAGAAATGTCTGTCTCTTCTCTTCATTTCCCTCCTCTCCTCTCCAACCGCTGTGTGCGGTCGGACACGGCCATGACTCAGAGGGCTGGTTTTGCCTGTTGGGGCCGTCAAGGAGAAGTTGAGTCAGTGCTGGGGAGTGGCAAGATAAGGTTGCTATAGCCACGCACTGTGTGTGCATGCATGCGCGCGCGCGCATGTGTGTGTGACACGGCCATGACCTAGGAGCTCACACTCAGGGGCTTGGTTCTACCCGGTGGGGGTGTCAAGGAGAAGGTGGGCACAGTTGCAACTTGGCAAATGAGAATTACCATCACAGCTGCTCTCAGCAGCATGCATTCACTCCACCTTTCTTCGTCTCTCAGTCATCTTCTTGCCTCTCCGTCTTCTTTTTCTGCCCATCCTCCTGCCTCCCTTATTCTCCTCTCCTCTTCTGTTTTCACCGTTCAGATTCTCGCTGCCCATCGCTGCGGCATCAGGCGAGTTATTCTGCCCGAAAAGAACATCAAGGATCTCCAGGAGGTGCCGGCTGCTGTGCTGGCATGCATGGAGGTAGGGTGACGTGGCATGAGTGCTGGCATGCATGGAGATAGGCTGACGTGGCATGTGTGCTGGGATGCATGGAGGTAGGCTGACGTGGCATGTGTGGAAGTGGGATGATGTGGTATCATGCGTGGAGATAGGATGATGTGGCATCTGTTTGGGATGATGTGGCATAACGCATGGTGGTAGGATGATGTGCCATGCACAGAGGTAGGATGCATGTCCTGAACGAAAATAGGTAGACATGGAATGCGTGAATGCTGCTTGCCTGCAGAGGGAATGATTTGGGTTCATGAGGGCATGAATCGGTTCATTGTATCCCGGAGTAGATTTAGGACATGTTAGCTGCATAAATATCTTGCTCTGTATAAGAAAGGACATTTAGGTGTCAGTGAAAGGCTGTACTATGAAGGGAGCATTGCAAGTGGTGGTGCTCAGACTGCATGTTCTTTGTCCTGGAAATGGTACATGGAATAAATTCCATCTTATCCTCTCCCATGTTTTTTTTTTCCTTGTCAGATCCTTCCGACAAAGCGGGTGGAAGAAGTGCTTGAAGAGGCGTTTGAGGGTGGCAGTCCCATTGGTCCTCGCAGCCGTATTTAGCACACTGATTCCAGCTGCTTGGCCTGGGTCAATTGCATGCTCTAATTTATGGAGCATGGAAGTGGATATGATTATTATACATTACTTTCTATACACGATTCGATTTCTCAGACCTTATGGCTTTAGTGCAGTGCTCCTTTTTGTCGTGATTTTCTTCCTTCATTTCGAGAGTGTGTTCGTGAATTGTTCGCGAACGCTTTCGTTGCAGTCTCGCAACCGCAACTTCGTCAACCCCAAGGTCGGTTCCGCCGTTCCCCATCACCCAATCACTGTGCGCGTTCTCCGACTTCCCCCATCTCCCCACTTTGTTTTCCGCGTTCTCCTCCACCACTTCCCCCCAGCCGCCGCGTTTCCCCGCCCAAGCGCGGAATTCTCGATATTCCGCCCACTCACAAAACCTGCAACCAGCAGCAAATAGATTCCTTTTCCTGGGCGAATCTGGGACTTACACTGCCGATCCCGCACCTGACGCCGTGTCTTCAGGTTATACACTGTAGATTGGTCTAAGCACAGTGGTAGCCTGTCACCCAGCACTTGTGGGGTCCGCCAGCCTCGGAGGCCTGTCTTCAGAAACGCTTAGTCAGCTCTTTCATCTTGTGGTCTCTGACAGGTTGTGGAGGAAGTGAACAAACTCCGTAATTCGTACAAGGGTAGGCGTTGCCTGTCCGCGACATTTGGCAGACGGCCTCGGTAGACGTTGATTTTTAATTGACACGTCAAGATGAGTCCGAATGACGTGGCCGATAAGCTGGCTGACGCCACGCTGGCCGACGCCGCGCCAGCAGCCGACGCCGCGCCAGCAGCTTCCGCGAAACCTGAGAAAGCCGCTAAAGGCAAGGGTGCCGACAAGGGCGCCGACAAAGCCGCTGCCGCCGCGGCCGCCGCTGCGAAAGAGGCGGCGAAGATTGCGCCGGAGATTCAGGCTTTTTTTAAGAGGAGGATTGAGATGTTCGAGGCGCTTCAGAAGGAGCAGGCAGAGCAGAGGGCAAAGATCGCCGGCGATCCGATTAAGTGAGACCAATGCCTTTAGTTTGTGACAATAACGCGGGGGACAGTAACGGATGGAGAGCAATGATTTTTTAGGTGGACGAGCTGCGTAGAGGGGGAAAGCCGCTGGCGATCCGTTGAAGTAAGGTCAATGCATAACATTGCAGAAAAGGCAGAAAAAGAGAGCGAATTCGGTACTACTGCGGGAATGCAGGGTTTTACCGAGGTTTCTCTTGCACTTTCTGATCATTATCCGATCCGATCCGATCCGTGGCTGCACGTGCACCCACACCCTTCCCTCCCCTCCCCTCTCTCCCTCCCCTTTCTTCCCCTTCCTCCTACCTCTTCCCCCTCTTCCGTCTTCCCCCTTCTCCCTTTTGTGTCACATTCGCCAGGATCACCCTGCCCGACGGTGCTGTGAAGGAGGGAAAGAAGTGGGAGACCTCTCCGATGGACGTGGCCAAGGGCATCTCGCAGGGGCTCGCCAACAGCGCCATCATCTCCAAGGTGAGGGAGAGACAAGTTGCGGTGCAGTGCAGGTCAAAGTGTTTCTGGTTCCAGTCAAGTGTCAACTCGCGGGGGCCGTGCTCTGATCTGATCCCAAGGAGGTTGGGAAGTGGGGGACCTCTCCAATGGACGTGGCTAAGGGCATCTCGCAGGGACTCGCCAACAGCGCCATCATCTCCAAGGTGCGCGGAGGGTCCAGGTCAGAGTGGAATTGGTTGCAATCACCTCGCCCCGCGTGGTAGCGCTCTGATCCCATACGAAGGAGGGAAAGAAGTGGGAGACCTCTCCGATGGACGTGGCTAAGGGCATCTCGCAGGGGCTCGCCAACAGCGCCATCATCTCCAAGGTGAGAGCGAGGCAAGCTGAGTTGAGAGGAATTCGCGGTTGACGCTCCGTCTCGTAAGTGGTGCTGCTGTAAGAGAGGGGCTTCAATGGGAGACCTTTCCGATGGACGTGGCGAAGGGCATCTCGCAGGGGCTCGCGAACAGCGCCATCATCTCCAAGGTGAGAGCGAGGGGCACGCTGAGTTGCAGTGCAGGTCAGAGTGTTTCTGGTTCCAGTCAAGTGTCAACTCGCGGGGGCCGTGCTCTGATCCGATCCCAAGGAGGTTGGGAAGTGGGAGACCTCTCCGAGGGACGTGGCCAAGGGCATCTCGCAGGGGCTCGCCAACAGCGCCATCATCTCCAAGGTGCGAGAGAGGAAGGCACGCTGAGGTGCAGGTCAGAGTGTTATTGGTTGCAGTTAAGTCAATTTGCGAGTGCCAGTGCTCTGATCCCATCCGAAGGAGGGTGAGAAGCAATGGATGTTGCGAAGGGCATCTCGCAGGGGCTCGCCAACAGCGCCATCATCCCCAAGGTGCGAGCGGCGCGATTCACCAGGGGTTCACGATTCATGACGCGTTGGGTCACCCGCAAGTAGAGTGCTACCAACCAATGGGTGACTGTACTCGCGCCCGTCTTGACTGAACCACGTGTGTCATTCTTCTCTCTCTCCCTTCACAGGTGGATGGCTTCTTATTATGGTTATGGTGCATGTGTTGCCTCGCCCTCTGGAGGGCGACAGTTCGCAGCAGCCCTTCCCTCCTGACCAAACCTCCTTCTATTCAATTTATACGTGTGGCACTCCTCACCACCTCCCGCCCCTTCACAGGTGGATGGCATACTGTGGGACATGTGCCGCCCCCTGGACGGCGACTGCTCGCTAGAACTGCCCTCTCTTGTCCAAACTTCTCCAACTCCTCACACTCGATTCGTATCGCTCATGCCCATTCCACCCCTCCATCCTCACCCTCAGGTGGATGGTGTGCTGTGGAACATGTGCCGGCCGCTGAAGGGCGATTGCTCGCTGCAGCTGTTCCCTCTTGACCCGACCTCTCCAACTCTTCTCCTCCCATTGAAGCCATATCGCGCATGCCCGTCCCTCCCGTCCCTCCTCGCCCTTCACAGGTGGATGGCGTGTTGTGGGACATGTGCCGGCCTCTCGAGGGCGACTGCTCGCTGCAGCTGTTCACGTTTGAAGACGACGAGGGGAGGGACACTTTCTGGCACTCTAGCGCGCACATCCTGGGCGAGGTACGCGATACAAGCAGAACCCATACTCGTGATACGCGTTTCCAGGGACCAGGTTCCTGTAGTCACCACAGAAGCCCCTAGGGACCCTTTAGAGGGGGGCTGCTCGCTGCAGCTGCTGTTCACGTTTCAGTTTGCTCTTGGTCTGAGGCAGGAGTACGTGTGTCACCCTGTGGTTGGGCCCCGAGCCTCTTTTTTTGCTCTTTTCCTCTCGTTCCCTTCTAATATCCATCCTTCGTTATTCCCCCTCTCTCTTGTTCTTTCTCCCAGGCTCTGGAGCAAGAATACGGGTGCCACCTGTGCATTGGGCCATGCACCACACGAGGCGAGGTGAGGGGTGTGGGGAAGCGGGGAGCGAGGAGGGGAAGAGGAAGAGAAGGAGGAGAGGGAAAGGAAGCAAGGGAGGGGAGGGAAGGGAGTAAGGGATGGAGTACGGGTGTCACCTGTCTGTGCATTGCACCACGAGGCGAGGTGAGGAGAAGTGGGGAGAAACGGTAGGAGCGAAGGAAAAAACAAAGGGATTACAGGAAGGGAAAAGAAAGGGAGGGAAGGGAAGGAAGGAAGGAAGGAAGGAAGGAAGGAAGGAAGGAAGGAAGGAAGGAAGGAAGGAAGGAAGGAAGGAAGGAAGGAAGGCAGGTATGGGGTATAGGGTCACCTATGCATTGGGTGTGCACCGCACTACACAGGTGACCCTATGGGAGAAAGTTGAGAGGAACGGGAGGAGGGAAAGTAGGGAGGAGAAGTGAAGAGTATTGGGAGGAGGGAAAAAAAGGAGGTAAGGGGGTGCGGGTGTCTGCTACCTGTGCATTGCGCTCATATGCACCTATGCTCCCTTTACTACCCAACGCATCCTTTCCTCCCACACCTCTCATAACAGAGGTTTTATTACAATGCTTTTCATGGGGAGTGGACTCTCAACGATGAGCATTTGGATGCGCATTGAGGTTGAGGGCAAGGCGGGCAAGGTAGGCAAGGCTCCTGTGTACCTCTCTCATCCCTCCCTCCCCCTCGTCTCCTCTTTAATCACAGGGGTTCTATTATGACGCCTTTTACGGGGACCGTACTCTCAACGACGAGCACTTCAAGGCCATTGAGGGCAAGGCTCAAGGCTCTTATGTGTGCTTCCATCTCCCGTCCCCCCTCTGTGTTTCTCTCAATAACAGGGATTTTACTACGATGCCTTTTACGGGGACCGCACTCTCAACGACGAGCACTTCAAGGCCATTGAAGGCAAGGCGGGCAAGGCTCTCATTTCATGTGTGCTTCCATCCGTTTTCCCCCTTCCCCTCTGTTTTTACTCCCTCCTATTACACAGGGGTTTTACTACGATGCGTTCTACGGCGACCGTACTCTCAACGATGAGCATTTTAAGGCCATTGAGGGCAAGGCGGGCAAGGCTGATGCGTGCTCTCTCTCTCCTTCCTTCCTCCCCCTGGTCTCCTCTCTAATCACGGGTTTTACTACGATGCTTTCTACGGGGACCGCACGCTCAACGACGAACATTTCAAGGCCATTGAAGGAAAGGCGGGCAAGGCTCTCATGTGTGCTTCCATCCCTCTTCTCCTCCTTCCTCCCCCTCGTATCCTCCCTCATACCAGGGGTTTTACTATGACGCCTTTTATGGCGATCGCACTCTCAACGACGAGCACTTCAAAGCTATTGAAGGAAAGGCGGGCAAGGCGGCCAAGGAGAAGCAGGCGTTTGAGCGGATCGAAGTGACGAGGCAGCAGGCGCTGGAGATGTTTGCCGATAACCCCTTCAAGGTGAGATGATGACCCTTGTGCCAACTCAACTCAAGAGCCATTCTTAGAGGGCAAGGCGGGCAAGGCGGCCAAGGAGAAGCAGGCGTTTGAACGGATCGAAGTCACCCGGCAGCAGGCGCTGGAGATGTTCGCTGATAACCCCTTCAAGGTGAGGTGATAAGACGTTGTTAGTGAGGTGATAAGCAGATACGTTTGTGAGACGGCTCAAGATGCGGGCAAGGCGGCCAAGGGGAAGCAGGCGTTTGAACGGATCGAAGCCACCCGGCAGCAGGCGCTCGAGATGTTCGCCGATAACCCCTTCAAGGTGAGAAGATGACCGTTGGGTCAAGTCAAGGCCATTGAGGGCAAGGCAGGCAAGGCGGCCAAGGAGAAGCAGGCGTTTGAACGCATTGAAGTCACCAGGCAGCAGGCGCTCGAGATGTTTTTTTATAACCAATTCAAGGTGAGGTGGTAAGGTTTTGAAGGGTGAAAAGTTAGGGCATTCGTTTCTAGGTGAGAAGATAACATGTTCAAGGTGAGAGGATTCATGAAACGGCTTGCAAGGCGGGCAAGGCGGCCAAGGAGAAGCAGGCGTTTGAACGCATTGAAGTCACCAGGCAGCAGGCGCTGGAGATGTTTGCCGATAACCCCTTCAAGGTAAGGTGATGAGACGTTGTTAGTGAGGTGATACGGTGTGACAGAGTGAGGTGATTAGCTGTTGAAAGGTACGTTTGTGAGACGGCTCAAGAGGCGGGCAAGGCGGGCAAGGAGAAGCAGGCGTTTGAGCGCATTGAGGTGACCCGGCAGCAGGCGCTGGAGATGTTCGCCGATAACCCCTTCAAGGTGAGAAGAAGACCTTTGTGTCAACTCAAGAGCTATTTTTTAGAGGGCAAGGCAGGCAAGGAGAAGCAGGCATTTGAGCGGATTGTCACCCGGCAGCAGGCGCTCAAGACGTTCGCCGATAAATGGGGGATAACGTCTTGAGCCGCTTAAGACGCTCAAGAGAAATGGGGGAGGTTGATCACTTTGGCCGCTTAATTCTCCGTACTGACATGTGCTGCCGTGGGCAGTTGGCTTCACATTCTCATATCCCCCTCTCCCCTCTCCCGTCCCAACAAACCCCACATCCCCAACCCCTGAACCCTCCCCGCTTACCAGGTGGAGATCATCAACGGGCTCCCAGAGGACAAGACCCCATCACCGTGTACCGCTGTGGGCCCTAGGTTGACCTGAGAAGTGCCCTGGCGCACCGGCTATGCTGTGGCCTGTGGGTCAGCCCCACATCCCTGTCAAACTCCAAACACCTTCCCCCATCTCCCCCCCCCCTCCCCCCCAACAGGTGGAGATCATCAACGGGCTCCCAGAGGACAAGACCATCACCGTGTACCGCTGGCCTGTGTCCCCAGCTCCACTCTGTCCCATGCGCAATTCTTAACATTGAACCCTAAACCCTCAACCCTATTCTTTTCCCCCCATGCAGATGGAGATCATCAACAAGCTCCCAGAGGACAAGACCATACCGTGTACCGCTGTGGGCCCTTGGTTGACCTGTGCTGTGTTGTGCTGTGCTGTGCCTAGTGTCACCCACACTGTCCAGTGCGCAACCCTAACCATGTATTTAAACCCTGAACCCCATACCCTCTCCCCCATGAGGTGGAGATCATCAACGAGCTCCCAGAGGACAAGACCATCACCGTGTATCGCTGAGGTCCTTTGGTCGACACTGATGACCTGTGCCAAGCGTCACTCTGTCCCATGCGAAAACCCCTGGTACTCTAAACCCTGAGCCCTAAATCCTTACCTCTCTCTTCATCAGGTGGAGATCATCAACGAGCTCCCAGAGGATAAGACCATTACCGTGTACCACTGTGGGCCGCTGGTCGATTTGTGTTGCACCTAGTGTCACACTGACCTGTGGCATTGTGGCCTGTGTGTGGGCCCCACATACCAAAACTCCTTCCCCCATCTCCTCCCCTCCCTCCCCCCCCCCCAATGCAGGTGGAGATCATCAACGAGCTCCCAGAGGATAAGACCATCACCGTGTACCGCTGTGGGCCCTTGGTTAACTTGTGCTGTGATGGACCCACCACATTCACAGTAAACCCTGAACCCTTCTCCCCTGTATCCCCCCATCAGGTGGAGATCATCAATGAGCTTCCAGAGGATAAGACCATCACTGTGTACCGCTGTGGCCCCTTGGTTGATCTCTGCCGTGGTCCCCACATCCCCAACACTTCCCACGTCAAGGCCTTTGCCTGCCTCAAGGTGGGCGCAGAGCGGTTTAGAGAGGTTCAAAGGGATTGTGCTGTAATTAATTCTTTGTCGACCTGTGCCGCGGCCCCCACATCCCCAACACTTCCCATGTCAAGGCCTTTGCCTGCCTCAAGGTGGGTGTGCGAAGCGGTTCAGAGAGGCCCAAAACGGTTGAGAGCAGTGCAGCGCATTTCAGATCAGTTCAGAGCGATCGTAATGAGTTGCATTGTGGGCCTCACATTCCCAAGACCAGCCATGCTAAGGCCTTTCCCTGCCTCAAGGTGGGTGGGTGGGTACACGAAGCATGAATCGATTCAGAGCAAAGAACGGTTCGAATCAGTTTACTAACGGTTCGAGGTGATTTGACTCTACTCGCGTGCCGTGAGTTGTGTGCGGGAGTCATCATCGTACTGGAGGGACCAGTCCAAGAGAGGGAGGATTGAGATGTCTCAGTGATCACTTTCTTTCTTCCCATCCCCGCGCTCTTTCCCTTTGCATCCTGATGCCCTGCTGTGGGTTCAGTGCTCTGCAGGCCTCAGCATCGTACTGGAGGGGGCAGTTAGACATAGGGAGGGTTGAGGCGTCCCAGTACCCCCTCCCTCTCTCACCTTTCCCTTTGCTTCCCTTACCTCCCCTTCCCTGCTGCTGGTTGTGTGCAGGCATCAGCATCATACTGGAGGGGCCAGTCCGACAGAGAGAGTTTGCAGAGAGTGTACGGCATCTCATATCCTGACAGCAAGAAGCTCAAGGTGAAAGATTCTTCACACACTCGAACACGCTCACACGCGCGCGCGCACACACACACACGCACACGTTCACACACATACGCACACACACGCACACGCGCGCGCGCGCACGCACACACTCATGTACACATGGATGTATGCACATATGTGCGTACATCTACCCACCACCAGGATTACCTGCCCGTGTTGGAGGAGGCCAAGAAGCGAGACCACCTTATTGGTGCAATCACTTGCCTCTCTCCCATGACCCACCACCCACCACCCACCATCCACAACAACCCACCCGCAGGAGCACCTGCATGTGTTGGAGGAGGCAAAGAAACGAGACCACCTCGTTGCTGCAATAATCAGTCGTTATTCCACCACACCCCTCCCCACCACTCTCCACCCCTCCCCATTCCTCTCATTGCACCCATCACCAGGAGTACCTGCACGTGTTGGAGGAGGCCAAGAAACGAGACCACCGTGTGGTGGGGCTCGCACAGGAGCTCTTCTTCTTCCACCCGCTCAGGTACCGCATTCCACCCCCTCAGGTACTGCTCCCACCCCTCCCGACACTATCGTCTGAATGACCACCGTTAAGTCATGTATTATAACTGGTTTCAGCCAACACCTTTGGTCAGACCATCGCGTGGCGGGGCTTGCACAGGAGCTCTTCTTCTTCCACCTTCTCAGGTACTGTCCTCTGAGTGAACACCATTTAGGTGTCTGCTAATGGGATTCGTATTGTGGGTTTCATCAGGCCACAGTGGGGTGGGGCTTGCCCAGCACCTCTTCTTCAGGGTGTTTTTGAGAATTCTCAAAAACACCCTGCAGCATCGTGGGGTGGGGCTCGCCCTGGGAGGTACCTCTTGTTCTTCCATCCCTGCAGCCCTGGGAGCTGCTTCTACCTTTCGCATGGCGCCAGGATTCCCACGGAAATTCTCACCTCGTATTCTCTCCTTCTCTCCCCCTCACCTTCCCTTCCATTTTCCTCCCTGGAGCTGCTTCTTCCTGCCACATGGAGCGCGGATATACAACAAGCTGGTCTCGTTCATCCAGGGCTCACACAACCCATATACTTTCCCCCTACGTCCCCTCTCCTCCGTTTTCCCTCCCTGCCTCCCTGCAGCCCCGGAAGCTGCTTCTTCCTGCCGCACGGCACGCGGATATACAACAAGCTCGTGGGGTTCATTCAGGGCTCGCCCACCCCCATCCTCTCTCTCCCTTCATCCCTTCCCTCTTTCTGTATCCTTGTGTGCAGCCCCGGAAGCTGCTTCTTCCTGCCGCATGGAGCGCGGATATACAACAAGCTCGTCTCGTTCATCCAGGGCGAGTACAGGAAGCGAGGCTACCACGAGGTGAGGAATGGGAGGTAGTGGTGGGTGGGAGAAGAGGCACTGTGATGCTGCTGTCGCTGCTGCTTCCTGCCGCACGGCGCGCGGATATACGACAAGCTCGTTTCCTTCATTCAGGGCGAGTACCGGAAGCGAGGCTACCACGAGGTGAGGAGGGGGGGAGAGGGATGGGAGGGAGTGGGGGTGAAGTGAATGGCTGCCTGCCTCCTGTTGCTGGTGGTGCTGCTTCTTCCTGCCTCATGGTGCGCGGATATACAACAAGCTCGTTTCATTCATTCAGGGCGAGTACCGGAAGCGAGGCTACCACGAGGTGAGGAGGGGGGGAGAGGGATGGGAGGGAGTGGGGGTGAAGTGAATGGCTGCCTGCCTCCTGTTGCTGGTGGTGCTGCTTCTTCCTGCCTCATGGTGCGCGGATATACAACAAGCTCGTTTCATTCATTCAGGGCGAGTACCGGAAGCGAGGCTACCACGAGGTGAGGAGGGGGGGAGAGGGATGGGAGGGAGTGGGGGTGAAGTGAATGGCTGCCTGCCTCCTGTTGCTGGTGGTGCTGCTTCTTCCTGCCTCATGGTGCGCGGATATACAACAAGCTCGTTTCATTCATTCAGGGCGAGTACCGGAAGCGAGGCTACCACGAGGTGAGGAGGGGTGGTGGATGGGAGTGGGTGGGGAGTGGAAGGCAGTGTGCTGCTGCTGCAGCTTCTTATTGTTTCTTGCCACACAGAGTGCGGGAGGTGAAGTGAAATGTCACTGGATGCTACTGCTGCAGCCCTGTGAGCTGCTTCTTTCTGGGAGCAAGGCTGCACAAGCAAACTAACTACAAGACAAGGAGAACATGTTTGTGTTTGTGCTTCCCACACACTTTTTTCCTCTCTTTCCTTTACCTTCGTGTATTTCCCCCCCACCAGGTCGTGACCCCCAACATGTGCAACATGGAGCTGTGGAACATCTCAGGCCACGCGGCCAACCTACGAAACACCACAAGGCTCTCTTGTGCCCTCTTATTTCACACCTTTCTTCCCCATCCCTTCTTCCCTCTCAGGTAGTGACGCCCAACATGTTCAATATGGAGCTGTGGAACATCTCAGGCCACGCAGCCAAACACAAGGAGAACATGTTTCTGTGCATCCTTCTTTCCTACACACCTTTCTCCTCCCTTTCGTTCACTCCTGTGCCTCTCTCCCTCTCCCCAACTACAGGTCGTGACGCCCAACATGTTCAACATGGAGCTGTGGAACATCTCAGGCCACGCAGCCAAACACAAGGAGAACATGTTTCTGTGCATCCTTCTTTCCTACACACCTTTCTCCTCCCTTTCGTTCACTCCTGTGCCTCTCTCCCTCTCCCCAACTACAGGTCGTGACCCCCAACATGTTCAACATGGAGCTGTGGAACATCTCAGGCCACGCGGCCAACTACAAGGACCATCCCTTATATGCTCTCTTCCTTTCCCTCCTGCACTCATGCGTGTGCCTGTCAGGTAGTGACCCCCAACATGTGCAACATGGAGCTGTGGAACATCTCAGGCCACGCGGCCAACTACAAGGACCATCCCTTATATGCTCTCTTCCTTTCCCTCCTGCACTCATGCGTGTGCCTGTCAGGTAGTGACCCCCAACATGTTCAACATGGAGCTGTGGAACATCTCAGGCCACGCGGCCAACTACAAGGACCATCCCTTATATGCTCTCTTCCTTTCCCTCCTGCACTCATGCGTGTGCCTGTCAGGTAGTGACCCCCAACATGTGCAACATGGAGCTGTGGAACATCTCAGGCCACGCGGCCAACTACAAGGACCATCCCTTATATGCTCTCTTCCTTTCCCTCCTGCACTCATGCGTGTGCCTGTCAGGTAGTGACCCCCAACATGTTCAACATGGAGCTGTGGAACATCTCAGGCCACGCGGCCAACTACAAGGACCATCCCTTATATGCTCTCTTCCTTTCCCTCCTGCACTCATGCGTGTGCCTGTCAGGTAGTGACCCCCAACATGTTCAAGATGGAGCTGTGGAACATCTCAGGCCACGCGGCCAACTACAAGGACCATCCCTTATATGCTCTCTTCCTTTCCCTCCTGCACTCATGCGTGTGCCTGTCAGGTAGTGACCCCCAACATGTGCAACATGGAGCTGTGGAACATCTCAGGCCACGCGGCCAACTACAAGGACCATCCCTTATATGCTCTCTTCCTTTCCCTCCTGCACTCATGCGTGTGCCTGTCAGGTAGTGACCCCCAACATGTTCAACATGGAGCTGTGGAACATCTCAGGCCACGCGGCCAACTACAAGGACCATCCCTTATATGCTCTCTTCCTTTCCCTCCTGCACTCATGCGTGTGCCTGTCAGGTAGTGACCCCCAACATGTTCAACATGGAGCTGTGGAACATCTCAGGCCACGCGGCCAACTACAAGGAGAACATGTTTGTGTTCGATGTGGAGAAGCAGGAGTTCGGGTTAAAGCCCATGAATTGCCCCGGCCATTGCCTCATGTTCGCTCACCGTGTGCGCTCCTACCGAGGTAAGTACAAGGGTATCTGTGCCTTCATCCATCCCTGCATCCTACAACCCTACATTCGGTAACCTGAACCCATTCAAGGGCCACGCGGCCAACTACAAGGAGAACATGTTTGTCTTTGATGTGGAGAAGCAGGAGTTCGGAATAAAGCCCATGAATTGCCCCGGTCATTGCCTCATGTTCGCTCACCGAGTGCGCTCCTACCGAGGTAAGCAGGGAGTATTCAGCCAGTGCCTCATGTTCTTGCAAGGGCCACGCGGCCAACTACAAGGAGAACATGTTCGTCTTTGACGTGGAGAAGCAGGAGTTCGGGTTAAAGCCCATGAACTGCCCCGGCCACTGCCTCATGTTCGCCCACCGCGTGCGCTCCTACCGAGGTGAGTTCTACAGAGTGGTGCAGTGCGGTGCGGTGCAGTGTGTGTGCAGCAAATTACAACGGCAGGAGTTCGGGTTAAAGCCCATGAACTGCCCCGGCCACTGCCTCATGTTCGCACACCGCGTCCGCTCCTACCGAGGTGCGCCTTACAGAATACTCCTCTGTACTATACCTTCTCCCCATCCCCACCAGAGCTGCCTCTCCGTTTCGCTGACTTCGGCGTGCTGCACCGCAACGAGCTCAGTGGTGCCCTCACTGGCCTGCTTCTTTCCTCCCTGTTTGCTTCATCCTGCGTTCACCCTCCCTCCTTTCCTCGACTCCGCCAGAGCTCCCACTGCGCTTCGCTGACTTCGGCGTGCTGCACTGCAACGAGCTCAGTGGCGCTCTTACCGGCCTCTCACGTGTTCCCCTTTCACCCGTCCCCCTAATTCTCCCTCCTCCCTTTCTGCTATCCCACCGCCAGAGCTGCCACTCCGCTTTGCTGATTTTGGAGTGCTGCACCGCAACGAGCTCAGCGGCGCTCTCACTGGTCTCACACGCGTGCGCAGGTTCCAGCAGGTGAGGGGCTGACTGGGGAAGGTCAAGGCAGGGGGATAGCTGTGCCAGGAGGTGAGCTGAGCCTGAGATGAGCTGGTCTTTTATCAGAGCTCAGCGGCCCCCTCACGGGCCTCACGCGCGTGCGACGGTTCCAGCAGGTGAGTTGCTGGCTGGAAAATACCATCATATGTGGGCCATACTGGGCAGGGTTCTGATTCGACAGGTGAGGGGCTTATTGGTCAGACCTCAGTGGCACTCTCATGGGCCTCACGCGCGTGCGCAGGTTCCAGCAGGTGAGGGCTCTTAATGGGTAACGGGTGCACTGGGGAAGGTCTGTTTGGCTGACTGGCGAAGGTTCCAGCAGGTAAGGGACTGACTAGGGATCGTAACAAGATAACACCCAACGTCCCATGCAGGACGATGCGCACATTTTCTGTGAGGAGAGTGAGGTGGAGGCAAAAGTGAGTGACGTGCTGTGAGAGGGGCTTTAGTACCTACTGACCACCTCTGACGCCTCTTGCTGACTTCTCTTTGCCTTTTCTTACCCGTATCCCCCTCTCCTCCCTCCCCCCCAGGACGATGCACACATTTTCTGTGAGGAGAGCGAGGTGGAGGCAAAAGTGAGCGACGTGCTGTGAGGGGCGATCCACCACTGACCTATCACTTCTAAGGTCCCCTGCCGTTTTCTCCTTACCTGTTTCCGACCCCCTCTCCTGCTCCCCCTCTCCCATGCAGGACGACGCGCACATTTTCTGTGAGGAGAGCCAGGTGGAGGCAGAAGTGAGTGACGTGCTGGACTTTCTTCAGACTGTCTACGGCATCTTTGGATTCACCTTCGACCTTGAGCTGAGCACGGTGAGTGGTGGGCCTGTGTATGATGCCATGTGCAACTGGGAGGGTTGCTGTCAGTGGGCGGGAGGCTGGGTGGAGGCAGAAGTGAGTGACTTGCTGCACTTCCTGCAGACTGTCTACGGCATCTTTGGATTCACCTTCGACCTAAAGCTGTCCACTGTGAGTACAGATACCTGGGTGTGTCTGTGTGCATGTGTATGGTTCGAAGTGAGCGACGTGTTGGACTTCCTGCAGACTGTCTACGGCATCTTTGGCTTCACCTTCGACCTGGAGCTCTCAACGCGGGCGACGGGGCGTTCTACGGGCCCAAGATTGACATCACGGTGTATGATGCGCTCAAGAGGGGGGCATGCAGGGGGACAGCACTCACCTCACCCTGTGCCGTCTCTCCCCTCCCTCCCTTTCACCTCCCAACCCTCAAACAGCATCCAGAGAAGCATCTGGGGGAGGTGGAGACGTGGGACAGGGCGGAAGCAGCCCTCACAAAATCCCTGAACGCGTTTGGGCGGCCGTGGCAGATCAACGCGGGCGACGGGGCGTTCTACTGAGGGAGGGAAAGCATTGACTGATTGTGCCTCTGTCTCCCACCTCCCGCCTTCCACCCCTCAACCAGCGCCCAGAGAAGCATTTGAGAGAAGTCGAGACGTGGGACCGCGCGGAGGCCGCCCTGACCAAGTCCCTGAACGCGTTTGGGCGGCCGTGGCAGATCAACACCCTCTCCACCTTCCCATCCCCCCTACCTCCCATCCAGCGTCCGGAAAAGCATCTGGGGGAGGTGGAGACGTGGGACAGGGCGGAGGCCGCCCTGACCAAGTCGCTGAACGCGTTTGGGCGGCCGTGGCAGATCAACGCGGGCGACGGGGCGTTCTACGGGCCCAAGATTGACATCACGGTGTATGATGCGCTCAAGAGGAAGCACCAGTGCGCCACCATCCAGCTCGACTTCCAACTGCCCATCCGCTTCAAATTGGAATACTCCGCTGATGACGACGCAGCGGGCAGGAAGAGGCCGGTGAGTCTTCTCTCCTTGAGACCACTCACATGAAAACCTTTGGAACGTGTGAAACGAGTGTCTGAGGGGCATTGAAGCCCCTGAGGGGCATTCACCGCGCCATCCTGGGTTCAGTGGAGCGCATGTTTGCCATCCTCCTGGAGCACTTCGCTGGCAAGTGGCCCTTCTGGCTGAGCCTGTCTGACCCTCTTCCGCCCCTCTCACTCTCCTGTTCCTCTCTCCCTCGTGCCATGTTACCCACTCTCCCAGGTCATCATCCATCGTGCCATCCTGGGTTCAGTGGAGCGCATGTTCGCTATTCTCCTGGAGCACTTCGCCGGCAAGTGGCCCTTCTGGCTGAGCCCCCGGCAGGTTACCGTTTGCCCGGTCTCCGAGAAATACTCGCAATACGCCACCAAGGTACGCTCTTTTCTACACCAGCAATGTGACTTGGCATGGTTGGTGCTCCTGTGAGAGGGTGCACGCATCACAGAAGTGGCCCTTCTGGCTGAGCCCTCGGCAGGTCACCGTGTGCCCTGTCTCTGAGAAATACTCGCAATACGCCACCAAGGTACGGAGGAAGATCCTTCATGTTCCCACCAAAGATACAGCTTCTTTGAAAGGTGCAAGCACCACCACTGCAGCTGCGGCCCTTCTGGCTGAGCCCCCGCCAGGTCACCGTGTGCCCTGTTTCTCTAAAGTACTCCCAATACGCCACCAAGGTAGGCAGTGAGTTAATGGTGCACATTAAAAGCTCAATAGTGGCCCTACTGGCTCAATCCACGGCATGTCACCTCGTGACTTGCCTTGGAGGAAGCTTTGCATGTTACTGCAGATATTCGGTCTGTTTATGTTGCTTTCAAAAATCTCGTTACTGTTTGTTTTTTTACCGTTATTTTGCTATGGTACCGCAGGTTCGCGATGAGATCCATGCTGCCGGCTTTGACGTTGAGGCCGATCTCTCCGACAGGAAGCTTCAGAAGAAGGTTCGCTCTCTGGTTACACTGTTTCGTGGTGTCTTTCATTCCACATCTGATGATGCTGGGCACTTTCACGCAACAATGCCAATCTAAGAAGCACATGTTTTCTTTCCCCTGTGTTCTCCCACCTTAATATGCAGAACCCGTTGTGACCTATAGTTAGTGTCACACCAATTATTGTCACACCCGTTGTGATCACACCCGCTTTTGTCACACCCATTATCGCCACACCTGTTATTGTCATGCCCACCAACCATTATCACAGGTGCGGGAGGCCCAGCTGGCTCAATTCAACTACATTTTGGTGGTGGGAGCGGAGGAGGAGGCACAGGGCTCGGTGAGTTGAACTGGATGGGTTGTTTGAGAGATCTCAGGGAGATGAGGAGCATGGAGAGATAGAGGTGACAGTGTCTCAAGTTTTGCAGCTTCCAGAGCAACCATGTTACCGTATGCGTGTAAACTGTTTTGCTCCACCTTTCCCCCTACCTAACAGGTGAATGTACGCACACGAGACAATGTGGTTCACGGCACAAAGTCCATTGCCGAATTCATCGAGGAGCTTAAAGCCGAGGCTGCTGCGTACCATTAGATTACCCGATGTGATACGGTACCTCACTTCACTTGGATACTACAAATTCATAGAGAATTTTGGGAGCTCACCTCGCTATCACATAAAATTGTTTGAAGAGTCCAATATGGATGGAGTCTATCTGGCACTTATTGAAGTCAGTTTTTGTTGTGGGAGGGGTGAAAATATCAAGCTTGATTGCTATGGTGCAAAGCTAATGTTCAGCAGCAGTAAGGTGGTGTATGGATTATTTCAATTGAATACTGTAGTATGTCCCCGCTATTACGATTTACTCACTGTACGGCGTTCACACTCGCCGAATAATCTCAGCGCAACCGCTAGTGATCCACGCATCCCAAATAGTCGATCGGCACCGAAATATTTTGCCCTTTTTAGGCTGTCGCCGTTTGTGCAGGGTTTAGCAGGGTGTTACCACATCACTGCTTTCGCAGCCCCTGCATTCGGCGCAACACACCAACACGCAACACGCTTGGCCCCTCGATTTCACCAAACCCGTTATAGTCACGTGTTTTACTATCACGCCTCCTTCCCTCCCAACCCTTTCTTCCTTACCTTTCTTCTCCACCTTTCGCTTCCTTCCCCCTCTCTCTGGTTCCCTCCAATCCCCCTTGCTGAGGTAAGAGTTTAGGTTTTCCCTTATGTGTCTCGTGAGCCATCGGAAGATTACTTGGTGTTGCTTAGTCCTTTCACGTCAATCTCGAATTAAGATACAGATTGTAAAGCTGTTGTAACGAGGGCTTCGCCAACGTACGTTTAGTCCCTTACCTAGGGTTTGTCGCTTGACTTTTAGGATTACTAGCATGGATAGTCAACGTCGGCCGTTTCTCTTTTACCTGTTTTTCTTATTCATGAGATCAAGCTCTCTTATTGCTTCTACTGCTCAATTGTCGATCCTGACAAACGGTCCGTGCAGGTACAAAGTGGTGCTGGACGGTTCAGCAAGATGCAGATCTTCGTGAAGACCCTGACGGGCAAGACCATCACTCTCGAGGTCGAGAGCAGCGACACCATCGACAATGTTAAGGCCAAGATCCAGGACAAGGAGGGTGAGTCTTGGCATCTTCTGCAGGTCGTTTAATTGGTGCGTATATGTGGCTTTACCGCCCTGACTGGGTTGTTGCTAGCGACATCATCGACACCATCGAAAACAGTTACGACTCCCAGACATCCATTTACCCGACTGTCGAGAACAGATTAGAAGCGAATGCGGATAGTGGAAAGCCTTGCAGATGGGGATGGGGACGGTGATCTGCATGAGCATAACCTTGCATGTAGAGGTTTCTGCGAAGGGGATGAAGATTCAGTATTTGGTCCTTGCGAACCTACTATTTGAGATTCAATCATAGGATACTTCGAAGATCTGTCGCATTTCGGGATGCAGTGTGAGCGCGGTTTTTCACGTAAAGACGGCCAACCATGGCGCGTTACAAGCGTGTTTGATGCTTCTATTGAAGTACGCAGTTTTTCATGTATGCACTCGCCGCTTGGACGTGGAATTTGTTCGAGAAAAGCTGCCACCTTCCAGCAGCAATTGGTCGTTGCGGTGTTAGCTCACCCAGTTCCCTCCCTCCCGCTCCCTTCCCTCTCCATCCCCTTTCCTTCCCCCTCCCTCACCCTCCCTTCCCCCTCCCCCCTCCGCCTCCTCCCCCCCTTTTCCCGCTTTTCTTCTCCGTGTTTCTGATGTCCCTGGTTCTCTTATGTCCTTTCAGGCATCCCTCCCGACCAGCAGCGGCTGATTTTCGCCGGCAAGCAGCTCGAGGACGGCCGCACGCTTGCCGACTACAACATCCAGAAGGGTGAGTTAGAAAGTCTCTGTGTCCCTGACTCTGTCCTGCCTGGTGTGCCCCTTGGCCGTCTCCCCTTCACCGGTCGCCCCTTGACCGTCACCCCCTGGCCGTCACTGGTGGCGAAGTCTCGCCGGCAAGCAGCTCGAGGACGGCCGCACGCTTGCGGAGTACAGCATGCAGAAGGGTGAGTTTGTGAATATTTCCGACGCTGACTGTCTCGGTGATGCATCATGCTGATTATCCGCAAGAACTCCGTCCCCATCCCTCCTCCCGCAAACCACCCCTTCCCCCCCCCCCCCCCCCTTCCCGCCCTCCCCCCCCAACCCCCCTCCTCCTGCCCTCCCCCTCCCCCTTCCCCCTTCCCCCCTTCCCCCCTTACCTCTCTGCTCCCCTCTCTCCTCCTACATCCGTTTCTCCGCATCTTCCCTTCCCTCCTCCCTCTTCTTCGTTCTCTTCCGTCTGCCTCACTTCTCTGTTGCGATGACTTCCCGGATCGCTCTTCTTTCTCACTCTTGGTAGCGTCAGTCCATGAATAACTCGTCTCGGGTATCCCTTACACCCCTCTCACCTCTTTTCCCTCGTCTTCCCCGCAAGCCGTTCTCTCAAGATTCGACGCTGCACTTAATGCTGCGGCTGAGAGGAGGAATCATCGAGCCCTCTCTCATGTCTTTCTAATGTGCGTACCTCGATCTCCCCCGCCCCATCCCTCCCCCTTCCCCTTCTCTCCCCCTCTTCCCGCCCGCCCACTCTTTCCTCCTCCCCTTTTGTCCCTTCGCAACTCGTTGTGCTATCAGAGTCGACGCTGCACTTGGTGTTGCGGCTGCGAGGAGGAATCATCGAGCCTTCTCTCATGGCGCTCGCTCGCAAGTACAACGCCGATAAGATGATCTGCCGCAAGTGAGTTTGTTGGTCAAAAGCGATTATGGGAACGTATTTTAACGAGAACAAAGCTTCTCTCATGGCGCTCGTTGGCAAGCACAACGCCGGTATGATGTTATGTTAGAGTGTACTGTTTTGTTTTCCCCAACAAGACTCGTGTTATAGCGAGTACAACTCTCAGCCGCAAGTGGGTCACGCATCATTGACTGATATGCCCCTCCTCCCCCTCCCCGCGCTTCCAGGTGCTACGCTCGTCTGCACCCGCGCGCTGTGAACTGCAGGAAGAAGAAGTGCGGCCACACCAACCAGGTGGGTAGGAGGTCTGTAGCGACTAGGTGGACAGGCAGGCTGTAGCGGCATGCTGTAACCGCTAGATGGGCCGGCTGTAGTTGTTGACCAGGTAGGCAGGGTACGCTCGGCTCCACCCGCGCGCTGTGAACTGCAGGAAGAAGTGCGGCTACACCAACCAGGTGGGTAGGCAGGCGGTAACGACATGCTGTAGCGAGGTGGTGGGAGAGCTGTATCGGTAACGCAGAATCCTTTCAGCGAAGGGTAAGTTACGCACGCCTGCACCCGCGCGCTGTGAACTGCAGGAAGAAGTGTGGCAGGCAGGCTGTAGCGACAGGCTGTAACCTCTAGGTGGGCCGGCTGTAGTTAGTGACCATGTAGGCGGGATACGCTCGGCTCCGCCCACGCGCTTGAACTGCAGGGAGACTAGGTGCGGCCACACCAACCAGTTGGGCAGGCTGTAGCAGTCAGTTGGGCAGGCTGTAGCAGTCAGTTCGGCTCAGTTGGGCAGGCTGTAGCGGCAGGCTGTAGCGCTCACGCTGGCAGGCTGTAGTGACCAGTAGGTGCAGTATTCCGGCAGCTACAGGTTAAGCCCGCCTGCTCCCCGCGCGTTTTGAACTGCAGAAACAGGCAGTGTGGCTACACCAACCAGGTGGGCCGGCTATAGCAGCAGGGAGCTTTTGGTTGGTAGGCTGTAACGACCAGTTACGCAGGCAGTAGCGACCATGTGGGCAGGCTGTAGCGACCTCGCGGGCAGGGAGTAACAACCTCGTGGGCAGGCTGTAGCGACCTTGTAGGCATGCTGTAGCGACCTTGTAGGCAGGCTGTAGCGACCTTGTATGCAGCCTGTAGCGACCTAGTGGGCAGGCTGTAGCGAGCAGGGAAGGTTCTAGCAACGTGGTGAAAGTATATTCTGTAGTGTTCTTGCCCTGCTCTTTTTACCTTATCCTCTAGAGTTCCCCTTGTCCGCTCCCATCCCTTGTTTTTCCGTGCAGCTGAGGCCCAAGAAGAAGATCAAGTAGACACCTCTTGAAATACATAGTGGTTTCCTGACTTGTATCTTTAGAAGGGCAGTTCACAGCCGGTCTTGGCCGAATAGGCAACCTGTCAGCTGGTGCTGGCTGCTGCTTTGCTGGTCCGACTGGTCTTGGTTATGAAAGAGATGCACGTGTAATGCCTTATGTGCTATTGGTGAAGCCATTGTCCCAAGGCCAATTAGTGATTTCGTGATGTGAGCCATTAGTGTGCTGTGGCAGATACGGGCAACGAATATTAGCTCTGAATGGCTAGTATGAAAACGTACCTCTCTAGAACGCACAACATCGTAGTCAACCGCTTTGAATGATCAGAAAGTTCCACACACATGTTTGCGAACTTCGTACTGTATGCTTCTCACCGCCAAACTCGTTCGCGCCCTCACGGATTTCGCGAATATACGGGGCAAACGGAAAGTTTACAAGCCACACCACCTCCCGCCAAACCCGATATAGTTGGAGTGCATCTCAATCGTCCATCGATTGAGATGAGCTAAATCGAGAGCGTTACAAATTGGAAAGCCGGACCGCCAAATTTCATCTGTGAAACCAATTTCTTCCCTCCCATCCGCTTCACAAATTTGGTGCGATCATCGCTCTCCTCAATCCGCCCCCACCGTTCGCTTCCATCCACCGTCCTGAATCTACATCACAACCGCGCTTGTCATGGAGGCTTGTCGAGCACCAAACGTGGGTCGGCAGCACAGGGTGAACGCGTGCTCTTTTCTCCAGCCGTCAAAATTCCCGAGAAACTCTTTCAGAGTCGCACAATCTCAACGTCAGCATCCGCGAACCCCACCGACAGAATAACAAACCACCTTTCCAATCATGTTGACTATATCTAGCATCTTGACAGATTAGGCTTGAACCAGCGCAACTATTCAACCCACACTACGAGCATCACATTCTGCCCCTCGCGGAACAGCGCCCCCGCCTTTTTTCCCTACCGTTGGCATCGATACGGCCGATTTATTGCCAAGGAAGCAAGCACTGCATCCTTGCTCTCTCTCTCCCTCCTCCACACCTTCCGCACGTTTTCTGACAACTTCGGCTCCCATCACTTTCAGGAATCATTTGCCGTAGGATGCGTGAATTCCTGACCTCGTGCATGCAGCCGCTCCTTCGAAAGTCACTCCACGCGTTCTAATGAATCATTTCTCAGACGTAGCTCTTCACCGCTTCAGTGAAGTTGAAATTCATTGTTTCTCTCGCCACTAATACTGCCATTCTTACATATTGTTGTCGCTGACTTGTAGAGGTAAAGCGTAGCTGCTATTAAACCCTGGCTGCTGCGGACGCGGTAGTTGATTGCTGGTTTTCGCCCCTAGCTGCTTGCTACTGGTAGTTTACAGGCGAATCACCCGTTTGCAGCGGAAGCATCCTGCGCATAGCACCAACGCACGACCAGCTGAGCGACACTATTCGTGCATAGGCATCCCAGTCCTCGCGCGCTCCCAAATCTGTGACGCGTATACCCTCCCCTTCCTTTGCGACACCCTCGCGTGAAGGCCGAAATCTCTCGCTCACGCTTTCGCCGATAGAATATTAGCAGAAGGTGCTGTATATGGCGAGCACGATGTGGCCTGTCAGAGCAATTTTTATCGGCGCGCTTCTTCTGGCGTGCTTCCACGTGGCACACGCCGGATTTCTCGGGTTTGGTGGCAAGAAGAAGAAGGCATGTGATCTATCCGTTGGCAGGTAAGCAGTTGGGCATGCAGCATCCAAATTATTGAACCTAAAACTTTACAGTACTTTGCGTTAGGAGGTTGTCTATTCGTTTTATGTATGGCACACGCAAGAGGCAACAAGCCTACAACCCGATACAAATATCGCGCTAGAGAGGCTCTCACCGCTTGCCCTCAGCTTCTAACCCAAACCCGAAGCTTGAAATGCCGCATCCCGTTGCTCTCTGCGTCCCGTATTCTCCCGCCTATTTTCTTCATCGATATCTACCCCTGTTTTTTGCCTGCCCGCCCTTTTTGCCCACTACAGTTGGTCCCCGTCGACCAAGTACCCGGTATACGACTCCTCGTGTCCGTATATTAGCCAGGAGTTCAACTGCGAAAAGAACGGGCGACCGGACGGCGACTTTCGCCACTTCGAGTGGAAGCCGTCGGGTTGCAAGCTGAATCGGTTTGACCCGAAGAAATTCGCGATGACGTTCATTGGCCAGTCCGTGGCGATCGTGGGCGACAACACTGGCCTGTACATGTACCAGTCGCTCAGGTGTCGCATGGATGCTGCGAATTTCAAGACCGAGGTAAGAACCTGTAGGAAACTACTTATTGCATTCAAAGGAACGGCGAAAAGGCTGCGAAAAGAACAGCAACCGGATGGCGACTTTCCACGAGCAAGACACTCTAGTCTCTCACTGTATAACTCGTTAACGACTTCTGTCTCTGTGACTGACCCCCAACGTTCTTTCACTGTACGATGTTAAACATTTCTTCTTCCCCCCTTTGCTTCCCTGCAGAGTTTTGATCCGTCTACGATTGGTTGGACCGGCGATGGTTTCAAGGTCAAGCCTTGGGGGGTCAAGGTCGTGTTCGTGCACGCACCGTTCCTCACCGAAGCCGATCCGATGGACCCGGTAAGGGCACTCCCCTTATAAGGTTCAGTACGGAAGGTGCACAGTACTGTCGGTGCACCCTTACTTCTTTCTTTCGTGTTCTTCTGTCTAGAGGCCTGCTTCACTGTTCTTCTTGTGGCTCTTACGGCTGTTATCGCTCATTTTGGAAATTTCCATTCTATTCATAGTCTCGCAATTCGTTTTACCATCTAAGTTCACACCACCAGCTCACCAGTGAGAATCTGCCCCCTGTTTCTCCCATTTCCCCGTCCAAAATCAGTTGAAGCGATCCGTGAAGGACGGATGGAATGTGCACGTGGACAGAATTAATCACAAGCTAACAGAAACACTTAAAGGGCTGCGATCAGTCATCCTCGTGGCCGGCAATTACTATGCGGTAAGTCTGGAAGCAAGCCGTTGATGCATCTTCGTTCAGCTGTAAGCATTGGAAAAAGCCGAAACGTTCTCTTTTTCGTGCCATCAGATATCGTTGTGGATTTTCTAGTCGACTTAATAATAAAGACCTACATTCAGTCATCCGCACGTATTACAGCTAGGGCCGCGTGCTCTCAGAGCAACCCCTTCCCGCCCCCCACTACCCCTCCCCCTCTTCCCCCTCCAGGACTCCCCCAACCGCACCTATTACAGCAAGGGCCGCGTGATTGCCTCACAGCCCATATGAATGTACAAGTCACCTCATGCCCTCTGCCTTTACCCCACACCATTCACCTCCAGGAATCCTCCAACCGCACTTACTACAGCAAGGCCGAGTGATCTCCTCGCAGCCCAGCGGCACTGCAGCATCACCCCTTTCCGCCCCTCGCAACCCCTTCACCTCCCCCAGTCCAGGAATCCTCCAACCGCACGTACTACAGCAAGGGCCGAGCGATCTCCTCGCAGCCCAGAGGCATCGTGGCATCACCCCTTCCACCCCTCTCCACCTCTCCACCCCTCTCCTTTCACCCACACCAGGAATCCTCCAACCGCACTTACTACAGCAAGGACCGAGTGATCTCCTCGCATCCCAGAGGCATCGCGGCACTTAACATCGTGCTATGCAACGTGCAGACTACATCAAGTCAAGCGTTATGCTGGTCCATCTCAATGTGTTCTCGACCCAAATGTCTCTCCCCCTCCCTCATCCTCCTCTCCCCTCTTTCTCCCCTCTTTCACCCTCTCCCCCTCTTTCACCCTCCTCTCCCCTCTTTCACCCTCCTCTCCCCTCTTTCACCCTCCTCTCCCCTCTTTCACCCTCCTCTCCCCTCTTTCACCCTCCTCTCCCCTCTTTCACCCTCCTCTCCCCTCTTTCACCCTCCTCTCCCCTCTTTCACCCTCCTCTCCCCTCTTTCACCCTCCTCTCCCCTCTTTCACCCTCCTCTCCCCTCTTTCACCCTCCTCTCCCCTCTTTCACCCTCCTCTCCCTCTCCTCTCCCCTCTTTCACCCTCCTCTCCCCTCTTTCACCCTCCTCTCTCCCCTCTTTCACCCTCCTCTCCCCTCTTTCACCCTCCTCTCCCCTCTTTCACCCTCCTCTCCCCTCTTTCCCCCTCCTCTCCCCTCTTTCCCCCTCCTCTCCCCTCTTTCCCCTCCTCTCCCCTCTTTCACCCTCCTCTCCCCTCTTTCACCCTCCTCTCCCCTCTTTCACCCTCCTCTCCCCTCTTTCCCCTCCTCTCCCCTCTTTCCCCCTCCTCTCCCCTCTTTCCCCCTCCTCTCCCCTCTTTCACCCTCCTCTCCCCTCTTTCCCCCTCCTCTCCCCGTTCTCCCATTCCCCCCTCTCTGCAGGAATCCTCCAACCGCACCTACTACAGCAAGGGCCGTGTGATCTCATCTCAGCCCAGCGGCATTGCGGCAATCAACCCTTTCCGTCCCTCTCCACCCCTTCCCCTACCCTCCTACAGGAATCCTCCAACCGCACCTACTACAGCAAGGGCCGCGTGATCTCCTCACAGCCCAGCGGCATCGCGGCGCTCAACATCGTACTGCGCAACGTTGCAGACTACATCAAGTCAAATGTCATGCTGGTGCAACCCTACGCGCTCTCCATCCCGCCCGCGCACATGCCCAACATGTTCCAATACGCCGACACCACATGCGCGCTTTTCGCGGGACCTTTATCGAGCACGGCAACTGATCTAGCCAAGGCTCGGAGCAGCGTTGTCGCGTGGACCAACGCTCAAATCAACGCGTTAGCGAATTCTCGCATCAAGCTGCTTAATATCTTGTCGCTGTCGCTCTATAGGGCGGATGCACACGTGGGGACGTACCGGCCGGCGGGAGGTTCGACGGAAATGGACTGTGCTAAGTGGTGCCTGCCGGGAGTTCCAGACGTGTGGCTGGACTTATGGTACCACCAGGTCAGCGACCCGTTTAACCTTAAGCCGTAAGGTGGATTCAGTATTTATTGAACTGGATGTATGGTACATGGGATAGGTGGTGCAAGGATCACCATCATTGGTGCTTACTGGGACTAGTGGTGTCATGTCATGACCATGGTCCCTTCAGCAGCTGGTTTGCTCAACTGGCATACAAAAGTGGGACTGTGCAGGTCGAGGAGGAAATGATAGGAATACGGTATAGGATGGTGGCATCTCACCTTGTCACTATTTGCTTGGGCATGAGAAGGTTTTATGTGCCCATTGACTATAACTGATATTAATTGTTTGTTGCAATTGACAATTATTATTTGCGTCAGCATATCCACTGGATGTTCATCTGGTTTGCATTGGATGGTTGTACTTACTATTTGCACCAGCATATTCACTAGAGAGTACAAATTGATTACTATCAGTTTCAGCGTTGGAGTCATCCACTCTCAGTGTATTTAGAGTCAAAATATGCTAGTTACTTGTACAGAGTATGACGAACACTTTATTAGGGGTGCGATGATTGGCGCCATTTCACATGAGCTATGCGTTCCCGAAACCCTCGGGATTGGCGGATCTGACTTGTCTACCCTTGGAAACACTCAAACTGAAAGATACCCGTTATACTGTATGTAGACTTGCCGCACTCCACCAGTACAGTGTTCATCAAAACATTATAAGTGAAACGCCATAATTGCTGGACCACAACCTGCCCTTGGGAATTCCCTCAACCCCGAGCATCCATGTGGTTGGTCGCCCCCTCCCCTGCCATCAAAAGCCGAGAGAATCGCAGGGCAAGCTTTTCGTCTCTGTTGCTGATTCCCTTGGGATTTCCTTTCCCTACACAACTCCCTCTTCATCAGACACGTCACGTTTTCCGTCTGCAGCCTCGGTGTAGCTACGTCCGTTATTTCTGCCTCCGTCTGGCCGTAATCTCTGTTCGCATTGGCCGTATCTTCATTATAGCAATCTCTTGCCGTTCGACCGGCCGCGGATCTGAATGACAGCAGTAACGTGGTTAGCCGTCGCGAGCCCTGGTCATCGTCACTCGTTTTTATCGCCCGTGTCGCCTGGCGTCGGTTCTTTTAAGAAAAGGCTTTGCGCAGAGAAAGTGATTCCTGTTCTGAATTTGCAAGGCCGGGAAGCCGTGGAAGCAAGGAGAGGAGTGGTCGAGATTCTCAGTCAGCAAACGACATGTTTATTAAGCCTCTCGGTAAAAGGGAGAAGTAGCCATTCTACGCCGCTGTTGTGGTTGCGTGTTTAGCTGAGAAGTCAACCAGCTTGTACCGAGACAGCAGTCTTATAACGAGTCAGCCTGATTGTAACGCGTATACATGGAAGCAAGTCGCGGGAGTGTTCAGCTTTCCGGAAGGGGAGACCGCGCGCGTGGCATTGTTGGTGATTGTAACGCATCTGGAGATTCAGCCAGGATGAGCGGAAATCACGCTGACGTGGAGACGAAAGAGCTAGGCGAAGATAAGACAACGCGGAAGGAGTCAGGGAGTAAAGGGCCGGAAAAAGGGGATCAAGAAGCGGAGGAGAAGGGTGAGAAAGGAAGGGAGAAAGGTGATAAAAGGGAGGTGGTGAAAGGCGATAAGGGGGAGGCGGTGAAAGGCGATAAAGGGGAGACGGTGAAAGGCGATAAGGGGGAGGCGATGAAAGGTGATAAAGGGGAGACGGTGAAAGGTGATAAAGGGGAATCGTTGAAAAGTGATAAGGGGGAGGCGGTGAAAGGTGATAAGGTGGACTCGTTGAAAGGTGATAAGGGGGAGAGAGAGGACAAGGAAGGAAAGGGAAAGATCCCGAAGGAAAGGGGGAGAGGCGAAGAAGGTAAAGAGGGAGTGAAGCAAGGGATGGATGGGAAGGTGATTGATATGGTTGGACTGGGGAAGACAACGAGCGAAGGCGCAAGGAAGGAGAAGGAGACGGGCGAAATGAGGGGGAAAGGAGGGGAGGGAAAGGGGGAGGAGAAGGAGGGAAAGAATTCGAAGGGAAATGGGAAGGAGCGGGAGGAGGATAGAAGGGAAGGGAAGGAGGAGAAGGAGAAAGGGGAGAAGATGGAGGAGGAGAAGGAGAGGGTGGAAAAGGAGGGGAAGGAGAAGAAAGAGAAGAAGGAGAAGAGGGAGGAGGGGAAGGGAAGGGGAGGGAAGGAGGATCTTCCGAAGGAAGGAAGCGAGACGAGGAATAAGAGTGAGGAGGGGGATGAGAAAAGAAAAAGGCATGAGGTGAAGGATAACGAGAGAAAAGAAGAGAATGAGAGAAAAGAGGAGGAGGAGGGAGAGATTGCTGCTGACGAGCACCAAAAGGGGAAGGAGAAAGATAAAGGCGTCGAACCTGGCGAGGAAGGAGAGATTGGGGAGGAAGAGAATAAGAAAACTAAGGAGAAGGGGAAGGAAAGGAGGGAGGAGAAGAGGGAAGGGGGTGAACAAAAGAAGGAGAGGAGGAAAGAGAAGGATGGGGAGCGGAAGGAGAAGAAGGATGAGAAGAGGAAAGAAGGAAAGGACAAGGATGAGAAGAAGGAAGGGAAGGTAAAGGATGAGAAGAAAGCCTAAAGAGAAGGGGAAGGATGAGACAGGAGAGATGATTCGAGGCGACGAGAGGACAGAAAAGAGGGAGAAGAAAGAAGGAGATGAAGAGGAGAGGAAGAAAGAGAGGAGAAAGAGGGATGACAAGGACGAGGAGAGGCGGAAAGAGAGGAAGAGAGAGAGGAGGGAGGAAAGGAGAGCGGAGGAGAAAGGGGAGGGGAAGAGGAAGGAGAGGAAGACCGAGGAGGGGCAGGATGTGAAGTCAAAAGAGAGGAAAGAGAAGAAGGAGAAGAGGGAGAAGGAAGAGAAGAGACAGAAGGAAGAGAAGAGAGAGAAGGAAGAGAAGAGAGAGAAGGAAGATAAGAGGGAGAAGGAAGAGAAGAGGGAGAAGGAGGAGAAGAGAGAGAAGGGCAGTGAGCAGCCTCTGTTGAGCCCTGGAAACTCGGCAACCCCAGGCTTTAAGAGCCCTGAGCACTGTGTTATGAGCCCGGATCAAGGAGCAAAGCCCTTAGAAGATGAGGTGAAAAGTCCTGATGAGTTGAAAAGTTCGAAGGAGTTGAAAAGTCCAGAGGATTCAAAGAGTCCTGGCGATTTACAGAGTCCTCCGGAGAAACGGAGTCACAGTGGTCTAGTTAGCCCTGGCAATGTAAAAAGTCCTGGCGAATCAAAGAGTTGTGGAGAGAAAAAGGTTTTAGGCGAGTTACAGAGTCATGCAGATTTACAGAGTCCAGGAAGATTAGAGAGTCCTGGGGGTTTCAAGAGTCCTGAGAAGGAGAAGAGTCGTGGAGAAGGAGTTAAAAGCCCTGCTGTGGGATTGAAGAAGGCAGAACAGCCGGCAGAAAGTGCAGATCAGGTTAGAGGGAGTCTTGACGTGTCTGTGAATATGGACGGTTGCTCCAAAGGAAGCCCGGGTCAGTCTATAGCGAGTATGGCCAGTCCTGGGGTGAATAGTCTGGAGGAGGGAGAGAGGAGAAGGAGTTTGGAAGGGCGGGGGGAGAAAAGTGAGGAAGGGAAGGAGGCGAAGAGGAAGAGGGAGGAGAGGGATAAGGAGGAGAAGGAGAGGAGGAGAGAGGGGAAGAGGGAGGGGAAGAGGGATGGGAGGGATGAGAAAGAGGAGGCTAGGAGGGAGGAGAGGAAGGAGAGGAAGAGGAAGGAAAAGAGGGAGAGGAGGGAGGCGAGGAAGGGGGAAGGGAGGGAGGAGAATAAGGGGAAGGGGAAAGGGGGTGATGATGAGAGAGGAGATAAGGAAGAGGTGAAAGAGGGAAAGACTGTGGGGGAAAAGGAGGTGTTGAAGGATAGTGACCAACATAAGGAGGCCGATGGGAAAGTGAGGGGGGAGAGGAGGGAGGGAGTTGGAGGAGAGGAGAAAGGAGGGACGGTGGAGAGCAGGGAAGAGAAAGCAGAGGAGAAAGGAAAGCAGGAAGGAGGGACGGCAGAAAGCAACAAGGTGACAGAAGAGGTGAAGGAGAATGCAGGGAATGCAGAGGAGAGGGCAGTCGAGAGGGCAGAGGAGAGAGGAAATGATAGGAGAGGTGAGAGGGTGGAGAAAGGAGAGACGGCGGAAAACAGAGAGGTGAAAGAAGAGGGAAAGGCGGATGAGGAAGTAAAGGTGAAAGCAGACGAGAAGGTGGGGGAAACAGCAGCGACGAAAGCAGAAGAGAAAGCGAAGAAGGAAGCAAAGGCGGAGAAAGCAGAGCAGGAAGTGGCAGCAGCAGCAGCTCAACAGAGTGAAACGAAGGTTAGCTGTGGGGGGCATGGGGAGGAGGGGCAGGGGATGCGTGTAAAGGAAGGAGAGGTGACTTGCAAGTCGACCCAAGAGGAAAAGGGGAAGTTTGGAAATGAAGGTGAGGTGTCGGCGAAGGAAGCAGCAGTGCAGAAGGCACGGGATGGGGATGGTCAGAGTCGTGAGCATGCTGAGTTGAAGGCTAGCGAGATTGTTTCGAAGGAAACAGCACCGCAGAAGCCAAGGGGTGATGATGGGCAGAGACAGGAGCATGCTGACGGAAAGGAGGAGAGCAAGGAGCATGGGAACGCGAGAAAGGATGTTCAGAAGGAGTTGAAGGGAGAAGTGGGCTTGGATGGTGAGGGGCGGGAGGTAAGAGATGAGCCTGAGGGTGTGCTTTCAAAAGGGGGTGATAGAGACGAAGGGATGAAGGGGATGGCAGATGTGACAGCAGCGGGAGAGAGAGGGCAGATAAAGGAAGGGGAGAAAAGAGAGGGGAGAGATGAAGTGAGAGGGAGGGCAGGACGAAGCGAAGGAGAGACGGGAAAGGAGGAGAAGGAGGGAGAGTCAGTAAAGCTCCTCTCAGATGCTGCATCTGGTGGGGCTGTGGCTATAACCTCAGTCAAGATTTCATCCCCAGAAGCAGCTGCTGGCGTTTCTGTCCCTGCTGCCGCCCCTCCTGCTCCTGTCTCTGCTGCTGTTGCTCCTGCTACAGACGCTACTGTTACCACAGCCGCTACAGCTGATAAAGCTGCTACAGCAATCCCAACAGCCCCTGACTCATCCCCTACAAAAGCTAGAGCTTCGCCTTCTTTACCAACAGCTATCGTGGCTACGGCTGTTCCAGCGGTTTCATCCGCTACATCCGCTGCGGCCGTCACAGCTGCTACAGCTGCTATTCCTGCTGCTGCTCCTGCTTCTGCCCCTGCCCCTGCCGCTGCCCCTGCTGCTGTCCTTGCTGCTGCCCCTGCTGCTATCCCTGCTGCGGCCTCTGTTGCAGCCCCTGCTTCTTCCCCTGCTCCTGCTTCTGCTTCTCCTTCTGTCCCTGCTGCTGCTTCTGCAACTGCCCCAGCTGCTGCTTCTGCAACTGCCCCTGATGCTGTCCCTGCTGCTGTCCCTGCTGCGGCCCCTGCTTCCCCCCCTGCTCCTGCTTCTGCTTCTGCAACTGCCCCTGCTCCTGCTGCTGCTTCTGTCCCTGCTGCTGCGTCTGCATCTGCCCCTGCTGCTGCTCCTGCTTCTGTCCCTGCTCCTGTCTCTGCTGCTGCCCCTGCTTCTGCCCCTGCTTCTGCCCCTGCTCTCACTTCCGCTTCAATCCCTGCTGTTTCAGCTCCCTCTCTTGCTCCCACTATAACGTCAACCCCTGCTACAGCTGCTACATCTGCTACAGCCGCTACATCTGCAACCCTTGCTACAGCTGCTACAGCTGCCGTGGCTGCTGTCGCTTCAACTCCTGCCACTGATCCTGCTGCTGCTTCTCCTATTGCTGCCTCTCCTGCTTCTGCTGTTCCTCCCACTGCTCCTGCTCCTGCTCCTGCTCCTGCTCCTGCTGCTCCTGCTGCTCCTGCTCCTATCCCTGCTCCTGCCCCTGTTCCTGCCCCTGCTCCTGCTCCTGCTCCTGCTCCTGCTTCTGCTCCTGCTGCCTCTTCTTCTCCTTCCCCTGCTGCCACTGTTCCTACTCCCGCCGCTGTTTCTCCCTCAGCTGCCCATGCTTCGGCCCCTGCTCTGTCTCCTCCGCGACTTCATCCAAATATTGCCAACTCTGCTGCTGCTGCAAAGATTCCTCTTACTCGCCCCACCACCGCCACTGCTTCTCCTGCTACCGACGGTACTCCTGCTAAAGCCATCGCCACTACAGCCACTGCGGCTACTGATGTTACTGCTACAGGAGCCGCCACTAGTGCTGCTATTCCCACACCATCTGTTACATCTCCCCTCCCTGCTGCTACAGCCACCACCACTCCCCCTGCTACAGCCGCTGCCACTCCCCCTGCTACAGCTGCCGCCACTCCCCCTGCTACAGACGCCGCCACTCCCCCTGCTACAACCATTGCCAGTCCCGTTACAACGGTCAATCCTCTTTCTACAAATTCCACTCCCTCAGCTACATCTCCCTCCCTTGCTTCTCCTGCCACCGTTCCTGCTACAGCTGCTACTTCTCAACCTGCTACAGGTGCCATCCCTACTGCTTCATCCGCCACTCCTCCTGCTACAGCTCCTTCCATTCATGCTGCTGCCACCTCTCCTGCTACAGTTGCCACTGCTCCTGCTTCTTCTGCCACCGTTCCTGCTACAGCTGCTACTTCTCCACCTGCTACATGTGCCATCCCTACTGCTTCATCCGCCACTCCTCCTGCTACAGCTCCTTCCATTCATGCTGCTGCCACCTCTCCTGCTACAGTTGCCACTGCTCCTGCTTCTTCTGCCACCGTTCCTGCTACAGCTGCTACTTCTCCACCTGCTACAGGTGCCATCCCTACTGCTTCATCCGCCACTCCTCCTGCTACAGCTCCTTCCATTCATGCTGCTGCCACCTCTCCTGCTACAGTTGCCACTGCTCCTGCTTCTTCTGCCACCGTTCCTGCTACAGCTGCTACTTCTCCACCTGCTACAGGTGCCATCCCTACTGCTTCATCCGCCACTCCTCCTGCTACAGCTCCTTCCATTTCTGCTGCTGCCACCTCTCCTGCTACAGTTGCCACTGCTCCTGCTTCTTCTGCCACCGTTCCAGCTACAGCTGCTACTCCTCCTCCTGCTACAGTTGCCATCCCTCCTGCTTCATCCGCCACCCCTCCTGTTGCAGCTGTCAAACCTCCTCTTGCCTCAACTGCCACCCCCCTTGCTACAGCTTCCAAGCCGCCTGCTGCAATTGCCACCCCTCCTACAGCTGCCACTGCTCCTTCCACAGCCGCTAAACCTCCTGCTACAGCTGCAATTTCTCCTGCTACAGCCGCCACTCCCTCTGCCACATCTCTCCCTTCTCCTGATCCAGCTGCCACTGCTCCTGCTACAGCCGTCACCTCCCCTGTTACAGCTGCCACCCCTCCTGTTACAGCCGCCAACACTCCTGTTACAGCCGCCACCCCTCCTGCTACAGCCACTCCACCAGATTCAGCTACCTCTGCTCCTGCCACAGCTGCCAAATCTTCTGCAACGCCTGCTAACTCTCGTGCTACAGCCGCCACCTCGCCTGCAACAGCAGTTGATTTAGCAGCACCAGCAGCAGAAGCAGAACCACCAGTTGAAGCAGCAGCAACAGGCGGAGCACAAGGTACAAAGATGGAGTCTCAAGGAGGAGCCACTTTGGCAACTACAGGGAGGCCATCAGGGAGGCCAGCAGCAGCAGTTGAGGCAACAGCACCTGACTTACCAGCAGCGGCAGCAGAAGTAGCACCAGCAGCAGCAAAGCCAGCAGTTGAATCAGCAGCAGCAGCCGTGACAACAGATGGAGCAGCTTTAAAAGCAGGCGCTACAGCAGGCGCCGTATCACAGGGTATAAAGGCTGAGTCAGGGGGAGGAGCCTCTTTGACGACAGCAGAGGCACCAGCAGCAGCTGCAGCAGCTGGAGCAGAACCAGCAGTTGCAGCAGCAGAGGAAAAAACAGCAGTTCAATTGACAGCAGCAGCAGCAGCAGCAGCAGCAGTTGCTGTTAAGCCAGTTGAACCGCGAGCAGCAGCAAAAACAGTTCTATCGACAGGAAAGGATCCCACCGCAATCATCCCTTTCCCGGGAATCACTCCCCTCTCCTCATCGCTTCCCTCCTCCGTTGCCCCATCTCTTCCCTCTTCCCTTCCCTCATCTCTTCCCTCCTCCTCCCACGCTCCCACTTCCCACTCTCCCACTTCCCACACGTCCGCTTCCCCACCCGAACCTCCTCTTCCCCATTCCTCCGTCCCTCACTCCACCGCACCTGCCCCTGATCTCTCTTCCGAGCCTATTCCCAAGGTGCCTCAGCCTCAGAAGCGCTCCATTCCTGACTCAACTGCTCCTGTGCTTAACCTCTCAATAGCGCCTCCGCTCGTAGAGTCTCAGCCTCTCCCCATTGATTCGGCACAAAAGTTGCAAAAGGCTCATCTTCCAGATGATCCGGTTGAGAAAGCTCCTGATTTGAGACAGGAACCTTCCCCGAAAGAGCTGGCCCCATGTGACCTGCCTCCCACGGTGCCGCCTCCTCGCCTGGACTCCCAAACCCCCCCTGTCAAGTTGACTCAAGAAAAACTCAGCCTAGAATCGCAGATCCTCCCTTTTGATTCGATTCAAGAACCTTCCCGGCAAGACCTGGCCCCATGTGACATGCCTCCCCCGGTGCTGCCGCCGCGCGTGAACTCCTCGAGTCAGGAACCTTCCCGGCAAGAACTGGCGCTAAGTGACATGCCTCCCCCAGTAATGCCGCCGCGCCTGGACTCCTCGAGTCAGGAACCTTCCCGGCAAGAACTGGCGCTAAGTGACATGCCTCCCCCGGTAATGCCGCCGCGCCTGGACTCCTCGAGTCAGGAACCTTCACGGCAGGAACTGGCGCCGCTAATTGACATGGCTCCCCCGGTGCTGCCGCCACGCGTGCGTGTGTCGATCACTCTCACACCGGAGGAGGTGGAGGAGGATTTTCTAGCAATCACGGGGCAACCACCACCACAACTACCAATGAAGAAGAGAAGGTTCGTCCACCTTGATTGATTGCCTGCTTGGCCCGCTTGCCTCCCCCGGTGCTGCTGCCACTGCGTGTGTGTGAGTCGATCACTCTCACACCGTAGGAGGTGGAAGAGGATTTTCGGGGCAATCAAGTTTATTTATGAATCAGCTCAAAAAGGAATTACAGGTGGCAAATGGGTGGGTCGGGGTAGCCCCTGCTTCTGGAGCAAACGCAAAAATGAGTTCACTATTTCCAATCGATTCACCCATTCGTTTCCCGTTGTGGCTTCTCTTCGCTGCACAGGAAACCGGAGGCGGCGAACGGGTGGGTCGGGGTAGCCCCTGCTTCTGGAGTAGACTCTGAGGTAGCGTTTCATTCTCCCCCCTGTCCCTTTCCTTTTCACTCTCTTTCTGGAACCCACAGGAAACTTGAGGCGACAAGCGGGTGGGTCGGGTTTAGCCCCTGCTTCTTGAGCCTGCCTCTTTCCGTCACTCTCTCTCTGCACCCCTACAGGAAACTAGAGGCGGCAAACGGGTGGGTAGGGGTAGCCCCTCCAGGCATGGATGAGCTCCCGCCTCTCTGTCTAGGCGTCTCAGTTGCTTTCTGATTCTTTTCTTCACACTCTTTGCTTCAACCCACAGGAAACTAGAGGCGGCGAACGGGTGGGTGGGCGTAGCCCCCCCAGGCATGGACGAGCTCCTGCCTCTCTTTCTAGGCGTATCAGTGACATTCCTATTCTTTCCGTCACTCTCTTTCTTGACCCCTACAGGAAACTGGAGGCGGCAAACGGGCGGGTAGGGGTAGCCCCTCCAGGAATGGATGAGCTCCCGCCTCTCTTTCTAGGCGTCTCAGTTGCATTCTAGTTCTTCTCATCACACTCGTTGCGTGACCCTACAGGAAACTGGAGGCGGCGAACGGGTGGGTAGGGGTAGCCCCCCCAGGCATGGATGAATGAGCTGTTGCTGATGAATCCTGCTCATTGCTCCTCTCCCCTTCTTACCCCTCGTCTCTCTCTTGATCTCCCGTCTTCCCTCGCCCCCACAGGAAACTGGAGGCGGCGAACGGGTGGGTGGGGGTAGCCCCCGCAGGCATGGATGAGCTGCTGCCTCTCGCAGCAGAATCTTCTGAACCCTCTGAGAAGCTTGCTCTCCCAAGCAGCAGCAACAGCAGGGGTAGGCCCCCCAGGCATGGATGTGCTGATGAATCCTGCTCATTGCTCCTCTCCCCTTCTTACCCTCCCCTCTCTCTCTTGATCTCCCTTTTTCTTTCCCCTTTACAGGAAACTGGAGGCAGCAAACGGGTGGGTAGGGGTAGCCCCGCCAGGCATGGACGAGCTCCCGCCTCTCTTTCTAGGCGTCTCAGTTGCTTTCTGATTCTTTTCTTCACACTCTTTGCTTCAACCCACAGGAAGCTGGAGGCAGCGAACGGGTGGGTAGGGGTAGCTCCCCCAGGCATGGATGAGCTCCTGCTGATGAATCCTGCCCATTGCACCCGTCCCCTTCTTAACCTCTCGTCTCTCTCTTGATCTCGTCTTCTCTCGACCCCTCACAGGAAACTGGAGGCGGCGAACGGGTGGGTAGGGGTAGCCCCCCCAGGCATGGACGAGCTGTTGCCTCTCTTTCTAAGCGTCTCAGTGACATTCCTATTCTTCTCATCACACTCGTTTCTTGACCCTACAGGAAACTGGAGGCAGCAAACGGGTGGGTAGGGGTAGCCCCTCCAGGCATGGATGAGCTCCTGCCTCTCTTTCAAGGCGTCTCAGTGACATCCCTGTTCTTTCCGTCGCTCTCTTTCTCTCTCTCTCTCTCTCTCTCTCTCTCTCTCTCGACCCCACAGGAAACTGGAGGCGGCAAACGGGTGGGTTGGCGTAGCCCCCCCAGGTATGGACGAGCTCCTCCCTCTTGCAGCAGAACCTTCTGAACCTTCTGAGAAGCTTGCTCTCCCAAGCAGCAGCAACAGCAGGGGCATGTATCAGCAGGGTATGGACCCGTCAGTGCCTTTCAACCGACCTTTTGACTCGAAACTGGAAGAGCCGAGGGGAGGATTCGAGGATAGAAAGGTTGGCCTGGTCCCTCCCCTGCTGTCACGGCCTCTGTTGGCAGCAGAGGGAAATGTTCTGGTTGGAAATGGCTTGGCTTCTCAAGCCGAGGATGGGGTTGGCAGAAACGAAGGGGGAGGTGGCTTGGTGGCGGAAAGGAGGGAGGTTGGTTGGCAGGCTTCTAAGCCTCTCCTGTCGCTGCCCCCCTCGTCGCTTCTCCATCCTCCCATGGTGTTTTCTGGGCTGGAGCAAGTGCAGGAGAAAGAGATTGAGAAGGGAAAGGAGAAAGGGAAGGAGATGGCTGCTGCTATTGGTGGTTACGCTGTTTTTGGTGATGCTGCTTCTGCTGCGGCTCTTGCCGGTAATGGTGCGCTGGGTATGCAGGTTGACGGGTTTGGTAGGAGCCTTGAGGAGAGAAATGGTAGGAAGGAGGGAGGGGAGGTGGGGGAAGGAGAGAGGGAGAGGGCGAGTGCTGGAGGCGAGGGGAAGAAGGAGAAGGGGGTGGAAGGAGAGGGGATTGGGAAAAGGGACAAGGAGGGGAAGAAGAAAAAGAAGAAGAGGCATGAGAAGGATCGAGAAGGGAGAGTGGGGGAGAAAGGAGAGGAGAGAAAGGAGGGGAAGGGAGAGGGTAAGGTGGAAGGGAGGAAGGAAGAGAAGGGGGAGAGCAAGAGAGAAGGGAGGCATGAAGGGGAGCAGAGGAGGGAGAAGAAGCTGAAGAAGCATGGGAGAGTGGAGGGAGGGGAGGAGAGGAGGGAAGGTAGATCGGCACAGGAGGAAGTAGGCAGGTTGAGAATTTCTGCAGGAGCAGCAGGAGCAGAAACAGGAGAAGGAGAGGAGAGAGAGAAGGAGAAGGTTAAGCATCAGGCAAAAGAGAAGGAGAGGGAGAGGTACCGAGAGAAGGAAAAGGAGAAAGAGAGGGAGAAGGAGAAGGAGAGAGAAAGGGAGAGAGAGAAGGAAAGGAGGCTTGTGGATGTCGATAGAACAGTGCTTGCTACTCTGGGAGCAGAGAAGCAAGCAGAGGAGCAGAGAGAGAAAGAGGGGGAGGAGGACGAGGAGGAGGAGAAGGAAGAGGAGGAGGTAGAGGAGGAGAGAGGTGAGGAGAAGAGGAGGGGTGGGCCTGGAATTTGGCAGCGTCCCGACAAGATTCGAGTAGGTGAGGAGAGAATAGGTTCCCTTGTAAGGAGAGGAGATAGAGGAGAAGCTATTGTTGAGGGGCGGATGGAGGAAGAGAGAAGAGAGGGGGCAGGCGAGCAGGGGAATGGAGAGGCCAGGGGAGGGGAGAGGGAGAGGGAAGGTGGAGAGGAGAAGGGTGGGAGAGGGGAGAGGGAGAGGGGGAGGAGAGGGAAGGAGAGGGTGGAGGGAGGTTCGGGAGAAGGCTCGGACGAAGAATCGGAGGAGGATTTCCCTGGGGATTATCGGGAGGGTCAGGCTCGGATGAGGAGGAAAGAGGCTCGGAAACGAAGGAGGATGTTTGGGGAGTATGGGAATGGGGAGGATGGGGAGGAGGACGATGGGATGGGGATGGAGAAGGATGAGGGGGAAGCGGAGGGAGGGGTGGGGATGGGTGGGCCTGAGTGGTTTCTAGCAGGGTTATCCGGGGGACTAGGAGCAACGGGATTAGGAGCATTTGCAAATTCTTCCCCTTCTACTATTGCAGCTGGGTCTGCAGGGGGGGAAACAGGGGGAGGAGCAGGGGGAGCAGGGGGAGGAGCAGCAGGAGGAGCACCAGGGTCTGTGCCAAAGAGAAGACGAAGCTCCCGCATAGCAGAGAGGGTAGAAAAGCGAACATGGCGATCCATGGATCTAGGCTGGGTGGCTGGTGCTGCTGCTGCTGCCGCCGCCGCCGCCGCAGCAGCCGCAGCTGCCTCTGGTGCTGGTTCGGCTGCTGGTGGGGGGCACAATGCGAGTTCAAGGGGAGGGAGGAAAGGTGCTGGGGTGGGTGTGCCGGCTTTCAGGCACCCTGGGGTGCCTGGGGTGATGGTTATGATCCCACCGGCGGAAATCGTATCGGATTTTGTACAGATCACGGGGAATCCGCCCCCGCCGCCCAAGAAGGGTTACCACTACTGGCGAAACTTCATCCCTTTTCAGGTATGGAAGCAGAGCTTCTGTCTAGGATGAGAGTGTGTTTTTCTCGTTTGTTCTGCTTCTAACAGAGCAAAAATCAGAAGCGGGTATCGCTCCTGGGGCAACTTCGTCTCTTTCCAGGTACGGCTGCGGAGCTCTTTTGTCGAAAATCAAATCCGACTGCTCTTGTTTTGTTCTGCTCGCTGGTCTGAACAAGTTGCTTCAGATGCGCATGATGTGTCTGTCATGTGTGTGTGTGCGTAAGACTTGCATAATGGCTTGTCGTGGTGCTCTGAGGATTCTCAAAAGTGTCTAGTCTAACCTCTTACGCTCCCGCCCTCAAACCCACCCACCCTAAACCCTGACAACCACCAGTGCTTGGACGGCCTACCGAAGGGTCATGATTGGGCTAAGGGATACCCCTGGCCTCTTGTTCCCAAGACATGAGCCAAAGGCTGTTCGCTTGAGGCCGGTTTGTTAAATGCATATTCGATAGAGGCATGCTTGTTATAAGCCATGGATGGGGTTACTTAGAATGTGTTTGCAGTGCACGACTACCGATAGCTAAGAACGGAGCGTGCTCTAGTCTCGACTGTTTTTTTCAGACATTCCAAACACTAGTACTGTTTGGTATGATTGTTTAGAGTTGATTCTCAGTCAGAGAACGGATAAGCAAACCACTAGACCCCCAGTCCAAGCTGAAGCCGTTCTGAAGCTGCTGGAAAGATCTAGGACTTCGTTTAGCCAAATTGAGAATTGTCCTGTTACACATGGATACGAAGTAAGTGTTTTCGTCTTTACTTCATGAGCAGGCAGGAGGGGAGCCGAGGGTGCCCGGGGCACCCCAGGGAGTGCAGCAGGCAGGAGGGGAGCCGAGGGTGCCCGGGGCACCCCAGGGAGTGCAGCAGGCAGGAGGGGAGCCGAGGGCGCCCGGGGCACCCCAGGGAGTGCAGCAGGCAGGAGGGGAGCCGAGGGCGCCCGGGGCACCCCAGGGAGAGCAGCAGGCAGGGGGGCAGCCGGGGGTGCCCGGGGCACCCCAGGGTACGCAGCAGGCAGGGGGGGGATCGATGGACGACCGGGAACAGCAGTTGGAGGAGTGGTGCCGACTTTTGGAGTTTGATACCCCCATGGCGACTGCGGAGGAGTCAGAGGCGGACGGAGAACCACCCAGTCCGCCTTCCCCATGCCCCCGTTTCCCGTGTGACACGTGTTTCCACACGTTCGCCACGAGAGGGGCCGCTGCGAACCACATGAGGGTATGCCGGGCGGCTGAGGCGGAGAGACGCGCGCAGGCACTTGGCTCGATCCCGTCTCTGGTGGAGACCGACACACAGGAGCGACCGACGCCGCGGGAATTTGGGGACGAGGCGTGGGCAGGGGTTAAGTCATGGGAGTGGGAGGCATTTTTCTGTGTGGAGGCGGTTGGAGGGAGGACAGTGCGCCGGATCCCGCAGCGGGCCCGGTCCGGGGTCTTAGACGCACTCTGTTGCATCTTGAAGCGGCTGAAGAGCCGACCGGGAGATGAAGCTGCTACCCTCCTACTCCTGGCGTTTCCGCGCCTCATCCTAGCCGTGCCTCCCAAGCCAGGCATAGGTCAGAAGGCGCTGATCATAGAGCGGCTGGGGGCCTTCTGGGAGGGGAGGTGGCGGGAGTTGTTCGACGCTGCCATGGCGGCGGCACGGCCAGCAGTTCGCCCACTTGCCTACACGTGCTCTGACCAGGACCCGGAGGCCATCCGCCTGTCACGGTGCCGATCTCGGTGTAAAGTGGGAGAGTGGAGCCGTGGTTTGTCTTGCCTCACAGCAGGAGAGTTGGCTCGACCGTCTGAGGCTATGGTGCAGTCGCTGCGAGGGAAGCACCCAGCTAGCAGTGGCGAGGTACCACCGTGGGTTCGTGAGTTTACTGTCGACGCTCCTCAGCGGCCTCCACTCACGACCGACATTCTGGCTAGAGCTATCCACACAGCTGCTCGCGCCTCAGCTGCAGGGCCATCGGGATGGGTCACAGAGCATCTGCGCGACACTTTCCTCACGGAACCTTCCTGCCTCTCCCACCTGCTGGAAGTGTTCAACCAATGGGTGGCGGGACAGGTCCCCGAGCGAGCTCGGCCCTGGCTCGCCGCATCCAACCTAGTCGGGCTTTCCAAACCCAACGGTGACGTCCGGCCGGTGGCGATCGGGGAGGTGCTTCCGCGTATCCTCGCTCGAGCTCTCTGCATCTCGCTTCGCCCTGTGATGGCTTCTTATTTTCTGCCGTGTAACCAGCTGGGAGTGGGCACCAGGGCCGGGGTGGAGATTCTTACTCATTCTTTCCGGTCAGCGCTGGCCACTCACCCCGACTGGTGTGCGCTGCAGATAGATGTCGCGAACGCCTTCAATTCGTTTCATCGCCACGCGATGTTCGAGGGGCTGAAGGAGTCGCCTTTCTCAGGAATGATCCCATTCTTGCGTGTCTTCTATGGGACACCTAGCGACCTGTACCTCCGAGCGGGCCCTTTCGTACAGAGTCTTGAGTCGGCACGAGGATCGCGACAGGGGGACCCGCTCGGCCCTTTTCTTTTCGCTTTCACGCAGCAGCAGGTGCTGGGGACGGTGACTAGAGAGTTCAGGGACCTACTTTTCTTGAGCTATGCAGACGATACCTACATCCTGGGACCAGCGGCTAGGATTCTGGAGGCTTTTGGGGTGCTGCGAGAGAGGTTGGAGTGGGTGGGGCTGGAAGTGCAGGCGCACAAGTGCAGGTTTTGGGAGCGTGGAGGTGGGGATATGGAGCGGGCATTGCCTTTGGGGATGCAGCGGGAGGAGGAGGGTCTTATTGTGGTGGGCGTGCCTATTGGGGAGGAGGATTGGGAGGGGGCCCGATTACGGAAGCGGCTTCGCGAGTTGCAGGCGCCATTGCCGTGGCTCCCCCTGCTCGACCACCCCCAGATGGCCTCGCATCTCCTCGCTATTGCAGTTTCAGCACGGCCGATGTACCTGGCCCGGACTATGCCGCCGCGGCCGGAGGTGGTGGAGGCCTTTAGAGAGTGGGACAGCTGTCTGGAGGATTGCTTTGAGCAGCTTTTCCCCCCTGGCACTTGGGAGCAGGATCCCGGCAGGTCTAGGCGCGCACGCATGCAGCTGCATCTCCCTGTGCGCCTCGGAGGGTTTGGGATCCGGGCGGCGGCCTCTTTGAGTCCGCTCTCCTATGTTTGTGGGTGGGCGCAGGCCGCACGGGATATTGCACATTTGGGGGTGGCGGGCGAGGAGGCGATGTTCGCAGAGTACCTCACCACTTCGGCGGGGGCGGAGCTTCTTGACCCGTGGTTTGCCAAGGCCATTGAGCAGTTGCCCGCGACTATACGCCAGGAGCTGCCGGACTTACCCCTGTGTGTGGCGGCCCCTCCTCTTCGGCTTTTCCAGCGCGACAGCGGCAGTTGGCTGTTGAGGAGCTCCAGGCACTCCGCCGCTTGGCTCGTGACGATGCCACCCTAGCCCGTTTCACATCCCTTCAGGGCCCGGGGGCTGGTGCATGGGTTTCGGCAGTTCCGGCTCATTCAGATCTCACATTCACTGCAGCGGAGTGGGGCATTGCTGCTGCTATACGGCTTGGTCTCCCAATCCAGCAGCTGCAAGTGGCGGGGAAGTGTGTTTGTGGCGCAGCGTATGATGACCCAGCAGACCCGCATCATGCGCTGAGATGCAAGCACCAACACGGTCCATCTCGGGTGCATGATGAGGTGAAGTTTGCGGTGGCAAAGATCGCTAAGGCGTCAGGGGGGGTGGTGACGATGGAGGATAGTGCGGTGCTGCCGGGGAAGCGGGTTGACGTAGCGGTGCGACGACCAATGGCTGGGGAGGCTCATGCTTTAGAGATTAGTGTCGCGGACCCGCTATCACTGTCTCCATCTCTGCTAGGGCAGTGCGGGCGGTCTATAGGCGTGGCGGCAAAGGAGTGGGAGCGTCGCAAAACGGGGGATTACGCGCCTCTTCTTGCACGGAACCGAGGCGTGCAGTTCACCCCTTTGATAGTGGAGACGTGGGGGTGTCTCGGCGGTCGCTTCCGGCGGTGGCTTCGACAGCAGGGGGACGCGCACGTGGGGCTAGCTGTGTCACGGGGGGCTTGTCGGGAGGATGACACTTCGTTCTCGGCTTACCTTTTGGGGTCTCTGAAGGCGCTCATCGGAGTGGCGTTACAACGGGCGCAAGCTCGTGTCATCCTGCTTCGGGCGGCGTCTTCCATGGGGGGGTTGAATGTGGACTTGGTGGATCGGGAGAGGGACGATGTCGAGGTGGAGGGCGGGCCTCTTTGGGTGGAGGCCCCCTACATGGTGGATGTGCAGATGTGACTTGGGGGGGAGGGGGGGGGGCGGGGGGGGGCGAGGGGGAATGGGGTGCGAGATGGGACGTCTGGTAGGGGATCCTGGTTGGGTTTTTTCTTTATAGAGTATTTTTATGGGGCTTTTTATGGGTGTTGCGTTTGAGTTGTTTCTGGTGTCTTTCTTTCCCGTTCCTCTCCTCTTGTGCGATGCTTTTCTTTGTAAAGATTATGTGTCTGTTGTCTTACCAATTTTCCCGACTGTGTTATCGGGTTGGTGGGTAGGGATCTCCAAACAAGCTCTGGTTATCTCAACTTTCTCATCGGCCACCAGCCATTCTCGGGATACTCTCGATGTGCTCTCGGCAGGTTTCGATGCCATTCTCCCTAGGGTGTGTGCGTGGACTCGCTAGGATGAGTGTTACTTCAAGATCCTCTCGACCGTTCGATTAACATGCGAGATTAATCATGGTCGACAAAAATTTCCCTTCTACGGAAACTCATCGACTGAAACACGCGACGAGAGCGAGCACAGGCAATTAGGAAGAGAAAAATGGATAAATTGTGATCGGGCAAGCCATTCCAGGTTATATTTTCCAAACACGCTGTCTTGCTGCTTTTGAGTAGCTCTGAATTCAGGTTCTGGAGGCATTCCATGGCGGAGCGGTATGAGGTCACAGAAACTCTAGCGTCTGTGCCTCATAATGTGCTGGAAAGCCTTTGCACGCAATACTTCCCTCCGTCGGACGTGATATCCTTTTCTCTTGTGTGCAAGGATTTCAAAGAAGTTGCTTACAGTCAGAGAGTGTGGAGAGAAAAATGCAGGAAACACTTTCCCTCATTAATGACAGTCGAGCTTACCAGCGACATTGACTACCGACGGCTTTCCACGGCGTGTTGCTCACGTTTCAGTCCTTCCAATGTGCCTGATCTCACCCCTCGAGTGGAAACGTCAGTGATCCTTTTGGATATCAGATGCAAGGGGAGCAACGTCCTCTCTATAGTGCATCCACTTAAAAGGTGCAAGAGCCAAGATAAGTACGCGACTCTGGCAGCTAATCTGACACCAGGTGCTGTGATGGTTCTGAATGACACTGAACAGTGCGACATTGAGCAATATCTTGAAGCAAACATGACACTCTCATCCTTCATTTTTGATTCATCATCTCATAAGCTGGTTACTCTATGTGGCGGAATAAAACGCGTCATGTACGCCATGGAATCCAAGGAGGAGCCCAATGTCGTCACGGTTTATTTCGGCAGCTTGGCGGCATCTTACTCCAGTTCCATGAATCTAAACATCACAGTTGGGCTTGAAGGGGAGAGAAAGAAGACTTTCAAGCTTGGAGGATTCCAACTTACTGTTTTTAACACTGTTCACTATGGCGTACTGTCGCTCGAGGAGATGATGACTAAGCTGAGATGGAGTGATTGTGCTGCGGTGTGTGACAAAATTTGAGGACATGGTACTGATGCTGCCCATCACTCATGTTTTGAATAAGAGCAATGAGCATATGGTACAAGCATACTCTCGTGAGCAACATCCTCATGATTACTATGGACGTTGCAACTTTGATGTGTCAGCACCATGTAATTACTGGGAATGGGTGAAAATAGCAAAGCTGGACGCGTTCTTGGGATACCGGTAGAAGAGTGTGTGTCACAGAGGAACCGTGTGGAATGAAAAAAGCTAGCTGATTAGATAGAAGAGTGGCATTAGCATGCGAGTGCCAAATGAGCGAGAATGGAGGGAAGAAAGATAAAGTGCTGTGAGGAAGGGGAGTGGTAGAGGAGAGGAAAGGCAGTGACTGGGACTAGGGAAGGGAATGGGGCAAGGGAACACGATGGGGCGAGCGAAGGGAATGGGACGAGAAGACATATGACCACAGAGCTTAGAGACCCATGTGCAAAAACCACACTTTGTAAAAGCGCAACACTGAAAGCAGCAACAACACACACACACACACACGCACGCACGCACGCACGCACGCACGCACGCACACACACACACATGGGCTTACTTTCGCTAAAGACCACAATTATACCCCCATGGACAATTAGAACAGACTCCTCCCTTCAACCTACCCCTCGACCAAACCCTTCCATCAGTAGCCATACAATCCGAGCATAAGAGACGTGGGTAAATCGGGTCCGCTTCCGCCGGCGGCAGCGACGGCCTGAAGCTGCACCGCCGGGTACTTGATGCATCGGTGAATGTTATTAAAGCACTGGTACCGAGCAAAAGTGCTAGTGTTGAGCGAGGGAGGAGGGGACGTGTGGGGCGAGGGAGGAGGGACGTGGGGCACGGGAGGAGGGGACGTGTGGGGCACGGGAGGAGGGGACGTGTGGGGCGAGGCCGAGGGAGACGAGGATGAAGGGTGGGTGGATGCCTCAATGTGGGACAAAGGTTGTGAGGTTGTGAGGGTAGATGCACCATGAAGCCACAACAGCCCATCTGGGGTGGCAGTTGACTTCTTCTGGCAGTATGTTGCCAGTTTCACCTGAAGCCCGGTTTCACCTGAAGCCCGGTTTCACCTGAAGCCCGGTTTCACCTGAAGCCCGGTTTCACCTGAAGCCCGGTTTCACCTGAAGCCCGGTTTCACCTGAAGCCCGGTTTCACCTGAAGCCTGGTTTCACCTGAAGCCTGGTTTCACCTGAAGCCTGGTTTCACCTGAAGTCCGGTTTTACCTGAAGCCTGGTTTCACCTGAAGCTCAGTTTTACCTGAAGGGCAGTTTTACCTGAAGCCCGGTGTAGCCTGAAACCCAGTTTCACCTGAAGCCCGGTTTCACCTGAAGCCCGGTCATCTGAAGCCCGATGTAACCTGAAACCAGTTCCACCTGAAGCCCGGTTTCACCTTAAGCCCGGTTTCACCTGAAGCCCGGTTCACCTGAAGCCCGGTTTCACCTGAACCTTGGCTTCACCTAACACCCGGTTCCGCCTGAAAACCAGTTTCACCTGAAGCCCAGTTTCACCTCTAGGATAGTTTCAACCAAAGCCCGGTGTAACCTGAAACCCAAATGCACCTGAAGCCCGTTTTCACCTGAAGCCATTGGTCACCTGAAGCCCGGTTTCACCTAACACCCAGTTCCACCTGAAACCCGGTTTCACCTGAAGCCCAGTTTCACCTCTAGGGTAGTTTCATCCAGAGCCCGGTGTAACTTGAAACCCAGTTTCACCTGAAGCCCGTTTACACCTGAAGCCCGGTTTCGCCTGAAGCCCTTTGTCACCTGAAGGTCGGTTTCACCTGAAGGCCGGTTTCACCTGACACCCGTTGTCACTTGAAGCTCGAATTCACCTGAAGCCCGATGTCACCCGCCAGTTGTCTCCAGCACCTGAAGTCCTGCAGTTATGTACCCAACCAACCCACACGTACCATCTGTAGGGGGGGTTGTTGTGTGAGGGCTGTGGCAGCACCTGTAGCCACAGCAGCAACCCAACCCACCTGGGGTGCCAGCTCACGTCTCCCAGCAGCAGCTTTGCCATCCCTTCTGTCACCTCCTCTGGACCGCTGGGTCCCCACAACTAACCATACCGAGAGGCTGTGTTGCGGGTTGTGAGTGCTGTTGGGGTTGTGAGAGCAGTGAGTGCAGGTGCCAAACCAGCCCACCTGGGGTGCCACTTCACGTCTTCCAGCAACAGCCTCGCAGTCGGGCAGCAGCACCAATAGACCATACCGATCGGTTGTGAGGGAGGGATGTGAGGGATGTGAGGGATGTGAGGGCAGCGAGTGCAGGTGCCAACCCAGCCCACCTGGGGTGCCACTTCACGTCTTCCAGCAGAAGCTTCGCCGTCCCTCCCGTCACCTCCTCTGGTCCGCCGGGTCCCCACACGCGCACTACCGCCTTTCCCTCACCGCTGTTAGCATCACCGTTACTAGTAGCCGCCCCTTCCCCTCCACCTGCCTTCTCCCCAGTCCCTCCTGTTCCTCCGGTTCCTCCTTCCGCATTTCCGTCACCGGCATTAGCAGCACCGTTATTAGCAGCAGCACTGCCACTAGCAGAAGCACCGCTACCAGTGCTATCCGCGGAACCAGGAGGCTCTATAACGGGCACGATTCCGATCAGCGCGGGCTTGTCCTTCTGCCACAGTTCCTGCTCCACCAACCGCACGCTGCCACGTGGAGGGGCGACGGGAAACATAGAGAAAGAATCAGACATGGGGACATGGGAGAGTGGGTGGGTACATGGGTAGACTGCACGTCATTCACCCTATGCACATTGAATGTGTTTCTAATCAACCACTCCAGCCTCTACACCACTCTATATTCCTGGGTGGCTTCTGAGTGACTCAGGCTTTAAAGCTGACTCAGAAGCTGCTGCATTCTAGGCTCCACAAGACTCTCCCTTCCTGCTCGGGTGACCTTCCAGTTAACCCGGGCCCACCTGCTGGAGTCAGAGCACATGATTTGGACGATATCCCCCAGCAGCAGCACGCGCTTGCGGACTCTACCTACTGGGTACAGCAGCACGAGTTTCGCACACAGACCGCACCTATGACTGTACCTAAAAGGCAGTGCCTGCTGGGGTCGGAGCACGTGATTCGGACAATGGCCCCCGGCAGCACGTAACGTCTGACACGCCTCTACTGTACCCGCCAGGCAGTATGGCGACCACACGACCTACAGGCGGTAATACCTGCTGGGGTCGGATGGGCCAACAATTCGGACGATGGCCCCCGGCAGCAGCACGCGGTTGCGGAACGGCAGGATGGCCAGCCGCTCTGGTAATGCACATGAAACACGCTCTGGGAACTAAAGAAGGCAGTACCTGCTGGGGTCGGAACAAGTGATTCGGACAATGGCTCCCGGCAGCAGCACGCGGTTGCGGAACGGCAGGACGGCCAGCCGCTCCGGGAGCTCCACGCACAGCGGGTCCCCATGCACTGCCCCCCATAACCCACAGAGTCATCAGGACGACTCTCCACCACCCACCTGCTGGGGTCGGAGCACGTGATTCGGACGATGGCCCCTGGCAGCAGCACGCGGTTGCAGAACGGCAGGATGGCCAGTCTCTCATGAGTGCTGTGAGTCAACCCAGAACACCCCCTTGGATTGGTACGACTCTGCCTACAAGGCAGTTAATACCTGATGTGCTGGGGTTGGAGCAGGTGATTCGCACGATGGCCCCACGCAATTGCGGTACCGCAGGATGGCCAGTCGCTCTGGCTTGTCTTGAGTGGACCCAAAAGTAGCTCTGTGGACTTACACGAATTGCCCTACTAGGCAAAGGCAGTACCTGCTGGGGTCGGAGCAAGTGATTCGGACGATGGCGCTGGGAAGCAGCACGCGGTTGCGGAACGGCAGGATGGCCAGCCGCTCCGGGAGCTCCACGCACAGCGGATCCTCCCCCGCCGCGCCCCCATCCGACGCCATTGGTTGGAAAAGCGAACAGCCGTCCTACTGTGGTCGAATCCCTCGTTGGAACCGCGACGAGCAACGCGGTGAAGCGCGACGAAGAATGCGAAAACGCGCCGCAGAATGCAAAACGCGGCGAAGAATGCGAAACGCGGCGGCGAACAACGCTAAACGCGACGCGACGCTCTCTCACCTGAGCGTCTCTGGCGGTCTGCTGCTGGTTCAGTGGACCAAATAACGACTAAGCGAGCTCGACTAAGGACCAAGGGTGCTGAATTTTCAACTAGGCTAGATCAGACGCATGGCTCGGAGCAGTATTCGAATCCGGTATGTACCTCGGTCCGTCACCGGCTAACGGTCAGACCAGACGGCCTCCTAAGATTCCGTCTATTTGGCTGACGCTAAGTACGTGCTGTCTCCCAATGTGCTGCAGCAGGAGAGAGGAAATGCAGCGAGAAAGAGGCTCATAACTGAATGTTTTGAGCCTTTGTAGGGCCTAGCCTCCGTCAGGAAATTTAGTGGAGGAGGAACTTGAGCTTATCCGCTAGTAGCGGCGGCTCGAGAAAACGGCGGTCCCAGTGCTATCTGTGGCCCATCAAAAGTGCTGGTGACGGGGACGGTGATTTGGAGGGTGGTTGAAGGTTTTCATCGCGGTGATCCACGGTTGAGGGTGTGACTGTTGTTGCTGTGGTCCCCACTCCGCGTCACCTCCAGCATGAGCTTGTTTCTGCTTGAAACCAGCGAGCTATTGGGCTCAACGAACGGGGGTCTTCTTCAATCCTCGGTGAGTTCGCAGAATTATCAGACATTCGAGTACATCTATTATGCATACCCGTGTTTTTTTGTTTTTTGAGTGGGCTTCGTGAAACCATGGAGAACGAATCAACGCTTAGTTAACCAGCATTCAAGTTCGAACTTCCTCGAACTTATATAAACAGCACCTCCCGAGTCCCCTGGATTGCTACAAAACGAATTCTGAAACTCGCGGGGTACAGATTGGGAAAGTGTCATGTCAGGTGCGTCTAGAAAGCCACATCAAGCCCACGCCACGCAGCCTGTTGGTGGTTGACATTTTCGGAGCGCGCTTCTAATCAAATGCGTGAACAAGTCTGTGGTCGGAAACTTTTTACCGAGAGCCGCGTCAGCTCCACGACAAATCAGATCCAGATTGCCCAATGAGGCGTTGTGAAGTGGAACCATCACCAGTATGTGTGGTTTCCAGGCCTTGTGACACGGACTGATCCAAGTGGTCCCCGCAGCCCAGCAGATGAACCAAGGCAGAACGTTTCTACTTTTAAGCAATGCCGTTGCTTTAATACACTAAATTACCATAACACGTTAACGAAATTCTCATTAACGGATCGGTACAAACGGTGCCGGTCCTTGCGTAACGTCAGATCCCTATTACCCGCCGTGTCCTACGGGGAACGACACTACCTCTCGAGCACCGCTACGGCGTTCGCGGCCGTTCAGAAGGCGGCTCGGCTGAATGAAACAGAGAACAGAGACGATCGGAGCGTCGTAGGCTATCATTGAGTGGACTCAAAAATCACCTGCGGCTCAGTTGAATGAACCACCAGAGACCACTCGAGTGCTGTAGGCTAAGCGAAAGGTCGTGATATGGTTTTTGAGGCGCCTCAAGGATCGGATCGCGTCGCGCCTCTCACACTCAAGGCCATGTTTAGCAGGACAGCGAAACGCGGCCGTGTTTGATTAAAGCCTTCGAACTGTCTCGCGATTCGAAGTCACAAGGCCATGTTCAGCACGGCAGCGCGGTTGACGGAGAGACAGGGGAGGAGCGGAACGCCACGTCTCGAGTACCTTCAGGTGGGCCTCGTTAGCATTCTTCTCGGGGAATGCGAGTCTGCTGGGTATTACGAGTCTGTTCGGGCTTAGAAGTCTGCTTGTGAGGTAGGAGGAGCGGAACGCCACGTCTTGAGTACCTTCAGGTGAGAGTTGTTATTTCTCCATTCCGGGGTTACGAGACTGCACTATGAGTCTTCTGGGGATCACGAGTGTGCTTGGGAAGTAGGAGGCCCAAGGGGAAGGAGTTAGGGGAGGAGCGGAATGCCACGTCTTGAGTACCTTCAGGTAGGTTTCGCCTTGCGTATTGAGTCGACCCAGAAGACACCTTGAGTTGTGGTGAGTACCTTTGGATAAGTTCTGTCAGTCTACGCTCCCGAGTTGCCAAGTGTTACGAGTGCTCTCGGGATTACCAAGGGTTACGAGTGTGCTCGGGATGTAGGAGGTTTAAAACGTAGGAATGGGGAGGAGCAGAGCGTCTCGTCTTGCATAACTCCAGGCAGGATATGTCAGCATTCTACTCCGGGTTAACGACGGTCTGCTCTGCATTACGAGTGTAATTTTGAGTCGACTCAAAGCACGTCCGCATTCTACTCCGGGTTAACGATTTTCTGCTCTGCATTACGAGTGTGCTCGGGAGGTAGGAGGTGCAAGAGGTAGGAGACAGGGGAGGAGCGGGGATGGCGCATGTTGAGTACCTTCAAGTAGGCTTCAATAGCATTTTGCTCGGGGTTTTGAGACGTCTCAAAACACGCATGTTGAGTACCTTCAGGTTCTGCTCGGGCTTCAATAGCATTCTGCTCGGGGTTTACGAGTGTGCTTGGGATTGCGGCTGTGCGAGGGAAAGGCGAAACAACCATGGATGAGCATCAACCTTATCCCCCCTCATCACTCCCCCTTTCACCCCGCTCTGTTGTTCCGCTCCTGCCTTGTGAGCAGGCGCTTGTCACTGAGTTCCAAACGACTTAATCATTCATGTGGACCACTCTTCTCACGTTTCTCTGCCTGCTGAGGGCTCCTCTCTCTTGTTCCCCTCTCCATTCGTTCCGCTCCTGCATTGTGAGCAGGCGCTAGTCACTGAGTTCCAAACGACTGAAATCGAAGGTGAGACGTGGAAACACTTGCTATCCCCCGTTTCCGTGCACTCCCCTCCCCTTGTTACCATCTTGCCTTGTGATTAGGCGCTTGTCACTGAGTTCCAAACGACTGAAAACGAAGGTGAGACAAAGGCTCTGTCTTGTTCACCAGAACAAAATCCGGCCTGAATTCCCCTCTCTCATTTTCCGGCCTAAATTCCCCTCTTTTTCCGGCCTAAATTCCCCTCTTTTTCCGGCCTAAATTCCCCTCTCTTTTTCCGGCCTAAATTCTCCTCTCTTTTTCCGGCTTGAATTCGCTTGCTCTGCCTCCTGGCCTGGCCTCCACTGTGTCTGTTTTTCAATTTCGCGTATCACTTGTTACGTCTGTGTCCCTGCCTCCCTCCGTTATCAACTTTCACCCCCTTCCCCCTTGATCCTGTCTTTCAAGTTTATCCTCCCCGCTTCTCGGCGCCTTTGCCGTCCTTTATTCCCCCACCCCTCTTCACCAGTTTTTCCACCCCCGTTTCCATACCCACTCCTTCCCGTTTCTCAATCACTTGTCACTGCTAGCAGAAGCCAAGGAGCAGATTGTTACCCACCCCACTTCTTGGTGCCTTCGCCGTCCTCTGTTTCCCCCTCCCCTCTTCTCTAATCCCCCCCACCCCGTTTCCGTACCCACTCCTTCCCGTTTCTCTATCACTTATCACTTTTCAGAAGCCAAAGAGCAGATTGTTGCTAACCTAGCTAATTTCGCCTACGACCCTGTCAACTATGACTACTTGCGTAAGGTGAATATGGTTTTCTGCATGTGACTGTATCGAAGCTGTGTTACTGTACATTAACAACCGCCAATTTCGCCTACGACCCAATCAACTATGACTACTTGTGCAAGGTGATTATAGGTGACTGTATCGAAGCTGTGTGATTGTTGAACCTGTGTGATTGAAACGTCTTATCAAAACAACATGGTCAATATTGCCTATGACCCGATCAACTATGACTACCTGCGCAAGGTATGGTGTGGTGTCGCTGTATTGATGGTGTGACTGTATTGATGGTGTGACTGTGTTGATGGTGTCGCTGTCTTGATGGTGTGACTGTATTGATGGTGTGATTGTATTGATGGTGTGACTGTATTGATGGCTGTGACAGTATTGATGTGCGTGACTGTATTGCGGCGTCAACTCACAAAACAAATCGAGCCAATTTCGCCTACGACCCGATCAACTATGACTACCTGCGCAAGGTGACCATCGTACTGTCAAACATATATGTATGTTGTATAGTTGTGTAGGCTGTAGTGGGGTAGCTGATATGGGGTACAACCCCATTAGGGTTTCATATTTGTACCAGTCATTCTCATTCCTGTCTCTAGATTCTGACACGTACCTGCGTGGGTGTGACTGTATCGAGACGCCTCATGAAATACCCTGCAGATTGTGCCTACGACTCAATTTGTACCACTTTATGATGACACTGTGCACTGTGGGTGGGTGTACCACTCGCTACCTACATGGATGTGACGGTACCGCATTACGGTATCTTTCTTCTCCTACTTGCCCTATTTCTTAGTGTCTGCAGTTTTGCACCTCATATTCAAGTCCATGTGCATCCTTTCACCTTACCTCCAACCAACCCGTTCCATCTGTTCTCCTCTCCTGTCCTCTCCCTGATTCTGCATCTTCTGTGTGCCATTCCTTCCTCTCTTTCCATTCTAAGCCCAGCTGAACGTGTTGGAGCTGTTTCTAGACTGTCTAACCGAGGAGAACACAAAGCTAATTGACTTTGGCATGGGAGGGCTCTGTAACGCCTCTGCAGGTATGATCGGGTCATCAGCTATGTATGCCTTTGAGAATTCTCAAAGGTATGATCGGGTCATCAGCTATGTATGCCTTTGAGAATTCTCAAAGGTATGATCGGGTCATCAGCTATGTATGCCTTTGAGAATTCTCAAAGGTATGATCGGGTCATCAGCTATGTATGCCTTTGAGAATTCTCAAAGGTATGACCGGGTCATCAGCTATGTATGCCCAGGGTGAGAAGTTTAGTCGAGTTCAAGTGCCTGTGCACCTAAGTGAGGCCTACTTGAATTATCCGCTTATTATGTCCAGGATAAGGACTTGTCGCTTATCAAACAACAATCTATGCATTTGATTCTTCCCACAGATGCAGTCAACGCATCAGCAATTGCCACAGCGGACAACATCCCCCTTATAATCGATCGCTTGTCAAGCCCAGTTGAGAGCACTGTACGTAATTTACCTTCTGTGATGGCGCTCTTTAAAATCGTGGAATCTTTACAGTCTAGGCTGTCTTGTACAAACACTGCAATATCTCTTCCCCTCCATTTCCCTCTTGTCGACTACTGACTTCTACTCTGTGTCTATTCACTTTACTTTCTTACAGCTTTCCTCCTCCAATGGCTTGATTTCTTCCCCTCTGTTGGCCTCTCCTCCAGGTCTTGTCTGCGCTTGCCTGCCTTTACTGCCTTTGCACTCCTAGCACCCGGTCATGTATGTCTTTTCAGGCGCCTCAAAACTCCTATGGCTTAATTTTCTCCCAACTGTACCCCTCTCCAGGTCTTGTCTGCGCTTGCTTGCCGTTACTACATTTGCACTCCTCGCACCCGATCATGTATGTATGTATGCCAAACCATCCATGCACCAGTATAAGTAAACTTCCATTGCAATGCCTGCTTATGGTAGTGTCTTTTTTTTTACCACAAATTAGTTTCCAGGGTCCATGATCTTCATCCTCGTGTATTTTCCTGCATAACTGACAGTAATTCTGACTTCCAGCCTGCTTGAACGCGTCAACTGCTTTGCTGCCGAATCCTGCCCCAATCCCCGCGTTCGCAACCTCGCCATTTGCTTCATGAGGCAACACGTAGGGCCCGCCTCTGCTCCTGCTGCTAGTGAATCACCAGGTTGGATTCAACAAAACTAGAGTGCATGATGATGTGTATTTTGTTGCTGACAAAATTGTAGTCTGAAAGCAATCATACTGCATATGGTGCCTGCTCTTTTTGTAGTCCTTGCTGTTCCATTTCCTTAGTGCTGAATGCAGCCTGTTACTTTTGGGCAGTAGAAATCAAGAATCCTCGTGTTTCCCAGTGGATTAAGACATTTCTTCCCTCTCAATCAGACTACCTATAGAAAGCATGTGTGCGTGCTGTTAGCGCGTAAAGCAACGAATTCACCAGACCAGCAATTGGTCCTGCTTTTTCCTTGCAAGAGTTGACTAGTGACTTGAGCGGCAAGACCGACCAAGTCCACCACCCGTCGCCTGCAGTCCTCGCTTTCACCACTGGCACTGGTCCGTTGACTGGAAATAATCTCCAACAATGGAACCTAAATAAGTGCAACAAATTCGTGTTTATTCTTTGCGAGAACGTGAAGCATCGAGAGAACGCCCCAAACAAGACAGCCACGAGTAACGTGAGCTTTGACGAAACGGGTTAGTTTCCTCGTCACATATTTCTCTCAGCTTCTCCGAAATACTCAAGAACAATCGCTGGCGGGGGCTCTCATAGCCATATTGAGGGTCTTCTTTGCAAGCATCAGATCTATTTGTGATTCTTCCGGCGTTGCTGCGAGTTTGCGGCGGAGTTCCAGCCAGCAACGGCACCATTACAACGTCATCCACGCCACGTATTCCGAAATGGAGTCAGAGGCGAACACAAGATTGAACACGATTCCTGCAACATCTCCCATCCATTCCGACGCATCAGTCAGATCTATAGTTTCAGCAGCTCAGCATAACGACTGTCAGTGCGTGAGTTGCGCTTGGCGGAAATCGGCAAGGTCATTTGACGGAATCCGCATCGCCTTGTTGTCTCTCTTCATCATCTTGGTGCTTATCCTTGTCATCGGCAATCAACAACCGACAACCCCGGGCTTCAAGGCAGCAGATCTACCAAGAAACCGGAGAATGAAAGTGACACAGGTCTCAACGGTTGATAAGTTTGGGCGGTCAATTCGGGAAAATCGTTTGAGCGGAGAAACTATTTCCTTTTTTCCGAAAATCAGTTCGACAAACCCCTTGTTAGGTTCCAAGCTTCTGGCCAACATACGAGCGCGTCTCTTTGGCCCATCTGAACCCGATGACGCAGGAAAACTCTAGTTAAAAGACATAAATCTCGGCTAACCCTAGGGATCTGAGTTAGTGGGACAGAGCAGGAAACCCCTATGATTGAACCTAGATGTTGCTGCTTGTTTCAGCTTTTGATTTTGCAAAAGTTGGTTGATGGAGCACTTCGTTTCGCCAAATTTCATCACCTACTCCTTCGCCAAACACTGCGAAGTGGTTACTTTCGTCTTTACTCATTCAACCATTAAACTCATTGTGGCGAAAAGCTTTTTGCTATTTGCGAATTCTGGCGAATTAAGATCTATTTTTCCACTTTCGTGAGCATATCCTCCAAGGCTCCCTCAATAACCAAGTCCGAAGAGGTGAATCTCCTGTTATCTTAGATTTCTCATCTCCCACCTGACAATCTCGAGATGTTCTCAATGTCTTCTCCGAGCCATTCTCCAGGATATGTGCGTGGATCAGCTAAGCTCGATGTGGTTTCAAGGTTCTCTCTACCGCTCGACTAAAATGCGCGATTCAAGGTCGACAGAATGTCCCTCGACCTTGAGAACTCAGGAAACGAAACCCCGAGACGAGAGCGAGGACAGAAAGTATGTAAGAGAAAAATGGATCATAGTGATCGAGCAAGCCCTTTTAGTGCTGCACCGTATCCCTGTGAAACCGCCTCGCCCGTTGTATGGATAGCTCCTGACTTCAAGCCCTTTCTTGTTCCATGGCGAAGAGCTTGAGGTCACAAAATCGTCGGTCGTTTGTGCCTCATCATGTATGGGAAAGCCTCAGCATCCAGTACTTTCCCCCGTCAGACGTGATATCATTTTCTCTTGTGTGCAAGGATTTCAAGAGAATCGCTTACAGTCAGAGTGTGTGGAGAGAAAAATGCAGAAAACACTTCCCTTCATTGAAGACCGTCGACCTCATCAACGACTTGGATTACCGACGGCTTTTCACGGCGTGCTGCTCTAGATTCAGTCCTTCCAATGTGCCTTATGATCCCATAGTGGAAACGTCAGTGATACTCTTGGATATCAGATGCAAGGGGATCAATGTCCTCTCTTTTGTGCATCCACTTCAGAAGTGCAAGAGCCAGGATAAGTACGCGACTCTGGCAGCTAATCTGACACCAGGAGCTGTGATGGTTCTGAATGACAGCGAGCAGTGCGACATCGTCCAATATCTGGAAGCCAACATGTCTCACACTTCTGCCATTTTCAACACTTCGTCTCAAAAGCTGGCTCCACTATTTGGGCTAAGAACCCACTTCACGTACGCCATCGAATCCAAGGAGCCCAACGTCTTCATGGTTTTGTGTCATCAAATGACCAGCGTGAATGGGGAAACCAGCTTCTTCGTCAGCCTCATGGAGATAGATATCAGAGTCGGGCTTCAAGAAGAGGGAAAAAAGACTTTCACTCTTGAGAAATTCCAGGTTTCTGTATGCACTAATAACCCAGTTCAAGGAGGCAGAGATCCACTGTCACTTGAGGAGTTGCTGACTAAACTTAGATGGCATGATTGTGCATTAGTGGCTGACAGCATTTGAGCCTACTGCACCCATCAACAATGCTGTTGAATAATCACTTTTTGACACACAACCTTAGCATTTTGGATGGGATGCATAGTGCGGAGCAACATCCTTAGAATGCATGTCTTTGGATTGGATCCCATTGGATTTACATTGAAACTTTTGCTCCAGCTAGAAGTTGAACATGGTTGTTCTCATGTTTCTGGTGCTTGCATGAGCAGCAAACTATACGAAGTTGCAACTTTGATGTGTCAGTGCCATTTCGTTAGTGAAGAGCAGGGTGAATATGCGTACCTGGTTGATTTGCTGGTATAAAGCAGTGACAGAGAAACCATGTGGAATGAACTAGCTGACCATATGAAAAAAAAGTGTCATGCGAGCGCGAGACGAGCGAAAGGCGGAAAGAAGAGGAAGAAGTTTATGCGAGGAAATGGAGTGATAGAGAAGTGGGAAGGGAATGGACCAAGAAAAGAGAATGGGGTCGATTTCCTTCCCTTTTCCTTTTCTCTTTTCGCGCTGGGCGAGGCAAGAGACGAATGTAAATTGGCTCCGCTTTCGCTGGCGGCTTCGACGGTCGCGGCGGCTGCATCAGCGGCTTCGGCGGATGCAGCATCGGCGAATGTGATTAAAGCGGAGGTGCCGAGCGAAAGCGCTAGTACGGAGAGGAGACCTGGGGAATGACGGCATGTTGCGAAGGTTCTGCTGCTAGGAACGCCGGGTGTGGCTGATACTACTGGAGCGAGAATCGCTCTAGAGAATGCTACTAGCGCTAGGCGGCACGGATGGGCTGCTCGAAGTTAAATAATAATATAAAAGAGTAGGGAGCCAGCGAACACGTGCTCATGCCGGAGTGGTTATCGGGACAGACTAGAAATCTGTTGGGCTCTGCCCGCGCAGGTTCGAATCCTGCTGAGCACGTTTTCCTCCTGTCTCTCCCATTTTAGAGGAATTTTTTGTCACATTTTTTTGTCAGAAGGTGTGGTGTATCAATGTTGCTGTTAAAACCGCGTAGCGCGTCAGCCTGCAGAAGTGCATTTTCTCTTTTGGCGGCGATGTGTGGTCAGGCCAGGCTGAGGAAACATGTTACGAGTGTTCTTCCATAACCTTCTAGTTCTTCAATGGCCTCTTCGGTTTCCCGATTTCGTGCATCACGGCGCCCGGCCTCGTGTTATTGCTAGCACCATCGTAGGAAGCGCCGTGCCGAGCTCGTTTTAGGGTGGGAAGTTAGCTACGTATCTACTAACTACAGATTCTCGTCGCCACGGAGTGGATTCCGTCCTTCTTCTCCTGCTCGTTGTCGCAGTGCGACGTCGCACCGAAACGCGGCAATCACTCCGATCGCCGACGACGTAGCAATCGCCGAGTGATCAGCCTAACCGTCGTGATTTTGCGCTGCCCATCGAAAAGAATCTTGCATGGCGATGCGACTGCTGCTCCACGCGAGGCAGCGCGCGGGATCCGTGCCGTCCGTCGCACTGAGGTCAGTCTGTCGCTCTGGGAACAATCGCACTGATCGCACTGATCGCACCGAGGTGCCGCAGTAGCACCTTCTAGGAATAGCTGTCCATGGGTCTCCCGACATTCCTTGGTCGTTCCATAGCTATCCACGCGAGGTAGCGCGCTGGATCCGTGCCCTCCGTCCCACTGAGGTCAGCCTGTCGCACTGGGATTTGTCGCCCTGAAGTCACTCAGTCGCACTGAGGTGACTCTGTCGCACGGATCACTCTGTCTTTCGGGTCATTCTGTCGTACAGGTCACTCTATCGCATAGATCTCTCTGTTGCACAGATCAATTTGTCGCACACATCACTCTGTCGCGCTTAACACTCCCTCGCACTAAGATCACTCAGTCGCTCCCTTCTAAAAAGGAAACCGCGTAGGTCTCCGATCAAAAGAACTATTCACGTGCGTCGACGCACAGGATCAGTCCCTTCTAGAATTCGCCAAAAACGCGTTCAGCCCCTGACTCGCGCGGCGGCGCACAGGGGATTAGTCCCGCCCCTCACTCGTGAGGCGGCGCGCGGAATCAATCCCGCCCCTCACGCGAACAGATTCACTGTGCGCCGCGTCGCGAATCGGCGGGACGGATCCCGCCCCTGACTCGCGAGGCGGCACACAGCGGATGTGGATATGCTCCGCCCCTCACTCATGAGGCGGCGCATGCGAATCTGCTCCCGCTCCCTCTGACTTGCGAGGCGGCGCACAGTGCATCTGCTTCGCCTCTCACTCGTGACGCGGCGCACGGGATCAGTCCCGACCCTCAGGGGCGGGATCCGTCCCGCCGACTCGCGAGGTGGCGCACAGCGGATCTGCCTCGCCCCTAACTCGTGACTCGTGAGGCGGCGCACGCGAATCTGCTCCCGCTCCCTCTGATTCGCGAGGCAGCGCACAGCGGATCTGCTCCGCTCGCGCCCGCGGCCCCTCTTCACTCATTCCACTCCCCATCCCGCTGCGTTCGCTTCCCTTCGCGCCATTTGAAGGGCGTCTCGCCCATCGCCTTCCCGCGTTCCTCGCTCGGCTCCTCACCCCCCCCACATTCCCATTCTCCTTTCTTTTCCTCTTTTTTTTTTTTTTTTTTTTTTTTTTTTTTTTTGTTGTCACAGGCCCATTTTATCTGCACCTGCTGAGCCACCTGCTGGCGTTCCTGCCGCCACTACTGCTGATCCCACTGTTCCCTTGGCAAACCAGCACTCTGAATCCAATCCGTTATTGTCACCCTCAGCACTGTCACCCTCGGTCACTACCATAAGCCATCGTGCTGCAGCAGCTCCCTTTGCTCTTGCTTCAACTCCTCTCCTCTCATCTGGAGCGCTGATTGGTGGTTACCATGTTTACAGCAGCCACGTCTACAGTAACCGTGCGTACAGTAATTTGCCTAGCACAGCCTCCGCTGCAGGAAATCTGCCCCGCTCTTTACAGTCACACGCAGCCCCCCCCATTCCGAACTCGCTCTCTCGTTTCCTCTCCTCCGTCCCTCCTCTCCTTTCCCAAGCCTCTGAATCTGCTTCGGATGCCTCTGCCGAGCCTGCTGCTCCTGGTTCGGGAATACCTGTCGAGCATACTGTTGATTGTACGGCAGCAGAGAAAGATGAGGGTGTGACCAGTGCCAAAGCTAGCGAAGCAGAAGCAGAGGTTGGGGAGATTGTGAGTGGAGGCAACATCAGCAGCATTAGTAGCACTGTAAACATCAGCAACAGTAGCAGCATCAGCAATAGCACTGCCCCCGTCACCAGCAACAGAAGTGACCGTTTTGGCAGTGGTGGGGAGGGTCGAACCAGAGATGGAGGTTTGGGCGCTCAGGCTTGGAAGAAGCAGGCTCGGCAGCGAGGAGGAGGCAGACAAACAGGCAGCAGCCGAGACTGTATGTGCACCAGACTATCACTCACTCACGCGCTCTCTCAATCACTCTTTCTGTTGAACCTTAAACCCTTTTGCGAACTTGCTCCAGTTGTTGGGTGTTGTCAATCTGTGCGCAGGGGGCAGCTGTGGGGGCGTTATCAGTCGTGTTCCCAGCAGCGCCTCTGCGCTTCTGCCCAGTCTGACATTGCTTCTTTTCGCTCCACAATTTTAAACCCCAAACCCTGTTCAGTGCGCAGGGGGCAGCTGTGGGGGACGGTATCAGTCATGTGCGCAGCAACGCCTCTGTGCTGCCAGCCATTGAGGCGTGGTGGATGGCGGCAACGCCTCTAACCATGCTTCCTTACACTCCCCAACTCCTCCTTTCCCCCTTAAACCCTCAACCCGCAAAACCCCATACCGTGCGCAGGGGGCAGCTGTGGGGCGTGATCAGCCGTGTGCGCAGCAACGCCTCTGTCCGGCCAGCCATTAAGTCGTGGAGGATGGCGGCAAATCCTCTAACTATGCGTCCTTACTCTCCCCAATTCTTCCTTTCCTTAAACCTTAACCCCGAACCCCCCTACAGTGCGCAGGGGCAGCTGTGGGGTGCAATCAGCCGTGTGCGCAGCAACACCTCTGTGCTGCCAGCCATTGAGGCGTGGTGGATGGCGGCAACGCTTTAACCTTGCTCCCTTGCGCTCCCTAACTCTTCACTGTTCTCGTTAAACCCCAAACCCTCTTCAGCGCGCAGGGGCAGCTGTGGGGCGTTATCAGCCGTGTGCGCAGCAACGCCTCTGTCCTTCCGACCATTGAAGCGTGGAGGATGGCAGCAACGGCTTTAACCCACTCCTTAATTCTTCCTCTTTTTTGTAAACCTCAAAACCCTAAACCCTGCAGTGCGCAGGGGGCAGCTGTGGGGCGTGATCAGTCGTGTGCGCAGCAGCGCCTCTGTGCTGCCAGCCATTGAGGCGTGGAGGATGGCGGGAGGCGTGCTGGATAAGGAGCTGCTGCTGTGGGTGAGTGCGGTGCAGTGCGGTGTGATGTGGTGCAGTGTTGTGTGGTGCGGTGTGGTACGGCTGGCTGTATTTGTGTGTTTGTCTTGTGGCAATGCCTCTGTGCTGCCAGCCGTTGAGGCGTGGAGGACGGGGGGAGGCGTGCTGGATAAGGAGCTGCTGCTGTGGGTGAGTGCGGTGCAGTGCGGTGTGATGTGGTGCAGTGTTGTGTGGTGCGGTGTGGTACGGCTGGCTGTATTTGTGTGTTTGTCTTGTGGCAATGCCTCTGTGCTGCCAGCCGTTGAGGCGTGGAGGACGGGGGGAGGCGTGCTGGATAAGGAGCTGCTGCTGTGGGTGAGTGCTTTGCAGTGCGGTGTGATGCGGTGCAGTGTTGTGTGGCGCAGTGTGGTATGGTTGGCTGTGTTTGTCTTGAATCAGCGCCTCTGTGCTGCCGGCCATTGAGGCGTGGAGGATGGCGGGAGGGGTGCTGGATAAGGAGCTGCTGCAGTGGGTGAGTGCGGTGCAGTGCGGTACGGTTCAGTGCGTGGTTGGTCGGTGTGGTGTGGTGCGGTGCGGTGCGGTGTGGGTGTGTGATCACTGTGGGGCAACGCCTCTGTCCTGCCGGCTGTTGAGGCGTGGAGGATGGCGGGAGGCATGATGGACAAGGAGCTGCTGCTGTGGGTGAGTGCGGTGCAATGCGGTGTGGTGTGTTGTTATGCGGTGGTGTGCGGTATGGCTGGCTGTAGTTGCTTGAATCGCATGGCTGTGTGCGTGTAATTCTTGTGGCGACGCATCTCACTTTCTCTCTATCCAATCCCTCTGCTTGCAATCCATCGCTGAAGCCCATATGCCCACCCTTTCACCCTCCCACTCACCCTCCAGATTTCTTCTCTTCCCTCACTCTTTCCTCCCTTCTCTCTTCTC